GCCATTACACAGCTTGAACATTATACAACCTGAGTTTTCAGCTGGCCAATGGCCAGGACCTCAAGCAAAGAGCCATTGAAGCATTTCCTTGAGGGCTAGTAACTTGCTTTGGAAAATAAACACAACTCAGTGGGCCGGATGCAGACTAAATGAGCAGAACATGGGCCCGGCTGAAATTAATGCGGAAAGCGAACCGTGACTTAAGTTCTGCTGGTCTCAATGGGAATGGGAAGTGCAGCAAACTTAGGCTGCAATCCTAATCCCACTTACTTGGGAGTAAGGCCTGACGAATTCAAAAGGACTAACTTCGAGCCTTGCCCTGGTCACAGCCTAACCTTTCACCTTAAAAATGATGTGCATGTCATAGATGGCAGGATTGTGAAGACAAGCCACTTCCACAGCCTCCTGTTGCATGATTTCCAATTCATTGAAATGCCTTTGCGGTTTCCAAAAGGGTGAGTCCCAAAGTCAGTAAATCAAGGGAGCCGTAATTGCAAATTGGAGCTCTGCAGATCCAGTCTGTTTTAGAAATGTTTATTTGTAGTCAAAATAGCTGTAAAGGAGAAAGGTGTGTGTGTGTGTGTTATGTGTGTTTTCGTGCTTCCCGTGAGAGGAATCCCAGCTCTCAGGCTATGGAGGAGTAGAACCTGAGTGGTAATTTCCAAAGTTGGAACGTTAATTGGCTTGGCTGTATCAGTCAGTGTGTGGATTTATGAGGAGGGGAAATGAGCAGCTGGGGGGAGCTAGCTGGTGAGATGAGGAGGAAACCAGCGCATTGAGGCATCTCTTATGCACCCCTAAGCAGCCATCACGAACCCCCCCTTCCCCTCTGCTGAGAGACTGTCAAAATGCTAATGGTTCCAGTTCTACCTGCTTGCACAAAATAGGTGCTTTAAATCACAAATGTGCCTTCAAATTGTGGGAGTTAAAAAATAACTAGTTCCAGTTTTCTTACTGCCTAGGAACTTAGATGCTGGATCAATCCCAAGGAGCCATCTCATCCGACATTCTCCTCCCAACAGAAGTCCTATAGGTGCCTCCCAGCAAGGCACAAAGTCGATAGCCGTCCTCTGTGGTTTGCCTCTAAATCAAGGAAGACCTGGGAGGACATTCCAGGCAGGAAGCTGGACAATAACTTTATGGTGTCTCTCTCAAAACAAGCACGGAACAGACACAGGAAGCTCCTGACTCCACCCGGAAACAACTGCCACCTAGTGACTAAGCTGTAGAATTGCACTATCCACAGGAGCACTGAGCACTCCACAGAGTACTGCAGCTTTCTAAATAAGCACACAAATGTTACTGCAATCTTTTTTATTAACCTGCTGAGGGTTGACAAGGGAGAGACTGAGAGCACAATATCCTTCCTCTGTGCAATCCATTTGCCTGCCTGCCTGCAAGCCCTTGCCACCTAGTGCTTAAATATAGGGCTGATATATTGCCTCTGCACATGGAGACTCTTTCAGATACCATGGCTCATAGCCACTGTGAATTTGTCTCATCCAAAGCCACCTGGTCCCTGCCTTCCCCACTACGGTGAGATGTCATTCTGTTTAAATTATAAGAGATTATTTCTACATTTGCACCTCTGCAGATAAATCTATTTTATGCCAATTTTATGCAAAGGGGTGTCCTCTTTCGTTGTCTTGTTTGGTGACGCATTTCCTTTGTTTTCCTTAGTGACTGACCCAAGGTCATCCAGCAAACTCCATGGCCCAGCAGGGATTTGAACCCTGGTCTCCCAGGTCCTACACCATGGGTAGGCAAACTAAGGCCTGGGGGCTGGATGCAGCCCAATCGCCTTCTAAATCCGGCCTGTGGATGGTCTGGGAATCAGCGTGTTTTTACATGAGTAGAATGTGTGCTTTTATTTGAAATGCATCTCTGGGTTATTTGTGGTGCATAGGAATTCGTTCATTTCCCTCCCCCAAAAAATATAGTCCGGCCCCCCACAAGGTCTGAGGGACAGTGGACCGGTCCCCTGCTGAAAAAGTTTGCTGATCCCTGTCCTACACCCTAACCACTATACTATACTGGCTGTGAGGGCACACTGATGGATAAGGGGCCATCCTACTGATGGAGCTGGGGAAACATTTTCTCAGCCTCCAATGCCACCACCCTGCTGTAATTCAGGGTCATAGCAGCTCCTTTTAAATATCTTTTAAAAAAAGAAAACATGGGGAGAGCCACTCAGAAATCTCCTCCTGTGTGACGTTTGATTTGGCCCTAGAATCAAGCTTCCACATAACAGTGTACGGTCCTGACTGGAACTAGCCTTGTTTTAGCCTATGCCAATCACATGCTGGCTAAGATTTTAAGAGGTTTCCCCTCTACCCACCCTGCAAGCCGCTTAATTGACGGGAGAAGCCCTCTGAGCACAGACCTCTTCCGACCTTGCTTCACGCTTCAGCAGTTCTCTCACTTTATTAGAAAACCAATAGCCAGGGTAACCCCCCTTAAAAAAACTCCTTCAAAGTCTTATTTTTCTCTTTCCCATTTGGATGCTTGTCACTCTGTCCAAGACAGGGTTGGGGGGGGTGATAACTGACCATGGGTAGAAGGGAAGATGCAAAAAGCAGAACAAGACAAATTGGGATTAAAAAAGAAATATCCATTTGGGATTTACCAGGGCCAGGAAATTTTTCATTTTCCTTCCGCCCAGATGACAGCGGAGAAGAAGCCAGAGAGCAGAATTGCAATCCCGTAGAAAGCTGTTAATAGTGGTTCATCGCATCTATATTTGGAAGAGCAAATATATTCACCACCTTTGTGCTGCTGCATCCAAGCAAATTGTATTTTTGGTATTCAGCACAAATGTTTTATGGAACAATCCGATGCACCGCTTCATGCATGATCCTGTTGCTCTGTGTTCGGTGGGGCTTACTCCCTAGTAAGGGGTCGTCCAAACATCTGCTCACCCCATGCTCAGAAAGCATGGGTCCAAGCAGTTTCCTGTTTGCCCTGGGAAAAGCCACTCTTTTGTGCTGAATCAGCACAAAAGTCAGTTTGCAGAAAACCCCATGGATGCTTGCTCTGATTCAGCAGTAAAGATTGGGTTTCCCCGGGGAGTAACGAGGGGACAAGTGGATGTCTGAATGAGCCCTTCGTGTGATTAATGGTGCAACTTTGCTCAGAAATAGTAAGAAGTATTTCTGTGTTGCTCACTCCCAAGCAAATGACAGAAGTTTGAGAAAAGCAGAGGTGGGGAAACACTGAGAGGAAAAGAGCTGCTTTATAGCAACAGCAGAAATTTGAGGAAATCAGGGATGGACCAACACTGAGGTGGAATCTACATACATATTAAAAATGTTCTGGAAATGCTATTTTTAAAAAGCATTTTTTAAAAAAATACATTGAATTTTCCATAAGTTTCACCATCGCCGTCTTAGTGTCACGTTGTATATTGCACTTAAAACACACGTCAAACATTTTATTTGCAGCTGTATAGCAGAGTCCTGAGTTTAAAAACAACAACAACCCCCAAACAAACCAGTTTTAGGAAGGAGAAACAGCAGAGATGGGTACAGCGCAAAAGCTAAGACCGAAAAGCTACTGCAACAGAGCCTTTTCAACTCCTTTCCTGCTGTACTCAAACCTTGCCATTCCCTCCCAATGTCACCCCTGCTCATTCTACTTACACCTCGACCATTGTTTAAAATGACCACTTTTTTCCTCTTTCCCCATGGTGCCCTGCAATCAGTCTCACTTCCAGTTTTTTACAAGCCTGTCTGACAGCCACATTATCTTCTGCCCTTGAGTCCCTATTCCCTACTGCATACACAGCCTGTACATTTAAATCACATGACTTCCCCCAAAGAATTCTGGGAGTTGTAGTTTGTTAAGGATGCTGGGAGCTATAGCTCTGGGAGTGGGGGGTGGGGGTGGGTAAGCTGCAATTCCCAGGATTCTTTGGGGGACGCTACATACTTTAAAATATGTGGTGTGCATGCCACCAAAGGCAGATGAGGATCAGTTGTTTTTAGGTAAAGGTAAAGGGACCCCTGACCATTAGGTCCAGTCGTGACCGACTCTGGGGTTGCGGCACTCATTTCGCTTTATTGGCCGAGGGAGACGGTGTACAGCTTCCGGGTCATGTGGCCAGCATGACTAAGCCGCTTCTGGCAAACCAGAGCAGCGCACGGAAACGCCGTTTACCTTCCTGCTGGAGTGGTACCTATTTATCTACTTGCACTTTGACGTGCTTTCGAACTGCTAGGTGGGCAGGAGCTGGGACCGAGCAACAGGAGCTCACCCCGTCGCGGGGATTTGAACCACCGACCTTCTGATCGGCAAGTCCTAGGCTCTGTGGTTTAGCCCACAGCGCCACCCGCATCAGTTGTTGTTACTCAACTGTAAATCCAAGGCACTCCGCACATGCTCAGAAGCACCCAAGGGCTAAGCCCCTGGCATTGACTACAATTTTAGGGTTTAGCCTTGGTGAGCCCTTGCTCACACCAAGTCTTGGATCGAAGGTCACAATCTAGTGCCCATTCAACACTACATTATCTTCTCTCTTACTCAGCAAATTGTACAGGCTCTCAGTAACATCCACCAAGCCTGGAGGCTGCAGGAAATGTCTCACGCAGAGTTCCCAAACCCTGGAGGGATTCGTTCCCTCTCCCCACACCACCCTCCTTGCCTATTGATTTGTGAGACTGTGACAGCCTACAAAGGCTATTTCACAAAGTCTCTTCCAAAGCAGCAAAATGCCATCACTGTCTCCACGGCTGCCTCGCTGTGTATTTTAATAATTGCTAATAGATATGACCACGGGTGGAGTTTTCAAAGAGTCTTCCGTGCTGGAAGTTAATAACAGGCTGATTAAAGTTTAATTGTTCTCTCTTGGAGAACAAAACAAATAAGTGAACAAACATGAGCCAATCAGTTAATAAGATGCAGGGGACAACAGGCTTGAGCTGTGTGATTCTGCATTCAGAGCTACATATTAATTGAGGCTGCCTGGATTCATCAATGCAAATTATTTATCAGCTGGATTCAGACCCAGAGGTGGAACCTGCCATGAGACAAGGTGGGTTCAGGGAGTTATGAGGAGCTGCAGACCAGGAGACAGGCAGACCAGACCCGCAGGGTTCTGTAACACGCCAGGAAGTTCTTCCGTGAAAATGCCATCAAAATAAAAGAAATCATAGTCATGCAAGAATGTTGTTGTCAAGTCAAAGGATTCACTTCCAGTTATGACTTGCAGCAGAGGTGTTACTTCTCTGTGGCATCTTCCTCTGCAGTTCTGAATACAGGAACCACATGGGCAAATTCATCTGTGTGGCTGCTGGATGCATCCTACCCATTCACCCAACCAAATGATGATCAGGTGGGAAGGACTCTGCCCATGTGCTCTTTGCTTTGCAATTGGCATGGGAAGGCTGGCTGTAGCATAGTGGTGGGCCAACTGTTTTGCATGCAGAAGGTATTGGGTTCAGTCCTTGGCATCTCCAGGTAGGTCTGGGAGAGACTCCTGCCTGAAATAGACAACAATGATCTAGGTGGGCCAATGATCTGACTCAGTATAACTCAGCTTCGTATGCTCCCATGTTCCTAGAATTGACACGCAGCACCCAGTGGTGTAGCGTGGGTTGCCAGTGCCTGGGGCTGCACAGAGGGGGGTGGATGTGAGGGAGTGAAACAGATGGAGTACGCATGCGCATTCGACTGCCTAACAGCATCTGCATCACCCAGGAAATTGTATCCACAGAGATGAGGAGAGTCCTTCCATTGTGTGAAGAGGTCACTTCCTGGTTCACAAGGAGAAGCCGGTTTCAACGGAGTCCACGGATGGAAGCATGAGGCTGTACTGAGGCAGCATTGGGTGCTGAAATTTTGCGGCCCTAACAATTTTGCGCCCGGGGCAACAGCCCCTGTGCCCCCCATGCTACGCCACTGGTAGCATCCGTAAAATTAGCGGTGAATGTGAATGGCACCATAGCAAACTTAACTTTATAGATTATTAAGTTTGCTTTCCTCTCTCTGTTTTGTTAAAGCTTGTGTGGTACACACACCAATACTGTATACTTTTCAAGGTAAGCATTTAATCTTATACATTAGCATAAGGTGATTTAAAGTCAAATGCTATTTAGATGTCAGAACAGTTTGCGTAAATGTCATGTCGGCGGCACGCGAATAATATTTGCATGATATGCACAGTACGTCAATGTGCTGATTTGCATAATATTCATAATATTCGTAAGAATATCCCGGCAGAAATGGAGCCAAAGCTTACTGGTACTATCTCCCATGTTCCACAGCTTATCATTTGAAGTTGCGCATGGATTAAAAATAGAGCATTGTCAAAGCAGGTGCAGCTGTGAAACTATGGCAGAAGAGAGAGAGAGAGAAATGTGGGTGTATTGGGGGCTGGAATAGGCACGATGCTTACTTTCAGCCGGAAGGATGCGTTTTGTCACACCAAGGTCTGCCCTTGTTTATTTCAAATCAAACAAACTTTAAAATGATGGTGACTAACTTGTGGCTCACCAGATGCTTCTGGACTACAATTCCCATCCTCCATGACCAACTGGGCCATGTTGGCTGGAGCTGATGGGAATCGGAATCCCCCCAAATTGTTCATGAGACAGCGGCCCTTTGTCTGATCCAGGAAAGCAAATTATTTTGCTCTAACGTTGATAAGCAAAAGAGGAGAAATTCAACAGGCAGATGTCTCCCCCCCCCCCCACCGTACCTAATGTCTGAAGAGCCCATTTGACCGGCCATGAGTTGGAAACAGGAATCTGGGCTAGACAAGACTTCCTCGATCTGATCCGCCAGGGCTCTGGTGTTCTTGGAGGGTGTGCCTGAAATTTCGCTCACTGGAGGAGTTACCATAGCAATTTTCGTCTTCCACGATAATGAAGACGCATCCTGATAAAAATATAGAATGCAAAGGTCACGCCGGAAGGTGTTAGCACAGTGACAATGCTGTCTGGTGGAGCCAGACAAGGGCAGCTTCCCATTGTTGGAGAGATCAGCTCCCAGGGCAAGGCAGAGAAAACAGAAGCCCGGAGAGGGAAAGAGAAAGAGAGAGCAAGGGCTAGAATACTAAAGACAACACAAAGCAAACAACGATTATCTCTATATTCTCATATCTGGGAAGGCACAGAGGCCACGTTCTCTTTGTTGTGCGTCAAGGGAGCTAGTTCAATATGTAGACGAGGCACAAACGGCTTCATGGCCCCCATCATAGCTGTCAACGTTTTCCCTTTTTTAAGGGAAATTCCCTTATTCTGAATAGGATTCCTCGCAAGAAAATGGAAAAGTTGACAGCTATGGCCCCCATCCCTGCCACCTCAGGGGTTTACATATTCTCGGTCACTGCAGGAAGCCATTGCCCCATATCTCCTCATTCTCACCCACCTAATGGCTAGTGAGGTGCTGTCATGACATCACTGCGATGAGACTTGCCCCACCCACCCACTTCTGCAAGTGGCAGCCAATGAAATGGTTCCGGGGGCAAGGAAACTCGCAACATGCATGATGGTGTCACATTAGACATGTGCCTTCCATACACCCACCTGCCCCCACTTTAGGTGGATCCCACAGGAAGGAGGATTCAAACACTCGTGAGTAGAGATGGAAGGAGCTGTCCATTTCGGTTTTCTCTGTCTCTCGTTTTCCCAAACTTTAATTCAGCTGTCCACATTTTGCAGCAATTTGCAATTTACGCACACATAGTGGGTACCCCGCCCCCCCCCAGAAAGCTGATCCTTCAACAATTTGGGGGGGTATTATATGGAAAAGAGACACTTAAGACAGTTCACAGAGCAAAAGTAAGGCCATCTTTAGCCTAAAGCAACTGAGATATATATATCTCAGATCCACAATAATACTGTTGTTCAGCCTGCCTGGAACCCCACCTCAGTATCTCTTGCCTCTAAACCCAGAGTGTCTAAGTGTCTGGTTGTGAATCCAGACCTGATAGGGAAGGTACACTCTGCACATGCTCATTTCTGCTCTTCTCGAGTTCATTTGTTTTAGCAGCAAACTCTAGCGTTTGAATATTCAAGTCTAAGCCAGACCTGGCGAGTCCTCCTGGCTGCAATTCAACACGGAGAGAATTAGAAAGCTCGATTTCGCTGTCTAAAGAAAAAATATATAAGACTACAAATCCCTCCCCTGCTACCAGCGACTTGACTAGTGAGCAAATTTGTGGTGAAAGCAGATGGCTCAGAGAACTTTAGTGTTTAATTAAAAGTGCTTAGGATTCAGTGCTAATTACCCAGGCATCCCCTTGAGAGGAAAAGCCTGCCTCGCCAGGCTAGGAGAATGGATGCTTCCATCCATCACCTTGGCCTGCATCTCTGCCTCTGTGAGCAGTGGAACTCTTGGCCGCAGATCTCCAGTGAGGAGGCAGCAGAGAAGGCGGAGGAGGAGGAAGCCCCAGACCAGGCAAATCTTTTTCAGGCTGATCTCTCCATGCCTGCCACTCCAGGGTTGACATCTGACTCCCCCCACCCCTAATTGTGCTGTTGTCACACAAAGCCTTAGGCCACCTTGACTTACCAAAGGATTAAATTAAGCTTTGCTAAACCTGCCACAGAGGCCTCCTTTTACAAGCCGTCCTTTTGTTCCTCTGCCAGCAGCAAGCAAGGCAGGGGATGCAAATGAATTCTGCACACAGAGCAGAATAATGAAAATTTACACTGTGTCGTATTGTTCAGCTCCTGGTCATGCTACTTAAATAGCGTCCTGGGTTCTTTCCTCTGCTTATAGGAACTCATTTTTAAAAGGGGATTTTGTTTCCAGAGCAGCATCTGGTGTGAACGAGTGGAAGTCTTAAAATGCAACTTGGGGTTGACACACACACAGTCTCTGATTTGTTCTGTAGTGTGTCACTGTCATTTGGCAGCCAAAAATTGCTTTCAGGCTATAGCACTGGACCACACCGTCAAGTTCTGCTGAAAGAACTGCTCCATTTGGCTTCTCCTCTACCTGAACTGGGATGCGGGTGGCGCTGTGGTCTAAACCACTGAGCCTCTTGGGCTTCCCGATCAGAAGGTCGGCGGTTTAAATCGCTGCAAAGGGGTGAGCTCCCGTTGCTCTGACCCAGCTCCTGCCAACCTAATAATAATAATAATTTATTATATATACCCACCCATCTGGCTGAGTTTCCCCAGCCACTCTGGGCGGCTCCCAATCAAGTGTTAAAAACAGTACAGCGTTAAATACTAAAAACTTCCCTGAACAGTAGTTCAGTCCGTAGTAGTTCAAAAGCATGCCAGTGCAAGTAGATAAATAGGTACTGCTGTGGCAGGAAGGTAAACAGCGTTTCCATGTGCTCTGGTTCCCGTCTTGGTGTCCTGTTGCACCAGAAGTGGTTTAGTCATGCTGGCCATGTGACCTGGAAAGCTGTCTGTGGACAAACGCCGGTTCCCTCAGCCTGAAGCGAGATGAGTGCCACAACCCCATAGTCGCCTTTGACTGGACTTAACCATCCAGGGGTCCTTTACCTTTTTACCTTACGTACCTGAACGGTTTCCCATCCCTGGTGGTGCTCAGAATAGTTTTGTACATTTAAGAACCAGTGCTTGAGTTTGCTTGTCTTCCTCTTCCCTCTTCATCCCTTGTTCATTTTGTGCCACACCTTTTTGACTGTAAGCCTGAGAGCAGGGATTTTATTATGTGCTCGTTATCTCATGCAAGCTGCTTTGTGGGAGTTTTCCAGCTTTTCAGCAGGATTAAAAATGGTGCAAATGAACCAGTGAATAAATAAAATACAAAACAAATATAAGATGCCCAAAGCATAGTCTCTGCCTATTTCTGCATGAGGTGCAACCAGCGCTCTTTAACCCCATCCGAGCCAGTAGCTAATACCCAGATGCCAACTGAAAGAGAGTGAGCAACTTTGAGATCACCCCCCCTTTTTCTAAAAGGAGAATGCTGTCAGAGTGACACATGGTTTATTTGCACATCTGTACCAACTGAGCATAAGATGGACAGCTCATAGCACTAACTCCAACAGATCCTTGAACTGTCGGCCGGCTAGCTGAGGGCATTCAATAGCTGTCAAGTTCATTTCAATAAACTGGATTGGCTTGACTGATCCAGCCAAATCCAGCAGCCCAAGGGCAGTGGAGGCAGAGGCGCTAGAAACCAACATGGGCTCATCATCACAACTGGGCCTACGCTCTAGAACCTTGTGGTTTGGTGGTCCTTGCACCAGGGACCCCTAAATTGGGATCTTCAGAACCTGGACCCTCAGAATACGAATCCCTTGAGGAAGCAATCCCCTCTACACAAGGGACCACCTCCAAGTAGGCCTGTCAATGCAGGCCATAAACTAGGAAGGTGTTTTCTGAGAGCCTGCCCCTTTAAGGCCCTCCATTCATCAAGAAAGGGGCGGAGTCTGGGAGGGGCAAACTAGAGGCATAAAAGGCCTTCATCCAGCCCCAGGGTTTGCTGGAGCAAGTTGCTCACTCGGAGCTGTCCGTGGTGCCGCACCTGCAGGCATGCTTTCCAGGACGCGGCAGGACAGCTGATCATGCCACAAGAAAGTCTACAGGGCAAAAAGCAGGATTTTACAATTGTGCAGTTAGAAAGAACACTGAAGTTCATCTAGTCCAACCCCCTTGCAATAAAATAAAATAAAATAAAATAAAATAAAATAAAATAAAATAAAATAAAATAAAATAAAATAATAAAATAAAATAAAATAAAATAAAATAAAATAAAAATCAACCACAGTATCCCTGATAGGTCAGCATCAAGCTTAGAAAACTCTAACCATGCTGTGAAAACTTTGATGAAGGAATGGATTCTATTTACTCAGGTGTTCAGGTCCAGAATCTGTTTGTTTATAATGCCAGTTTTAGCCCTGAAACTTGTGATATTTCCAGAGGAGCAGCACTGTTAGTATTTCACAGGAAAAACAAGCAAGAGCCTTGGGGAAAACTTAAAGACAGATGGATTTATTATAGCACAAGCTTTCGTGGACTAGGGTCCACTTCATCATATTGACTACTCCTGAACAGGTACAGAATGATTCTTCCGGCACTGCTGAATGACTGCAACCAGCCCAGAGATTACTGATCACTGGGTGCTGGCAAGACACACTGTTGCCCAGTTTCTGAAGGTTGTGTGGGGCTAAGGGTGGGTGCTCACCCCCATTTCTCACACTTCGGACAAGTAGTCCTTTCGAATAGATGGCCTTTTGCTACTTTCTAGCGCTAGACATTTTCTAAAAATATTTTTTTATTAAAGAAAGACTTGAAATGCAAGAAAGAAGAGATTAGGAACTTGTTTAAAAGATATTAACTACAAAAATCGCTGCATACCTCAAAGAGACTCAAAACATAATAATAATAATAATAATAATAATAATAATAATAATAATACGCTGTCCGTCTGATTGGGCTGCCCCAGCCACTCTGGACGGCTTCCAGCATATATAAAAACACCATAAAACACTCAGCATTAAAAAAACCTCACACATTAAAAACAATTCTAGGTTGATAGTCATAAATAAGACTGAAGAGGCTTCTCCAATAAGCAATTGATGGAGGGAGGCACGTTCTCTGCCTAAAAATGCAGTAATCAGATGCATAGCTATCTACGACCTGATGATAAGAACAGCACACCAATATTGGCCAATTAATCTGAAATACATTCCTATCATGCTTTTGTATCCCAAACTGGGTCCACGAGGCAATAAAATTGTCCTAAAAGATTAGATAAATATATATCACAATGAAATAACAGTGCTAATTAAAACTGAATCAAAGTCAAGCTTATACAAAACAGCAGAGTGAGCAAATCTAAATCTAAAGCAAGCAAGTAAATCAGCCATGGATTTTGCCTCCTTCTTAAGGGCTAAAAGGGCTAAAACTTGGGGGAATTGCAATTGCTGGAAAGGCCTTGCCCTCAGTAGGCCAGCCAGTCCTCATTCCTCAAGGGACTGGATTTTGCCCGGCCAAAGACTAGCCAAAGAAGGCAGCAAGAGGTTCTCTCCACCCAACATAATTTCATTCCTACAGGGCTCTGCATCCGCCCTCCTCTCCTCCACCCTGCTTTAGAGCAGAGGCATCCCAGAATAATCTCTCCCTGCTTCCTCTCTCTCCCCTCACACTTTTGAACGGCATCCCAAAGAGCTCTGCTCCAGGTGAAAGTAGGTGGAAGAAATACTCAGACACTTTGAAACTCCCCTTGCAATTTGCCCAGCCGGCAGGGTCTATATTTAGTTTTAATTAACCCAGGCAAAGCAGTCTCGGGATTATGCAGCCGGAGGAGCCCTTCCTCTGACTGACAATTTGCTAGCAACCACCTGCCTGAAACGTCTGAGGCAAAAAAAATATGTGGAGCTCCAGAAATATGGAGACATGATCTGGGCAGATTGGGCTATGGAGATCTGAGCTGATCCCACAAGGAGCTCACAAAGTCTCTCAGCGTTGGCTCTAGCTGGGACTCTTAAATTGCAATTATCATCACAAAAATGGTTTTTGAGTTACTGTTTCAACATGCAATTTGCTTGAAATATGGATTGTTTTATGACTGTTGGCTTTGATGTTAGCCGCCGTGAATTTCTTCTGAAAAACACTCGGGACATTGATTTTTAATAAACAAAAGAATAGATTGTTACTAAATAATAAAATAGATTAAAAGCTGTGATTCCTGAGCAATGAGGGAAATGCACTCTGCACATGATCAGAAGCACAGAATGTTGGCCGGGTGCCTTTGATTCCCGCTGCTCAACAGCAGATGTTTAGGATGGAGCATTACTTGTGGATGCTGTTGAGAAAAGGAGCAAAGTCGGAAGAGGCAGCCGACTGTGGCAGTCAATCATGGAGCCCTTTGGCTAGCTTGCTTGGCAGGTAAGACACCGTTCATCTTCCCCTTGCTGCTTGCACTTCCTCAGGAGTTGTAAATTTTGCCAGCTGCAGCAGCTGATGGTGGAATCGTGGGAATGAGGAAAGAGATGAGATTCTCCAGTTCTGCCAAGCAAGGGGAGGGAGAGAAAAAAAGAGAAACCAAAGCATTTTGGCTGGGCTTGTCCTATAAATATCACGGTTATTGTTCCTACAAATATAGAGTGACTCTCCTGCACTAAATCTTGTGGGACAGAAGCTGAAGTCAACTCTTTTGCTGATTTGCAGCTCCAGAGGGTATCACTGGAACCTCGGAAGCAGCATAGCATGCGATGCCAAGAGGAAACGCAGGCAATCGCACCAGGGCAGTCTTCTCTTGGAGGTCACCCTCTTGCCCATCAGACCTCCCCCAGCAATGAGCAGCTGAAATGGTATGCATGGAGACAGGCTTACCAGAAAGCTTCTGTGTGTGTGTGTGTGTGTGTGTGTGTGTGTGCGCGCGCAAAAATCTAAATCTAGTAAATGGTTTAGAGAGTTCTCATAGGAAATGATTCTCTCTCTCTCTCTCTCTCTCTCTCTCTCTCCCTCTCTCTGTGAGTCGAGGACCCGCCACCCGCATAGGAGTATAAAGGTAAAGGTAAAGGGACCCCTGACCATTTGGTCCAGTCGTGACCGACTCTGGGGTTGCAGCGCTCATCTCACTTTACTGGCCGAGAGAGCCAGCATACAGCTTCCGGATCATGTAGCCAGCATGACAAAGCCGCTTCTGGAGAACCAGAGCAGCGCACTGAAACGTCGTTTACCTTCCCGCCAGAATGGTACCTATTTATCTACTTGTACTTTGACGTGCTTTCGAACTGCTAGGTTGGCAGGAGCAGGGACCAAGCAACGGGAGCTCACCCCATCGCAGGGATTCAAACCGCCGACCTTCTGATCAGCAAGTCCTAGGCTCTGTGGTTTAACCCACAGTGCCACCCACGTCCCTGCATAGGAGTACAGTAAGACACAAAGACACATTATTTCAGGTTAATGGGCAAAATTAGGCCACAACTTTTATTGGTTACAGCATGTGAGTAGTATTGGCTTAGGCGTTGGATGAAACAGCAATACCAGACTCCACCCCGCACAGCCAGGAGTCATATCAGGGTTAACAACCAATGGGAGGAGCTTGTTGATGCAAATACAACTGGAAGCTCCCCCATGACGTCACCAGGGGTCGTGCCATGGCCCTTGCCACCAGCAGGGCATCGGACAGGATCCACGACCGCCGGATTCCTTTAACGGAAGACCCAAAAGAGGAGGGGTAGATGATGGTGCATACCCAATCCTCCAACACAGCACACATATTCCAGGCAAGCACGCCTCCCTGCCCCAGTGGGAAGCTGTTCCCACTCACAACCCCTCCCCTCTGGGAGGAGGAGAGGCCCTGTAAGACTGTTGTCACACTGCAGTTCACTTTACCACCACAGTATCGCCACAGATTTCCTAGCGCTGCTTCGCCATTGCAGCCACATTGCACACTGATGAGAGGGGAGAGAGTGGAGGGAGACGCAGGCAGAGACAGAGGCCCAAGTGATGGAGGAACTGTAAGGACAGGCTTTGCAGCTCCCTAGCTGTTTTTCTCTATCATCACCACCTGCCTCCTCCTTGCCTTCAACGGCTGAGGCCGAAATGGTCTTGTTGGTGTGAGGTGGGCAGTATGAACAGGAGGGGTGGGAGGAACAGGAGCCTGCAATCAAACCGAGCAGGATTCAAACTGGTTCAGGGAGGGGTGTGCATCAGAGTCGCCGTGAAAGACTTTTCTCCCAATTTTTCGGCAGGGGTTTCCATGCAGGCTTCCACTGAATCCCCTGCTAAAAGAATGGACAGAAATCCATTTTAGTAAGAGATGTCAATGTTCATCCCTTTCTGTTTCAGGAAGGAGTTTGCATGGAACCCCCGTTACGATGGAGGCATTGTTTGAGCAACAGGTCCTGCGCAGGTAAAACGATGAGGGGATGGGGGGGAAGGACGACTCAGTTTTAGCAGGGGACTGTGATGCAAACCTCTTCTTGGGCCCCACTCAAGGGAGGGGTGGCCGCAGCTCAGGAAGAGAACATCTGTTTTGCATGCAGAAGGTCCCAGATTCAATCCCTGGCCTCTTCTTGTTCTCTTATTCTATATGTTAAGTCTGCAAACTGTGCATATTCCATCAGCTTAAGTTGTCATTCTTCTTTAGTTGGGACCTCACTCGTTTTCTAATTTTTGGGCTAACAAAACACGGGCCGCTCCCCCTGCCATCATTCTGAATTTCACCTCCTGATCCAAAGGCTCCTCCTTCTTCCCCTGGTTGGCCTCAGGGATTGTGCTGCATTCATGACGCCATCCTCTGAGAGCTTCTTGCTCTCGCCACTCATTTTTATGGGTCTAGCTTACACACACGAACACACACACACCAGGTATCTTGTGCCCTCCCCACTTACTTGCACTCTGAGGAACCAGAGGTGTCCACGCTCTTTCTCATTGTGCTCTTGATCTCTGCAGCCAGGGAATCCTGCAATTCAAAAAGTCACAGTGGGCAGGTGGTCTTTCACTAGTAAAAGATGCTCAGGGAATTCCCAGAATCATTTTCTTTTTCTCACTCGTTTCCCATTTTGGGGCTAACAAAACACGGGCCACAGTAGTGGCATACATAAATAACCTTTTTTGACACCTGGGAATTTCAGTCTGAATTATCCTCAACAAATAGGACTCTGGTTTTTTTTGGGGGGGGAGGTACTTTTAAACATTTTTTTCAATTCACTATGGATTATTTCCCAATACTCTTTTACCCTTTTACAAGTCTACCACATGTGAAAGAATGTTCCCTCAACCTCTCTGCATCCCATCATCCTCAGGCCACTCCTTTGACAGGCCCTGCTTTTTGCCCATTCCTCAAGTGATTTTGCCTGGCTGGAATGTGCCCTTGAACCGTGGCAATATCTCTTGCTTGCATGGCTGGAGGTAGCGGGGGGGGGGGTTGTGTGTGTGTGTGTGTACAGAAACTTCTACCTTTTATGTAACTAGAAGAGTAGAAAAGTAAGCATAGCATCCATTGCGCAGCTTACTGTTGCCTTAGGCCCCTGCCCATGAAGTCCCTGGAAGGTTCCGCAGAAAAGAATGCTGCCTTTCAGCTGAAGCATTTACTACATTTCTGGCACAATTGATATAACCAACTGGGCTGCAGAGCGAAAAGCGGCGGGGACTGTACAAATGTGCCGTTTTACAGAAAGATGAGACAGGTAAGCGGGTTCCTCAGCTCTCAGCAACCTTGTGCCTGTTTCCCCCCGGAATCTTCCAGCGGGGCTTAATAATTGTCGATTGCATCCTGTCAACCCACATCTTCCTCAGCTTTCATCTGTCTCTCCTGCCTATTGCATTGCTTGACATGGTGTCAGGTGGATCAGCTTGAAAGGCGTCCTTGGTCGTGCACCAGGGATGGAGCCGCAGCAGACTGTCTCAAACTGCTGTTTCAAAACACCTCCGCTTCTTTGCAGTCAAAGGCTCCCCTCCTAACCATCCCTGCACCCTCCTACTTATTGAAGCGAGGGGTTCCTGCCAGCATACGGACCACAGGATGTTCACCTGCCTTTCATATGTTCCGGGTTTCCAGACAACTAAGAAGAATTTCAGTCAACTAATTTGTCTTTTTCACCAACTGATTACTTTTAAATACATTTGCATGCTGGGAAAGCGTCAATATAAGTGCCTTTTTCAGATAGCAAAAGGAAGTAGGGTGATAACTAACTTACAATAAACAAAATCTGCCACTTATAGATGTTGGGAGGTAAATGGTTCCTTCCCCCCACCCTCCACCCCACCTTTTTCTATTTCCTGTTATAGGAAAAACACCAGACACCCAATATCCTCCAAAACACACACACACACACACCAGCCAGATTGATTAGAACTGGCCCTCTCCAACACAGATGGAAGATCTGTTATTTTTAAAAGCTCTGTGACAGGCTGAAATTCAACAGGCAATGCTTTCCCAGGCATTGATTTCCCAGCTGCAGTGATGGGTGTGCTGCCTGTTGAATTCCTGCCTGTCATGCACCTGCCAAGGCACAAAGACATTGGTTTTTTTTGGGGGGGGGGGAGAGTGGCCAATCTCTTTGCAGAGTCACGTAATACCTCTTCAATATTGTTTGTCCCTGGCTGATTCGGGAAAAAAGTTTCAGAGCAGCCCTGTTGCCTTCTGTAGATTCATAATTTTCAAACCAGCCACATCTGCCTCCCTCCACCCCATTTCCTTGCCTAGACAGTGCTCATCCTTTTCAATTCCAGGTCAATTACATCTCTACTCAAGATTCTGCCTGCCAATCTCTCTCTCTCCACTATTTTCCTATCAAGGCATTTTTCTTCTTCATTAGCTGCTGAGAATGAGATGCTCACTTCAGCAAGGAGGAGGAGGTGTGGGGGAAGCAAAGGCATACTGAGGAGAGGGGACTTGAAATCATTTCCGTGGCCAGGAAAGGTGACTTTTGCTATCCAGCAATAATAGTTTAACCACGGGACCTGACATGGCGGAAGCTCTGCTCTGATGAGTATAGTTAATACTAGAGCTGTGCTGAAAATTCCAAGACCAACGTTTTCAACTATTCATTAGGTGATTGGGGAGAAATCAAACTCTCCTGAAAAATCAGGAGAGGGGATTTTTCTGAAATGTTCACTTACCTTCCTTAGCTTTACAAGGTAGTCCATGATCAGAAGAGACTTTTCACGTATGCGACAACAGCGGCTAGAATATTACTGGCCCAAAGATGGAAAAGCGATGAAATACAGTGGTGCCTTGCAAGACGAAATTAATCCGTTCCGCGAGTCTCTTCGTCTTGCGGTTTTTTCGTCTTGCGAAGCACGGCTATTAGCGGCTTAGCGGCTTAGCAGCTATTAACGGCTTAGCGGCTTTAAGAAAAAGGAAACAAACTCGCAAGAACTCACAAGACATTTCGTCTTGCGAAGCAAGCCCATAGGGAAATTCATCTTGCGGAACGACTCAAAAAACGCAAAACCCTTTCGTCTAGCGAGTTTTTCTTCTTGCGAGGCAATCGTCTTGCGGGGCACCACTGTACCAGCTAAAGAACAATGGCAAGAAAAGCTGGTGGAATATGTGGAAATGGCAAAGCTAACCAAAGGATTAAGAGACAAAGACAATAGAGACTTTAAAAAAGAATGGGAACCATTCATGCTGTATTTACAGAAACAATGTAAAGAACTGGACTCACTAGGAAGGTTTGAGTAAACACTTACAATGGACAAAATAAATATAGATATAGAAAATAGAAACTAATGTTAGAATGGTAAGAGGATAATAACATGTAAGTTAAGTTTAATTTCAAGAGTTAACAAAATAAGCAAGGAAATTTATATGTTAAAAAAAACAGAAGAGGAAGTCGTGGGGGGGGGAATTAGAAAATGTACGTTATGTTATTGAACATTACTATGATATAAATGTAAAAGTAAATAAAAATTATTTAACCAAAACAAAAAACAAAACACCAAGGTAGTCCATGATCTCCCATTTTTTGCTTGCTTGTTTCAACTTAAAAAAAAATATGTCCATAGCTGGTAACAGCAGCAAAAGACACTCTTTGCTGCTTCCCACGGGGTACAGTTCCTGGAAGGCTTAGGAAGCGCTGCCATCTCATCCCATCATTCCCAAGGCATTCTGGGAAGTGAAGCCACACATGAGACTCCCTAATCTACAGCTTTCCATCTGCTGAACTTACGGACAAGAGACTAGGGGCCCGTCCACACTTTTGCTTATCCTCTGCCTAGAAAGCATGAGTCTGAGCAGTTTCCCACTTGAACTGCTCTTTCTAGGCATGCTTCTGAGCGGTCGTCCCCCTTGCCCGGTTCCTTTCCAAGGGAAGACCCACTCTTTAGCTCTGGCTCTAAACCAGGGTAAACATCAACCTGGGTAAAACCCCATATTGCCACTCCGATTGACTGCTAGAGAGCAGTTTCCCCCACCTTTGGGTGGGGGGAGGGAAACAGTGGAACAAAATGAAGTGTGGATAAGCCCTCAATAAGTTAAGTGGCAACACACCCACCCCAAGTGAGATAAATTGATCTGCTCAATCCCCCAAAGGAGCAGAAAAGCAGTTACCATTTTTGCAAGGGGTTATATTTTTGGAAAAGGGAAGAGGGGTGGTTTTGGCTCTGTCTTAGTTAATCTGCTGCCTATTTGGTGACCCAGGCTGCTTTAAACTCACCTTGAAATTTGGTAGGGGCAGCGATTTGCAATTGGATCTGATGCTGCCTTTCAGCTGAGGTTGCTCTTGGAGTGGTTCCACTTCAGGAATCTGAACACACATTAAAGGAAGAGGAAATAACTTCAGCAGGATTATTCTACTTAATTGTTACCTAGTATTTCTCTATCTTATCTTTCTTCCATCGTGGACCTCAAGGCTGTGAGTTCCCAAGCTGTCTCTCCTCAGATCTCCTTAGCATCATCTGGCTTAGGGCAGCAGGTGCTCTCAGAGACCATTTGCAAAATCTCCCGTTGTGCACAGGTTTCTGTATCTACAGGTATTCCAAGGGCATTTGGTTAGGTGCACAGGGTGGCCCCGAGGTGCTGCCTGAGGCAGAACAGCAAGGCTGGCCAAGTTATTTCAGTACCATGGACAGAAAAGCCCTCTTCTCCCCAACGCTGGAAAACAAACATGTAAGGATCACGCAGATCATTTTGAGGAAGGGCTGTAGCTCTGTGGCAAACCATTTGCTTTGCATAGAGGAGGTCCAGGACTCGAATCTGAAACCCTGGAGAGCCTCTGCTCATTGGTATAGAGAATACTCAGTTAGATAGACCAATGATCAGCCTCAGTGTCAGTGTCATTTCCTATGGTCCTAATTTGCCTGAAGCAGTCACATCAGGCAGTAGAGCACAAGGCTCTTAATCTTGTTGGGCAAAATATTCCTGCATTGCACGGGGCTGGACCAGATGGTTCTTGTAGTCCCTTCCAACTCTATGATTCTTTGACTATGACTCTATGACCTCATTCTGCCTAATGGGAGGGGATAAAGGCTGCACCTGTTTTCATCCCTTTGTCTAGCCAAAGCTACAGGAGCTCTGTCTTCCTCCATCACACCTGATCACCACCATAGCAGGAAAGGGATCTGGGGAGAGAAGCGGGTTGGACTACGAAGATGAGGAAGTTTGGGGTTCCAGGAGGGAGGAGGGGGAAACCACACGTTGGCTGCAGCTTTCCAGCAGCACAGTCTGTTTACCTTTTTTGACTCTAGCCTTTGTTGAAGGGAAAGGCACCACCAAGGCTCAGCAGTTGCCTTGCATGCAGACGGTCCCGGGTTCAATCCTTGCCATCTCCAAGTGGGGTGGTGAGATACCCTTGCCTGAAACCACAGAGAGTCACTGCCAGTCTGTGTTGACAATATTGAGCTAGATGGACCAGTGCTTTGATTCCAATAAGGCCACTTACTAAGGTCATAGGCAACATGTGTCATGAAGAGAACCAGCCCAGATCCTGAACCTACCAGTCCAGGGAGTGGAGACGGACTCCTCGCCGCTAACCCCTTCCTCTTTACCCCAGCCACCCATTAAGGCCTGGGCTAAAAAGGTCATAGAGGCAATGATGACATCACAACATTCATCCCCCAAGCCAAGGGAGGGGGAAGCAGAGAGGCAGCAGCTGTGGGGAGTTAACATTGAAGACCTTATGTTACAAGCTACAAAAAGACGGTCAGTGACTCCTAGACCTAGAGATTTTTGGCGGGATTCTGGGATAGAGGCAGGGAGGGTGATAACCAAGGTTACTACAAGGAGTTGCCTGAGATGATCCTCTAATAAGGGAGGCTGTAAAGTCCTATGAATGGTGACTATTCCCTAGAGACAAATAAACAGCAAGGACAGGCCTTTCTCTCTGAGGCTGAATACACACCATTCGTTTACTTCCTGAAAGAATCATGGGAACTGTAGGTTACCCCTTCATAGTACACCCAAAAAACTACAGTTCCCATGATTATTATTTTTTTAGGGGGGAGGGTCGTATGTTTTAAATGTATGGTGTGTACACAGTTGCAAGAAATGGGGTAAAACAGGTGCCAGGCTACTGAAATAGTCAACAGACATCCCAAGCACAAACATTTGTTCTCTTACCAGAGAGCATTTCCCAGTGTCCTCTTGAGGATATTAGAACTCACTGCTTGTTACAGTTTCCCAGGGGGCCCCTTCACATGAGTGTGTATGTGTGCACATCACTTGATTATACAATCCTTGATGAAGCAGAGCTGAACCTGCAAGAACCAACTCCATTGAAAACTCCATTGCGTCTGAAGTTATGGGAGGTGGGGCAGAAATATTTGATCTGTGATGGGTCATTCACATCGCCACTTGGATGTTGCACTCAGTGAGTGACAGACATGCGCATGTGTACTGTTCATAGAAAGGGGAGGGTCCACTTTTGGTCATGTGATCAAAACACCTAGAACTGAGAAGCTGATGGTATTACTATCGATGCAAATTATACAATTAGCAGTACTAACAGTAGTTTATCCTGCCAGGAGCATTGCAAGATCCTTAAACAAATCAAGACACAGAACTATGGGCCATATTTGTGCATATGCTCCTTTATAAGTTTAGATGCAAATTTAGGCAAAGTTTCAGAGGGAAATCTGCCCTGTAAGCAAAGTATATTTTACATTTTTAAAAGGGGTGGAGCAGAAGTTCTAGAGCCTACTGAAACACCCCTCCAAACAATACTCCTGTATCCTGCATTTCGCCCCAAAAGCTCAAAGCAGTGTGCATCATTTCAGTCTATTCTATCAAAGGGAAACTGAGTCTGGGTGAGAATGACTGAGCTCAGAATGAGATGTCAGAGAATTCTGGGCTTCAGCAGAAGAGGTCATATTTTTCAAAGCTCCCCATCTCCCTCATTATTAGGTTTAGGTTTATTAAGTTTGTATATAGCTTCTCACTAAGAAGTCCCAAAGCAGGCTATAAGCCAGTAAAAAAAAAAGAACAATACAGTGATAACAATTCCAAATCATTAGTTGCTGCCCAGAAAAATGAAAATGCAAAACCATCCCAAGGTTGGAGCCAGGCAGGTCCCCTTGGGGGAGCATTCCATAAACAAGGGAGGGGGGGTGCTACTACAACTGAGTCTTCAACCTCATGTACTTAGCATTTGCACAGTGGTGTTCAAAGCACATGAATTTCCTCATTGTAATCCTTATAACACCCCTGTGAGATAAAGAAGTATTATTTCCCTATACTGCAGATGAAGGGACTCTGGAAGAAACAAAGCGAGAGAATGGCTTTCCTAAGGCCTCCTGGTGAGTTCATAGAATCACATAATTGTAGAATTGGAAGGGATCAAATAGGGAACTTCATTATTGGTAGCTCAGTCTCTTAGCCATTACTCTACACCTGCATTTACAGAATGCAGGGGGTGTTTTTAGCAGGCTGGTTCATAGATAGCACCTCCCCCTGTCATCTGCAGTAGTACATTCCAGAAATCTACCAGCTCTTTCTGGGAAAGCTGGAGATGGGCTCTCTGGCAGAAATAGAACTTACGGTAGTTATTTTTTATGACCTTCAGGAATTATAGTGCTTAATTATGGCACTATAATTGTTCCTCAGGAATTAAAAAAGAAATCTGGGCACTTATGGAATCAGTGGTTAAAATCAGTGCAGTTTTGAAAGGTTCCGCCTGCCATCTTGATTCAAAATGGTGTCCAGTTGTACCCAAACACTCTCCCAGATTGAGTGCAATAGTGGGTGAGATTGCTGATGGCTTTCCCTCACGCTCCCAGCCCCATTTTCCCCCCTGAGCTAAGCATGTGAAACTGAAATCTAAGTTCCTCACCCTCTCCATTTTATCGTCACAACCAAAACCGTGAGGTAGGCAAGCTGTGACTGGCCCAAGGTCACCCAGTGAGCTTCATGGCTGAGTGGAGATTTGAACCCTGGTCTCGCAGGTCCCCACTCCAGTCCCTTAACCACTACACCACACTGGCTCACAGTTGTCTCGCCCGCTGGTCATTGGCCTACCTAGCATGTCTAACTCACAGAGGTTCTTCCTCCCTGTTTCTCCCCCAACTGCACGCCGTTGTGGGTTCAGGACGAGGGAAGACGCTGAGATCCCAGCTGCCCAGCGTCTCAGCGGGAGGCGACTACGGCAAAGGACTTTTCAACAGGGAGATGGGACCATTGCAGAGCCAGCTTAGTCAAGGGGAATACGCCTTACTCAGGCTTGCTCCCATGTTGGAAAGTGACTTTGTGCAGGTAACTTGCAGCAAGATCAAATAACCCTTCTGGTTGCCAGGTGAATTTTGTTCTCGTCACCCTTCCCCCAAGGGCACCTCTTCCCTAGAAAGTGGGCCCTGCTGTTGCCAAGTGAGACGCCTGAGTCAGTTGAAGGATATTAGGTGGCAAGAAGCAGTGGTGGGGCATAGGAAGGTGGCAGAGCAATGGAAGTTTCCAGCAAATTCTGAAGACGCACCTCTTCATCCTGGCCTTTGACCAGGGCTGGCCTGAGACATTTTGCTGCTGTAGGCAAAAGGCCCCAACACCCCCCCCTCCCCAGTGCTGCTATCTCCACCCCACAACACCCACCGCACCCCACAGATCCAGGTCCCCACCCTGTTCCTGCCCCGGCACTGCTGCCAGCCCCATCACCACACCTGTGGCTGTGCTGGCTGCAGCCACAACACAGCAGCAGTACAAAGACAGGGGAGGGGGGAGTCTCAGATCCACTGCCTGAATCAAGTGTCTTCGCTTCCGCCCTTGCCTCTGACCCCTGCAATGTATGTTTTAAGACCCACCCTACACTTGCGGTTGTAATCTGGGTAACACTGTTTTTAAAGTTGCATTTTAAATTGTCGCAAGCCTCCCTCACAGGGAAGGTGAAGGACAGCTAATAAACCAACCAGCAACATTACTACTACTACTACTACTACTAGTAGTAGTAGTAGTAGTACCGTGTTGGCCTGAATATAAGCCTCACTTTTTCCCAAATTCCCACTGTGAAAAGTTAAAGTGCAGCTTATATTTGCGAACTTATAGTATGCAGCCAGGAGCGCGGGGCAAACAGCACCAGGAGTGTGGCAAAGTGGCACCAGCCCTATGTGTAGTCCCCCGTCCTCTCCCCCAAGGCCAGGAAGGGAGAGAGTGAGGAAGGGGAAAGGATGCTGGCAACGCAGTGCCCACCCCCCATATGCAGCCAAGAGCAACGAGGAATGGAGTGGCTTATATTCGGGTGTTTTTTTCATTTTTTCTCTCCCCCCCCCTCCAATTTTCAACCTGCGGCTTATATTCAGGTGTGGTTTATATATAGGCCTATATGGTATTAGGGTTGGATTAACCATTAGGCAAAATAAGCACAAGTTTAGGGAATCAAGGGAAGGGGGTTGCCAGAGAGATTTTCCATGGCTGGATTTTTAACATGAATGGTCACAGATTGCTCAGCTGAGCATTCATTTTCTCAGTTGAAGCCTATTAAAAAATCCCAGCAGAACCACTATGCGACAAAGCTGGCCGGCTAGCCTTATCTCTACTAAGTATAGAAGCAGATGAGTTATGTGAGATTAGTTTTGAGGAGCCGATCAAAGACTTTGCAATTAGGAAAAAGTAGGAGAAAAAAACTTCAAATATAGATAAAGTGGAAGTATACATATATATTTTAAAAAATCATTTTCCATCTTACTGTAGGGTTTTTTCCATTTTCAAAAATATCTTTTTATTTTATTTATACTTTGAGTTGGATATATATGGGGGCACTAAAATCTTTTAAGTGCTTAGGGCCTCTAAAGGTCCTAATCTGGCTCTGATTATTATTATTTAGTATTAAATTGCTTGTCTGTTTGGCTTCTGTACGCGGAAAGGGGCTTGTGTGCGCCATTTTGCCCTTCAGGCCTACCCTGGAAATGTGTGAGGTGTTTCTCTGCCCAGAATTGTAGCAGATGCAGCCATTTCTTGAGCGCTGGGATTAAAAAGGACAGGAAGAACCGAAGCTGCTTCATTTCCTTCCTGGCAGGCTGCTCCTAAAAGCACAGGGACAGAGCAAGTTAAAAGAAGAGGAAGAAGATGGCCACTCTAGGCCCACCCCCCTTCCCATCTCTCCTGATGACTTAATCTCTCAGGTAATAGGGGAAGGGATGTAGCTCTGTGGTGAAGCACATGCTTGGCATGCAGAAGGTGCCAGGTTCAGCCCCTGACAGGGACGGCTGAGAGAGACCCTTGTCTTTAGCCCTGGAGAGCTTCTGCCAGTCACAGTAGACCATACTGAGCAAGATGGACCAATGGTCTGACTCATTATAAGGCAGCTTCTCGTCTTCCAAGAGAGAAATTCTGGGGCTCAAGGCTGCATGAAATGGTTGATCTTTATTAGGCATTTATCATTTAGCAAGTGTTATCAGCCCTTCCTTATCCTCTAAGGCTGCACCTTTAAAAACAACAGCAGCAGCAGCAGCAGCAGCTCCCGGGCCTTTAATTGCTGGGCAGGCAGAACCTGAATGGATGAAGTTTCTCTCATCGTTGCCTCTCCAGGCCAGGAAATCTTCACTGGTTGAATTTCTGCCTTTGCACAGAGAACTGACAGGAAAATAAATAGGCTTGCCCAATGACCAGTTTTTAAAAAGTAAGCAAACATCTAAGACAATTTCTGAGCTTTTAGCACAGGCGTGACTTTAAGAAAATGGCCAGGGAATCTTTATAAGACTTGGAGATGGTAAGCATGATCACCTATTGTAGGGTAATCGATTGTTAAAAGCATAGTTTACAAGAGGAGTTTGAAAGCTGGCAGTCTTAACAATGATGTAAACAAAATCTGCTCCTTTTCCCTTATGGGGTACCCAAGAGCCCATACAGAGTCCTTAAGTGGGTTCCCTACTGGTAGGAGAAAATAACAGAGGCCAGCCAGAGAATATTGAGAAGCAAAGCAGCTAGTAAGTCTGATCTTTCTTGAACTGTTGCAACAGGGTCCTCACTCACCACATGCAGGATGAACCCAGAACAAAGGTGTGTAAGCTCTTATACAGTGGTACCTCGGGTTACAGACGCTTCAGATTACAGACTCCACTAACCTAGAAATAGTACCTTGGGTTAAGAACTTTGCTTCAGGATGAGAACAGAAATCACGCAGTGGCGGCAGCGGGAGGCCCCATTAGCTAAAGTGTTACCTCAGGTTAAGAACAGTTTCAGGTTAAGAACGGACCTCCAGAACGAATTAAGTTCTTAACCCGAGGTACCACTGTACCTGTAGCCCAAGACCACCCCCCAATACATCATACATACATCAAGGAAGGGGCGGTCTACAGCAGAGGAGCTGATCTGATCTTCTGGAGGCTATTGCTTGCAGTGTCATTGGTTCCCACATGAACCAAGAGGAAGGGGTATTTGTCAGTGGGTTTTATGATTCCTTGCAGTCGTTCAGTTACATCTTGGATCTTAGCCCCGGGGAGACAGCACACTTCCCGAGACATCTTGTCAGGCCCACAGATCACTGCTTCTGTTCCCCTCAGTAGGGAATCCCCTATCACCACTACACGCCTCCTCTTAGGTTTGGCCAGGGTTCTTCTGTGAGCTGTCCGCTCCAAGGTCGCCTGCACATTCCCTGAGGACTGACTTTGCTGCTCGTCTTCATATACCTGATCGACTGTAATGAGGGAGATCCTCAAATGGAGTCTGCTCTTCGTCTTCCATGCTAGGGAGAGGACCTCAAAGCGATTGTGTATTTCTAAACAATCAGAGCGAACCCTGGGCCTCCTACTTCTTTGAGTCACGTTTCTCCATATATCTGGCTCCTGTGTTGGTGAACTAGCGTCCTTCTCAGGGGAGTCCCCTGTCTCCTCCTTGGTGGAGACGGTGTGCTCTGTTGCTTCCAAGAAGAGCTCCAGCTCTCTAATTCTTTGGAGCGTAGCTACACGTTCCTCCAGTTGCTGGACTTTGTCTTTTAAGAGGGCAATCAACATGCAATTGCTGCAGGTAAAGCTGCCTGCAACCTTTGGCAAGATGGCAAGCATTGCGCAGGAACCGCAGGCGACTGCAGCTGTTCCCACCCTCCATCTTGAGAACGTGTCGTTGGGGGTGGCTACAGTGGTCCTCCATCATAAAAGCGTGAAGACAGGAAAAATAACTCCCCACAAAAAACCTAGGTCTTCCCCAACAAACGTTTGAGACTAGCTCCCTAAATCTAAAAGATGGATAAACTGCGCGCGCGCTGAGGCTGCGCCGCTGCCCTGCAATCTCTGATAAGCTCCTCCCACAGCTAATCACCTGCCTCAACAGAAACCCTGCCCCCTCTGACCTTTGCACAGGGAGAGCAGCCAATCAGTCACAAAGAAACACACACACACAAGAAAACCCTTTTTGCTCCTTCTTCAACTGCTGCCCTGCAATCTCATGACAGATATGACAGATGCCCAAATGACTCTTATATCCTAGGGATGGTTCCTATTCTGACATCCTTCCCATGCAAACCATTGTTCCTCTTTTATTCCTGCCTTTACCTTCTGCTGTTCCTGAATGACAAACCACTAGAATATAGGTGGAGAACCCACAACCTGCAATGGCTGATGCCCATTGGTACCGATAGGGTGGAAGGCAGGGAGACCAACAGTAAGTGGTGCTAATGAGCCAGAACCAATGAGAGGCAGGATGTGAAGGATGGTGTGTGTGATATACAGAGGACCAGACATTCTCTGGGGTGGCCCCCAAGCTATGGAACTCCCTTCCCACAACTCTAGAAGTCATATCCCTAGCACACTTGCCTGCAGACGCACATGCACAAACACCAAGGCAACATCGAGCGCACTGTCTCCCACTTCACACTTTGCATTTGATGCAATTCATGTTGAACTGTGGCTCAGAAAAGGAAAGAGGAAGCCTGTTTTGAACAACAAAACACAGCCATTTATCACAAACAGCAACTATGAGATGTTTTCCCCTTAGTGTAACATCTTTGTGATTTTAATATTAAATCATACGATAGGACTTAGATCCAGGCTATGACAAAGTCGGTTCTTCCTGGATACAAAATGCCGCTGCTTGCCCCCGGTGCTACACACAAAACCACCTGTCAGATTGCCGCCGAATGAGTTTGACTGTAATTTCTTTTGCAATTAACACGGCCAGATCCACGGGAGATAAAATGTTCTTGTTTGTTTGTTTAAGGGACACTGCTTTGATCAGTTTACTAACAAGCCCTGCTTTAGAAGCTAGTGCAAAACCAGCTATAGCTGGGTTTAAAACGAAAAAGAAAAACCAATGCAGAGTTGAGAGCTGTGGCAATACCTCAGGTACTTTCTGTGTGGGAATATGGCAGCCGCAAATTTATAGAAATGAAGCTGCTTTGGGGGCTCAGGCCTTCCTTCCCTATAGACCTTTTTAGGTGCTGAGACTGGCAGAGGGGGCCCTCTTAGTAGTTCTGTTGCTTGGGGTGGGGAGAGAGTGGCAGCTTGGGAGAAGATATTCTCTACGGCAGCCCCCAAACTATGGAACTCCCTCCCCACAGATGTCAGACCCTCCAAATATCCTTATTTTCCAGGGGAAATAGGTTCAAAAATCTTCGAACCTAGCAGTTTGAAAGCACACCAGCACAAGTAGATAAATAGGTACCGCTGCGGCGGGAAGGTAAACGGCATTTCTGTGCGCTCTGGTTTCTGTCACGGTGTCCCGTTGCACCAGAAGCGGTTTAATCATGCTGGTCACATGACACAGAAAGCTGTCTGTTGACAAACGCCGGCTCCCTCGACCTGAAAGCAAGATGAGCGCCGCAACCCCATAGTCACCTTTGACTGGACTTAACTGTCCAGTGGTCCTGTACCTTTTACCTTATTTTCCAGGGGCAGTCCTGGATTTACAGAAGCTGTCCTGGTTTCTGATTTGATCCCAGAATATTCCACTTTTCCTTGGGATGTTCCTATTTTCATCTGATAAATGTTGGAGGGTATGGAGTTACCCGATCCCCGAGCCACCTGAAGGCAGAGGGTATAGGGAATCTTTGTGATGCTTAATGTTTTAGTATGCTTTCATATATGTTAGAAGTCTCTCAGAGTGGCTGGGGCAACCCAGTCAGATGGGCAGGGTATAAATAGTAAAATTATTATGATGGAATAGGATGTCTCTATTTTCATCAGAGAAAAGTGTGTGAAAGGTGCATCACCTTCATTATATACAGCTAAGGACCTGCCTTTTTACCTCAGCTTTTGATACTTGAGGCGTCAAAATAAGACCCAACTTATTTTTATGGTTGCTAGTTGTTTTGAATTGTTTCTATATTGTGTTTTTATGCCGTAACTTGCCCTGGGAGCTTAGGGTGAAGGGCAGGTAATCAATCAATCAATCAATCAATCAATCAAATAATAGACCAAATCGGACCACTGGTCCATCCAGGTAGTTATTATTTATAGCAACTAGCAGCCGCTCTCTGAGGTATCAGAAAGGGAGCCTTTCCCAGGCCTATGTGGAAATGCCAAGGATTGAACCCGGGACCTTCTGCATGCCAAGCAGGTGCTCTACCCACTCAGCGAGAGCCGTCCTCCTCCAAGTGTGTCCCTGCTTTCATTTGTGAAATGTAGGGTGGCACGTTACTCACATCCCTTAAATTATCTTCCCCGTTCTTATGGAGATGTAAAAACAGTTAACTGGCAGTCATTATAGGCCCTTATTATCCTATGCAGCAATTTCAGACTTCAGAGCGAGTGCCTGACATGCAGGACAAGAGTAATTTGTGTTATGTTTCTGCAAAACAGCTTAGATTTCCTTATTCTGATTCTTCTTCTTTTTAAGCATATCAGCTTCGGCTTGTTGTTACATTCAGAAGCTCCCCTCTCTTTCTCAAGCACATTTATACACACACACACACACACACACACACACACACATATATATATACACACACACACACACATATATATATACACACACACACACACACACACACACACACATACATACACACATATATATATATATATATATATATATACACATATATACACATATATATATATTAAAGGCAGGACTCACTGAAATTTGTCCAGATCCTCCTTGTGGAAAGAGAGCTTCCAAATTAAGACCACTCCATATGTTGTTAAGCAGGTGGAGACTTTAATTGAAAACCTGCCTACAAGAGAGGCCTAAATAGGTTTGAGAATGCAGCACTCTTTGGTTTCCTCTGTAGGAAAGACCTATCGACTTTGCCTCCAACAATTTCAGCAACCCTGCCTCCTTATTAACTAATGACAAACTTTTCCCTATTTGCTCATGTAAAAGTCTCTCCGTTGTGATCATATATTGAGATAATATTCCATAACCCTTTTCTTATTATCCATTGGTCCACACCCAGTTCTGTATCTTCAGTTTCCACTTCATGTTGCATTTGCTATATTTATCCAGCTTTATTTAGTATTGATTCTTCCATTATTTTTCCAAATAATAAATGAAAAATTGCCAGAGATTTAATAGCTTTATCCCCTGGGATCACCACTCCAAATCACAGGTAGAACTCTTTCTCTTTCAATTCCATTGATGTCAGATTATCCAGATAACTCCGCATCTCTCCATTTATAACTTTATTTTTGTTTTCCAAAATCTCAGCTTTCTTGTTTGGTTGCTTCATTTTCCCATACACTTGTATAGTGGGTTCTTCCATTTCATCAGTTGCTCTTTCTAGTTTTGCCATGGTTTCGTCTCTCTGTCCCGCCAGTTCTTCGTTGTCTAGAGCATCTATATCATTTATAATCCCTTTTCCCATTTCATTCATGTCTGGCTTAATTTCATTCCTCATTTCATTCATCTCTGATCTGTAAGATTTTATTTGTTCAGCAAATATCTGCTGAAGAATGCCAATAGTAAGCAGTGTGTCCAAAGCTGTTTTTCTTTCCTCTATCGCTTTTTTAATGGAACTTGCCATACTGAATGTTAAGGTTACTTAAAACATAAATGACACACAATCGATCTGACATCTTCTACCCCCCAGAAATTAATGGTGAAGCTATGCAGGAATCTCAGCTAAAGCATCTGTGACAGATGGCCATCCGACCTCTGCTTAAAAACCTCCAGTGAAGGCGAGTCCACCCCCTCTCATGGGAGTCTTATTGTCAATACAGTTCTTCCTGATGTTTAGTCGGAATCTCCTTTTTTGTAACTTGAATTCATTGGTTTGAATCCTACTCTCCAGAGCAGGAGACAACAAGCTTGCTCCACCTTCCATGTGACAGCCCTTAAGATATTTGAAGATGACTATCAGATCTCCTTTCATTCGCCTCTTTTCCAGGCTAAACATACCCAACTCCCTCAACCATTCCTCATAAGGTTTGTAATATGGGAGAAGCACCAACTTGCTTAAAAGAGGTCAACTTCACTGGGCATAATTGCCAGTCTCTTGGTCATATCTGAAGCAATCCTTTGGATCCCATTCATAAACTAGGCTTCTTAAAACACTCATGTCCACCAAAGATTCAGATTCTATGGTGATTTCCACACACTATTTAAACAAGAACAACCCAAAACAACTGGGATTTGGCTGCTTAGGCTTAGCAGCTTTCATAAAGTTTGTTTGAGTTGGCCTGTCAGAAAACTGAGGAAACAAAACATTCCAGGAATTTATTTTTATGCTCTGTTGATGCCAACAGCATTCTGAGTTGCACAGTGAGGTCTCAGGCACCGCCCTTCTTGAGATGGTCTTATGAAAGACTTATGATGTGATACACCATCAGTGCCTGCTCATTCTGCTGAATGAGGCCCTGTATATCTGCCACTGCCCTTTCCTGTTCTCTGCAGATTAACAAACGAGGAGAGATGATTGACGTGCACAACCAAGTCCAGACTGTGACTGTCGGGGTTGCTTGCACCTCTTCCAGCATGACGGTCCCCAACGTGCTGCTTCTGGCTCGCCCCACCTGCCCTCCCGAAGAGACACCCCAGAAGTTTAAAACCTTGCTCCGCCAGTCTTCCTCGTCGCTGGGATTAGAGCTCACCAGGTAAGCCCAGCTCCCAGCTCCATACGGAAAATCCTGCAGATGCTGCAATGCCTTTCGAGGCTTCGTAACGTAAGACAGGCCACCATTTTTAATGGATGGAGATGCTGCAACTTGAACAGGTCAAACTCATAGGTGAAGTGTTCATGGTATCTCTAGGTTGTTAAAAAAAAGCTTCACTTGTTCATTTCTGCCTGTTACGCCACAGCTGTTCCTGGACTGAAGACTCTCGCATTCCTTTTTTAAAAGGTTGGCAATCTTACAAGGGTGAGTTTGGGGTAGGGGTGGACAGGATAGGGTTGTAAAACCTAAATGACCACACTATGACTTCTGAATTTTGTTTTAACTGTTTTTAATCCTGAACTTTAAATTGTCGTGAGGCGCCCTGGGACCTACTGGGTTTCCCCCCTGTATTTTTTCGTGTATAAGACGCCCCCATGTATAAGACGCCCCCTATTTTGAAGGACTCCAATTTAAGAAAACAAGGGGGAGATGGCACAGAGTTGTTGTTTTTTGTGGGGGGGATGCCAAAAATCACTCCTTGCAAAATCTGCCTCTCGTCTGTCCCCTCGCCGGCAGAAGCTGCCAATCACCCGCCCAATTGCCGCAGCGTCAGCCAATCAACACCAGCTATTGATGCAACCAATAACGCGCCCAATAGTCACTGACAGCCACAGCAGGAACCTATGCACTATCCATGTATAAGACGACCCCCACTTTTTAGCATAATTTTAAAATAAAAAAACCTAGTCTTATACACGGAAAAGTACAGTACTCATTATGATGGTGGGGTCCTTTATCACGGCTCATGGCTCAGCCAGTAGAGCATGAGACTCTTAATCTCTTAATGAGATTTGTGGGTTTGAGCCCCACATTGGGCAAAAGATTGCTGCATTGCAGGGGGTTGGACTAGATCATGGGTAAGCAAACTATGGCCCGGGGGCCGGATCCGGCCCAATCGCCTTCTATATCTGGACGGTCCGGGAATCAGCATGTTTTTACATGAGTAGAATGTGTCCTTTTATTTAAAATGCATCTCTGGGTTATTTGTGGGGCGTAGGAATTCGTTCATTTTTTTTCCTTTTCTTTTTCAAAATATAGTCTGGCCCCCCACAAGGTCTGAGGGACACGGCCCCCTGCTGGAAAAGTTTGCTGACCCCTGGGCTAGATGCCCCTCATGGTCCCGCCCCACTCTATAATTCTATGTACTGCAGCAAAGTTGTCAGGCTCATCCTTTGGACAGGGAAACTTGTCCAAGGTGGTGATGTTTGGAGAAGTTGTGTTATCCTTATCCATCTCCCCTCCAGTCAAAGGTAGCAGGCATGCTATGTGTGAGTGGAGAACAGGACAAGCGTTTTGGGCAACAGACTGAAATTTTGAATGAGACAGAATGGGGTGAGGGAGAGAGAACTGAGCTGAAAACTTTAGGAGAACTTTGGGGTGCTAACTGCCTTACTGGAGAAGGACAGTTTTGGCTGTCTGTTCCTCCTCCACCTATGCTCAACCTGTACATTATATATATATATATATATATATATATATTACAACAAGTGACCTAAAGGAAACTGAACCCAGGCAAGCACTACATCTCTGGAACATCCTCGCTGCTTGGAGAAGTGGGGTGAACAGCACTGGTTTAATTTAACAGCTCCCATTTAATACTCAGATTCAAAGGCAGGCAAGGACCGTGGGCAGATAGACAGCTATTGGCAGGTAGGAGACTGTTAGCTTTGGCACTGCTGACAGCTTCCGTGACTGAGCGTGGCTTCAGTTCAGCCCTGCTTCCTGTCCTCTTTGGATTCCTCAGTCCCCAAGTCCACAGCAAGCTGCCATGCTGAGTTAGACCATTGGTCCGTCTAGCTCAGGACTGTCTACACTGATCTCTGTCTCCCACCCCTCTTGGCCAACTTTTCTTGGAAGGGTTTGTGATCCTTCTTGGTGGGCTGGCCACTAACAATGAATGCTGATCAATGAGCAACCAAGGTCATCTAGGAATGGAAGGTGGCAGGTGGAGCTGAGTGTGTGTGTGTGTGTGTGTGTGTGTGTGTGTGTGTATTGTCAGCTTTGTATGGAAAAGCGAGGAAAAACAGAGGCAATTTTGTATTGTTGCAAGCACCTGCTTTGAATGTGCACTGTGTACATTTCTGGAGGGTTTTGTATCATTTGCTAGGTGTTTACTCAGTGGTCTTGATGGTTGTTGGCTACCGGCTACTAGACAAGCCTCACTTGCTTGAAAGGGATTGCAGAGCGCAGCCTGACAGTGCAGAAATATTTGTGTTTTTTTAAATAGATGAAGAACCCTGGACCTACTTGTCTAGAATTTGGCAGGATTTATCCATCCAGGCTATGCTTGCAAAGTTCATCCAGTTTTGCCAAACAGAGAACAAGAGAGAGGCTAAAACCATTTCTTCATTTTCCTCACTAATAGTGAACTGGGAGGCACAAAAACTTCATGTCTTTCTTAATTGGGGTTCGGCTTTGGACCCCAAACTGAATCAGACACCTTCTGAAGCTGTTTGGACCAAATCGGGGCTGTTTTTGCATGTGCAGAATCAGCGTCCAAACTGAATCACGCTCCTAATTCTTCCTTTCCACCGCCTGCAGGCTTATCCCTCTTCATTTTGTCAAGATCTCGCTCCACAACGCAGAGAAGAAGCAGCTGCGATTCAAGCTGGCGAGCGGCCGCACCTTCTACTTGCAGCTCTGCCCCCAGCCTGGCGCGAAAGAGGATGTCTTCAAACTGTGGGTCAAGGTGGTCAACATGCTGCGGCCACCCTCGGACCAAGGGCCCCTATTGCACAGCAAGAGCGAAGACCCGGGGGGGTCTGGGGAGGCCCTTACCGATCGGACACAGGTGTGCAACTCTTTCTGTTTATATTGCGTAATCGCTATACAAGACACTTTGCAGGGCAACATGAGCACAGGAAACTGGTCTATCTAGCTCAGTATTGCCTACACGGACTGGCAGCAGCTATCCAGGATGGCTGAGAGGGGTTTCTCCCAGGCCTCCAGGAAGATGCCAGGGATCAAACCTGGAACCTTCTCCAGATGCTCTGCTATTGGGCTACAGCCCTTCCCCATGTCTCCATGCCCCCTTGCTTAAGGTTACCAGATTGTTTTTCCAATGAATCTGGGGACACTTTTCAATTTCCTACTAAATAGATGGATTTTGCCAGGGGACTGATTTGTAAATCCAGGGACTGTCCCTGGAAAACAGGGATGTCTGGTAACCTTACCCTTGCTGCCTTCTTCCTTCTCCATGCCCCCCTTGCTGCCCCATACCAATATCTCCGATGCTGCAGGAAGCTCATGAGAGAGGTCTGGGGTGGGAAAAACAGAGAGAAGCAGTAAGAAGAGACTCAGAACTGATTTGATTCCCCTCCCACCTCTTAGCAACACAATTCGATCCTTGGATGCTTTAAGCTGGTTGGACATCCGTTGGAGAGAAGGCAGAGAGAGAGAGAGAGAGGAGTTATCTTTTAATTTACAAACAGCTTGGTACATGCACTCACATATCACGAAGAACACGAAGCAGCCCCCAAATCGGGTTGCTTCTCTTACAGCTCTTGCAGGAGTCTGTTAAATCAGATTTGTATGAACATTTCTGCTTTTTTAAAGAAAGAGCAAATGGCAGTTTGATTCCGTAAGCTGGGTGGAGGGTGGTAGGGATGGTTGGTGGAAAAGGGACACACACACACACACACACACACACACACACACACACACACAAAGACCTGGGATATTTTCTGTGCTGCTCCACCCATTGGTGTTGATGGCAAGTGGTGGAATAGCCATAAGTATGGTGAAGGAAGAGGCAGGAGTGTGTGGACCCTCATGTGCCAATTGGGCCCACAGAAATGCTGCCTCTGAACCTTGCTTCCAAGACCACAGCCCACTCCAGACCCCGGCAGTGTGGTGTAGTGGTCAGAGTGTTGGACTAGCAGCTGGGAGACCTGGGTTCCAGTCCCAAAGCCACAAAGCTCGCTGGGTTCCCTTGAGCCAGCCACTGGTTCTCAGCCCAACCTACTTGGCAGGGTTATCGTGAGGATAAGATAAGGGTTAGAATTATTTGGTGGTGCTTTCAACGGTCCTGATCCATCTGTCTGCCCCAGAGCCTGGGATCCTTAAACCTAGAAGAAACAGTGAGCATCCGTAGTATCTATTCACCCGCTGAAGTTCGCAGCCCTGCCCAAGAGGACGTCAGGAGCAGGCGCAGCCTGGTTTTTTCCATGGGGAGCCAGCCCAGCTCCAGAGCCCCCAGCCCTTCTCCATTTGAAAGCGAAGGAAGGACAACTGAGTTTGAGGAGCTGGGGGTGCCAGAGCCATTGGAGCGCCCGCCCAGCACTAGGAGTCGGGGCAGTCAGCCCGAGACTGAGAGGAGCCCTAGGATGAGCAGGTACTGGGTTAGGGCTTGTTTGGGAGAGGGGAGGGAGCTGGAATTTGCAGGGCTCCAGCTCAAACACACTGTTTTGAAAAGCAGGAGAGAGAGAGCAAGCAACTCCTGGGAGGCAGTGGTGTGTAATGGTCAGAGCAACAGACCAGGACAGTGGGAGACCTGGCTTCAAATCCCCACCCGACCGTGAAGCTGATCTGAGTGCCCTGGGGCCAGGCGCCATACAGAGGCTGCGTACATAGCAGACATTGAAAGCGCATTTCCCTAGGGACACATGTGCACCCCCTGGGAATGGCAACTTACCTCTCACAGAGCTACAATTCCCAGCACCCTTCACAAACTACAGCTCCCAGGGTTCTTTGAGGGAAAGCAACGTGCTTTAAATGTATGCTGCGTGTACGCAACCATAAAGTTGCTGCAAAGATTGCAGGGGCAGGGGATACCACAGAGAGCCACTGCCATCACTTGGCAGTCAACCAAACCCTTTAGGAACCTGGAAGATGCAAGTCATGTCAGCCTGTAAATGGAGAAGGGCGGCACCTGTAAGCCTCTGAGATGTTGTTGGACTAGGAATGATTGGGGATTAGCAAACCAGTATCTATTTGTTATTTAATCAAACGGTGAAATGTATTTTATTGCTTATTGCTTATTTTTATTTTCATTATTATTATTATTATTTCTTTTGTCCCACCCTTCCACATACAGATACCAGGGTGTCTTAACAACATCTAAACACAACTTTTAGAACAGAATTAAAACTATTCAGTATTGGATTTGACAAATAGCGTTGCAGCTCTGCAATTTGGAAAACAGATTTCAGTGGTGGTTACCCCCGGAAAGCTGAGTTTCAACCACCCCAAATTGAAATACATCAAATGTTGAAACTGATTTTCGGACTTAGCATTCATCTGGACTTCCTTTTGTGCCATGCTTTCCAGGCACAGGCCTGCACTTTAAAGCTCCCTGTCCAAGCAGTTGTTATCACTGCACTTTCATGGAATCATAGAATTATAGAGTTGGAAGGGACCCTGAGGATCATTCTAGTCCAATCCCCTGCAATGCAGGAATCTGCAGCTGAGCCATACGGGGATCGAACCTGCAACTTTGGTGTTATCAGCACCATGCATGCTCTAACCAACTGAGCTATCCAGGCCCTGAGAACCCACATTTTAATGCTGAATTGGAGCAAATGGCAACTGGCAGAAAACCTGATTGCCATTTGCTCCAACTCAGTGGTAAAATGTGGTTTTTCCTGGGGAAAGCGATAGGGCGAAAAAACACCCGTTCCAACACAGAGCTTTAGAGTCTGGATCTGTGCCTGCAAACATGGCATGAAAGGAAGTCTGGACAACCTTTAGGTAGCTTTCACCTCCAGTATACATATGTTACTGGTTGTGGGCATGCATCTAGTGGGTTAAGAAACCAAGAGACCGGAAGGGGGGTATTGAAGGCAAGCCTGCCTGCATCCTAAAAAATAACATTGCAAGGTAACTAAATTTGCCCAGGGATCCAAAGCTGGGAAAATTTCCCACGGTGGCCATAGGGAATTATGAGGTGTCACTGGATGGAGTGGTCTTGACGGGCTGTTCTCGTTTCAGGAAAACCAGTAAGAGCAGAAGTAGCAGAAGGAAGTCTCCCCGGAGAAGTAAGAGATGCTAAACGCCCGTCGAGAGCCGACAGTTCTGCCCTTTGGTGGCTCCTGTCAATCACCTTCCTACTCTAGCTGATAACCAGCCCTGCTTAGGTTCTGAACTTAGGATGACCACTTCTTGCATTGCCAAAAATGAGGATAAAACAGGCCACAGTTTTGTCATTATGGTTGCTTAAAGAGAAATGCATCTCGCCATAGTGTGACCAGTGCCCCTGGTTCAGTCTGCTGCCCAGGTGTTCACTGCTGATGGGCGACATCAAGTCTCTGTTCTTAGGCTTCTTCTTCTTCAAGCCAGACCTGGGCCATGCAGCCCTTCAAAAGCCACTATGAAGCCCCACAGTGGAGGCTGATCCTTTAGGGCCCAGCGGTTCTCAACCTGTGGGTCCCCAGATGTCGTTGGACTACAACTCCCATCATCCCTGAGCTCTGGCCTTGCTAGCTAGGGGTGATGGGAGTTGTAGTTCAACAACATCTCAACCACAGGTTGAGAAAGGCTGCTTTAGGCTAAATGTTCAGTCTGTCTTCAGCAAGACTCCATTTGTTTGCCTTCTTACTTACAACCAGTTTCCTATCAGCTTCCTCCTCCTTAGTTTCAGTGTTGTCCTTATAGACATCAGCAGGGGTGAAGATGGAGGCAAAACCAGAATTAGTTGGCTCTGCCCATCATTAGATCTAGCTCCCCCTACTGTTGGCCTCCTGCTTTACACCCTACCTGTTGGTGACAAGGGGAAAAAATAGGTATAAAATGAGAATTCATTGGCTGCCTAGATCTCGGCTCGGGACAATTATTATTTGGTGGGAGAACCCCAGCAGAGATTTAAAATCACAAAATATGCAGCTAGGAAAACGTGGATATATATACTGTTGAACCTTTAATACATGCCCTTGTGAGATCCAAAATAGTCTCCTCTTCCCCCAGCATAGAAAAAGACCACGTTTGGTAAGTTAAAATGGTTTACTTACAAACTCTCCGAAGGTCAGATTCATGTACTCTTCCACACAGCATTCAGAAAATGTTGCAAAGGCAGGAAAGCCTGGCTTGGTTACAGAAGCCAAGTGGTATAGGAACACAAGAATGGCTTGTTAAAGCCATGTGGTCTGAGCTTGGAGCAACCAGCTCAGACCTTCTCACATGCTGAGGATGTTGGTGGCCCCCAGCTTCTGACTTCTCTACCCACTAGGCCATGCTGGCTTGAGATGATGGGTGTTGGAGACCAACATCATCTGGAAGGCTGCAAGCTTCCCATCCCTGGATTAGGCCTACACTATCCCTCCTCTCCATCACAGAACTACAATTCCCATATTTCTCTAAGAGGAGGAAATGGCTATTAACTCAGTTTAAGTTAATGGGTCTCTCTTTTTCAACTCAGGCTCCTAACCCTGCCTGCCTGATCTTTCCATCTCTCCCTTGTTTGCCTGCATTCTGTGTCCATGAGCAGGCCCTTGTGCTCCAGGGAGTCCTGTGTCTACTTCCTTTTCCTGTTTCCTCCGCAGGTTCAAGCCGGAAGCCCAGCAAGATTATCTCCCTCATCAGATCCTGCTCCTGGGGGAGGCGGAAGAGGAGCAAGAGCCGAGATGCCAGGTCCCGGGGCAAAGGAAAGAAACGCTGAGCGGAAAGAAAGGAGAACCCAAATTCTGGAGCCTCTTGGCTACCTCAACATTACTAAAGAGACTGGTTATAATAAAAACAAAGAACACCAAAAAAGCGCAAAGCATTGTGGATAAAGGTGGGAAATGAGAAGCAAGGGTCAAAGTTAAGGGGGTGCAGGGCACACTAAAGATAGTTCCATTTTCTGACACTGTGTCGCTGCTCTGCACCTGCAGCACCCGCCAAATGGTAGGGCCGGCCTAGCTTAGGAAACTTCCAGACGAGGCCAGAAGCGGACTGAGGGAGCGAAAGCTCTATACAGGACCAAATTGTTTCCTTCTTGGACGTGCTGTCCTTTCTATTGAACCCCAAGATGAAAATCCCTCCACTGGTAATCAATAAGGCCTCACACCTTTGGATTGGCCTGTTCCAATGCGACCAGAGGCAATTATTACCGGATCCCCTCCATTTCTCCACTTGGGGCCACCTTCATTAAAATTCTCAGGGGAGTGCCAGGAACATTAACTTTCGACTGCCTCCGTTTGCCAAGGTCACATGATGGATTTTGCCACTTTCTGCCATGGGGTCCGCTAATTAACTCAGGCAGAATGGAGAGGGGCTTATGACCCCTGGCAAGCCATGAAATTATCACTCTGACGAGATTGTGCTTGAAAAAGCAAGGTGTGTGTGTGAATAGGCACTAGAATTGAGTCTTTGCACCACAAGCACCGAGGGTGTGCTGTACCAAGAGGCAGGTAGGTATGCTGGGAAACTGCACTGAAATGAATTTTGCGGTAAAAATTGCCTCTGAAACACCCTTATTTGCCCTTCCTAAAGCACATTTCAAGGGACAAATGTTTTTTGGGTCCCCTCTCCCTTTACTCCCCCACATAAAGGAAGATAATTACAAATCGCCTTTCAACTTATTTTTCTTTACCCGGCCAAATAACAAAACTCAACAGGTGGATTTCTCACCTAACAGCCCTCCTCACATAACAATTAGGATCTCCAGATGGGAATTACCGGTATACCAGCCTGATTTCAATCAAAAGACATGCTTGGCCAATTCAGTAGGGGCCAGGTAGACACTACAAACTAGGTCCAGAAGAGATGTGTCACCAGAATGCTGACAAGAAGCCAGCTCTGTCTCTCCTTGTTACCCACTCCTGCTTATGTGGGATTAGGCCCCATTTCTGAGGAGGTATTTATAGCATGACACTGTAAGTCAAGCAAGGCAGTGGGTGGGCCGAATGGTCCCTCCAAATCAGTTACAGACTAGACTATGTGATTCTTTTCAAAACACCAGGGGACACTGTTATTTATTAATGTTTGTTGACTCCCTTGACAATTACAAAAAACATACAATATACTTATGGCCTTTTTTGTTATATTGTTATATGTTGTATTATACTTTGGGAGATTTCTTTTTTTCCAAAATACAGTTTTACTGATTTCCAATATATAACAATTACAAAAAAGACCCACTTCCCCCTCTCCAGGACGGTCAATCCAGTTAAGTTTGCCAAAGTCCAACCTGTCATTTTGGTGTTTGCCATTCTTTGGGGTTATCAGTAAAGTATTAATATTTATTTAGTTTGCTTTTCTAAACTTTGGGCTTATGTGCAAATCAATAAAACAATAATAATAATAAAAAGTAATGGCCTGGTTGAGGCCCAGTCAACAAATTAAATCCTGACAAGATGGTGGTTCGGGAGGTGAGCAATTCCCTAATTCCAGGTGAAGTTCCTCAGAAAACGGATGCTGTGCAGCTTGAGTGTTCTCCTAGATCTAGTTTTGTCATTGAGGCCCAAGCAGATTTGGTGGCTTAGCGTGCTTTTTAAGAGCTTTGGCTGATAGGACATCTACAATATCTTCTGGGCAGAGTCTGCTTACCTATAAAACACTAAACATTTGGAACAGAGGTACATAAAGGGATGCCTGCTCCCATTTCAGGCCACTCAGGTATTCCGCTCATCTCCTAATGCCTTTCTCCAGATGTCCCCATCAATAGACAGGTGGTGATACAGGGGTTGTTGTTTATTTGTCTGCAGCACTCCATGCGAGTACCATATTTTTCACCCTATAGGACGCACTTTTTCCCCTCCAAAAATGAAGGGGAAATGTGTGTGCGTCCTATGGGGCAAATGCAGGCTTTCGCTGAAGCCTGGAGAGCGAGAGGGGTCAGTGCGCACCGACCCCTCTCGCTCTCCAGGCTTCGCGCAGCTCTCCGCAAGCCATAGGAGCCTGGCGCTGGGCTCCCACGGCTTGCGGAGAGTTGCCTGTTCTGGGGGCTGGGGTCGGGGGAAGCTCGGGCTTCCCCTGCCCCAGCCCCACGCCTGGGGGGGAATAATTTTTTCCCCTTTATTTCCCCCCCCCAAAAAAAAACTAGGTGCGCCTTATGGGATGGTGCATCCTATAGGGCGAAAAATACGGTAATTCCCTTCCTGTGGACAGCAGGGCAACCCACCTGTCAGCCAGCCACTCCAGGGCAGATGCTTTTGTAGCTGCCTGCCCCATTGTTGTTGTTTAGTCGTTTAGTCGTGTCTGACTCTTTGTGACCCCATGGACCAGAGCACGCCAAGCACTCCTGTCTTCCACTGCCTCCCGCATATTGGCCCGCCCCATATGTAACATATAGTTAGGTGATTGGCAGGTGGGCATGGGTCGGCCAAGATGGCCACCCTTGCTGTAGCACAACAGGCAGTGGGGAAGGGCCAGCCCTACCATCAGGAGGAATGAGGTAACTGCTTCGGGCAGCAGATCCTGAGGGGGCAGGCAGAAATGGCCATCTCCTGAGCTCCTACCCTCTGCTGGCGTACATAGCAATGGGTCCTACATGCACCCTTGTAATGGAGGGCACTACCTCATCACCAAAGTCAACTGCCCATCTCATTCAGTAGGTGGAATGGAGTCGGGGGCAGCAACCACACTTTGCTCAGCCAGCAAAATGTCTTGAGCCCATACTCAACACTTGACAACTTGCCACCATGATAAGTCTGTGTGGGCCGCTCCCATGCCCTGTGGAGCAGTAACAGGCAGCTTCACACATAACACCCTGAACAGACATGAGAGCCGAAGGGCAAGATATGCGTATTTTAATCAGCCACATGAATGAAATGACTTCTGACTGTGGATGCACCATCACAGATCCAGCACCACAGACAGAACTTCCAGGACCCGACTCTTCTCAGTGCTGTCTGTGCCCATGCTCAGCCGCAAGGCATCAAGCAACATTTAAATTGGGTTAGCACGCATCTACTACAAACCAATTTCAAGTGGCTCAGGGCATAGAGGCTGGTCTGATCCTCAAAGGGCTTGTGCATGTACAGAGGTGTACTAGTTTGTGCCTAATTTAAATCAATGCTTCCCAGGGTTGAATTCTAGAACCATTTATTTTAAAACACACACACCTCAACCTGGAATGCATGAAGTGGGATCCAACAAGGGGGCTTCTGAGCATTTGGACTGGACATTCATGTACCACTGAGTAAGGAAGGAACATTCCACAATGCAGGCAGTGCTTGCCACAAATCTCTGCAGCCACCTGGTGGTCAGATGAAGCCATTTCACTTCCCATTTTCCCCCTTTGCTTGCTTTTCAGCTTTTCCCACTTGCCAATTCCTACCTCTAATGGAAAAACCATGTAACTGCAGCCCCTTATCCCACTGCCTCTAGGCCAGGAATAGCCCTAAACACGTTGACACTCAGCCTCTAGCACAGTTTCCCAAAGCTGTCTTTGGACTACAGTTCCCATCATCCCTGACCACTTGACCTGCTAGCTAAGGGATGATGGGAGTTGTAGTCCAACAACAGCAAGAGACCCAAGGTTGAGAAACACTGCTCTAGCAGAAATGGACCAAAGCTGCAGGATTTATCCACCAGTTGGTGTGCATGTACGAGACCGCAGCCCAGTCCTGTTTCTGTATGATGCACAAACAGACTGCAAAAAACCTACAGGACCTGGTTTGCTCCCCTATGAGGATACCAGTTCTGAAATGGTAGCCTAATACAACATTTTAAGGCTATCCCCACCAATCGGGGACCTGTGGTCCTCCAGTTGTTGCCCCATCACCCCTGAACACTGGCCAGGCTGGCTGGAGCTGAATGGTGTACGACAGGGAGTACGATGCCTGAAGCAGCACAGGGTCCCCACCCTTGCTCCAAATAGTTATGAAACGAGGAAGCGAAGAGGCAGCACAAAACCTGTTGAAAGTCAACAAAACCTACTGGCTGAAGCAGGTGGCGGGGGCTGCATAGAAACACCCAGCCACTGTTGGATATTCTCTCTGTGTGTGAGAGAGAACCATTTGTTCCAGAAACATAGAAGAGCAGAGAAGAAGTTTCAAGAAGCAGCAGAAGGCTGAGATTGTTTTGTCTATGCAAGGACGTTTTCTGTGGGAACTGTTCTTTGGAAATGCGCAGTGTGACATGAAGTACTGATTAACAATGGTTCTGTGCAACTTGTTGTGAATCTCTTGCTTGCGCCTTGCGGTGAGAGAAGCAGTGTGTCTTGTACTCTTGTTGGACTCTAAGCATGCCTTGACCAGTGGGGAATGTCTGTATATATTTGCTACCAATGTGCTTTTATGCTTGTCAAGTCAACCTCTACACTTGACTGACTATGGCTTCCATGAGTGTTTATTGCCTACTGTGTGTACCTTCAACCCCTTCCAAGATGCTTCCAAGGAAGGAGCTGCGTTGAGATGTGACTCTACCAAATATGGATACTGGCACACATGCACGGCAAAAGTAATGTCGGACCCAATCCTTCTCATCCATCAGAGGCTGATAGATTGATCCAACAGCCACAAGTTAGGAAAGTTAGATATAACCTTACTTTCCATTTGACCACTATGGTATTTGAAGCAGAAGCAGAATCGCTCCCTGCAGTGTTTGCGTGGTGCCACCTTCATTCTTTGCATTGGTGCCCCTCAGTTTCATTCGGCATCAGGAAACGTTGCTATAGTTTCATTCATTCCCTGCTCCCTAGATGACTACCCTGTTACTCACCCCTATTGCCTGTAGCGGTTTGGGTCTTTAAAGAAGCTTTGCTATGCGAGTCAGCTGGTTATGAAAACCAAGCCCAGGCTGTCGTGAAGAGGTGGGCGAGAAGGAAAGAGAGAGGCAACAGCAGAGCTACTGTACCCCAGCCAAACACCACAAGAGACAGAGATCAGGAGCAACAGCAACACCATGTTTATTTCACCGAAAGGAGACACAGGAACGTAACAGGAATACGCATGTGTCAAAATGAGGGGCTGGCTATGCAAAGTGTTGTGCAGCACACATACAGGAGCGTGCAAGGAATGGGTGTGGGACTTTTAAGTTAACATTTATAAATGGGGAAATACGAACGCCCACTGAAGGGGGGGAGACCCACAACAGAGCAATCTGTGGAAACCAGCCATACAGCTGCCCAAGTCTGAGAATTACCGTAAAAGTTGTTAGAAGACGCTTTGGAGGAAGACAAACAGAGCTGCCCTGCTCCGGAAAGGATGAAACAGACACGAGGCAGATTCCGTGGCCGCAGGGGCAGTGCAGTATTAAAAACTTCAGTGGAGAGTAGAGGAGGAGGAGGGGGAGGAGGAGGGGGAGAGTAAAGTGCGGGAGAATTCTCAGCAGCACAAGAAAGAGAGGAGACCTTTGCCTCCCCAAAAGGAGAGCTCAGGGTGTGGGGCGAACAAAGCCAGCTCTGGGTGGCTAAGTGTTGGCAAAGGAAGGGGCACTAAATGGGTCCACAGGGGAGTGTCGTGGGGGGAGGGCACAAGAGGATCCCGGTCAGCTTTCTTTGTCCCTTTTTCTCAATGAACTGAGATGGTGTCTTTTAATGGAGAAAACCTCACCGGATCCAGATGAGAAAGAGACCCAACTATTGCATTTGCCCGAGGCTAAGAAAATTGAAGTTGGCAGGAGAGGTAAAGGACAGAAACATCCCCTCTCAAGCCCATCATGCATGCAAAAAGCCCAACCTATTACTCCCACAAGTCCTGCCTATACCACTACTTGCCTTTACGTACTACACACAGAGAGAGACAGAGAAGGTGTGCATTTCTTAAGGGAATTAGCAGTGAAGGCAGTGACTATAGTGCAGGAAGCAGGGAGAGTCGTGGTCCATGAAGATGAACTTGGAGCTGTGTGCTTTTCGGACTTTGGGTCAGCTCTTTCCACAGGGCTCATTCCTCTTACCCATGCCCCATAGCCTTCATAGCGAAAGTACATTGGGGATTGCAGTTTTGCAAAAGGGCCCCACAGAAAAAAGGGCCCACAGAACCACAACGCCCAGGGTTCCTAGGATGGAGGCAGAAGGAAGCTGTGAAACGCTTTATCAGCAAGGGTAGACATCGAAACAATGATTCCCCAACTTTCCTGATCCACAGGAAGTGGAGGACAGAATGGCAACAGGGCACTGTGGTTGGCAGACCCCCTGTTTGCTGCCAAGCCCTGCAGGGTCCCTCCCCACAACCACACCCCAAACTTCAGGATCACAGTTGGGCTTTGTCCAGGAGGCAGTCCGCATGAAGGCCCCTCTGTCTCACAGACGCCCCACTAGCGGAGGGTAGCACAAAATTGCAGAGTCCTCACGACAGACACCTCTTCCTCCGATGAAGCCCCTGCAGGTGTGAAGCTGCGTACGAGGCCTCCCCTCTTCTCACCACCTTGTCCAGCCCCAGCTGCTGCAGCTTCTCCACCAGGTTCAAGCTGAAGATGCTGGGCTTGTCCTCCTCCTCCTCCCTCTGCGGCAACCGAGGCGATCCCAAAGCCCACTCCCCTAGGCCGCCCCAGCGGCAGCGCCACAGGGAGCCCAAAGGAGGAGACAGCCAAGACAGGGTGCCTGAGCCTCTGGGGAAGAGGGCCAAGGCTGAGGCTGCCCCCGCCCCTCTCTGTGCAGAAATGCCTTGCTCCGTCAGCAGAGTCACTAGTCCAAGAGGGGGGTCGTCCTCCTGCTGCTCTTCACAGCTGGGCTCTTCCTGCAGGGGGAGCTGGGGAGGGTGAGGGGGGCTCAGCCCCGTGCCGGACCCACAAGAGGGCACAACTGTATTATAAAGACTGGAGAAGGAAGGGGTGGACACAAAGACAAAAACCAAAAAAAGAGGAGAGAAATTCAGTTCCATGGACTAGAGGCAGTCACTAAAAGCACGCATAGGACGCTCAGGAACAAGTTCAGCTTCCTTCTGCAACGGCAGGTGCATTCTTTAATGTGCAGCATCGGTGGCCAAGCAAGTTGGCTCAGGCTGACATTACAGCTCACTAGAAAATCCCCAAGCAGAGCCATGAAAATGCTGGACCTCTTGCTATATGTGGGAAGCTGGCAACCCAAGAGACTGAGCTAAGAGAACACATACAGAGAACAGGCAGTTTCCCCCAAGTTTGCTGCCATTCAGAGCACAAGAGACCAGAACTAAATCAAATAAATGGAGGAGCCACTTCCATCTGAATGCAGCATTCTCTCGCTAAAAATCACAAGCTGTTTGTGGTGCAAATCCTTTTGAGTTGACGGCTGAATTTATTCCTGCTCCATCCCCATGATGTGACTGCCTTGGGCTGTGACTTTGGGGTTGCCATTAAGCCTGGGCAGGTTGAGAACCAGAGGGATTTGATCTATCTATTGGGACCCAATCCAGCAGGAAGTAGGGATTTGCACTGATCCATCTTCAGGGCACAGAGAGGGAGATGCAGATGCCACATAGCTTGGAACTGCCAGGGTTAAAATGGAAAGCCTCTATGGACCATGTTTCTCTATTGGGTGCAGAGTGGCATCTCTCTTTGTAATCTCTGTGGGGAAAGCCCCATAGGCCTCATTCTGGTCATCAGCACGACAAAACAACCCAGAAGTGCCAATAAAGGGACAAGTGGGGCTGCACCTTCTTCTTACCCTGGTGGACTGTGACCCGTTGCTCATTACTGAGAGAAAGCAGGGGGCGGGGCGGGCAATGTGCCGGCTGGATTTTCCTCGCCCGAGCACTGCCATCGTCAGCCTTCCCCATCCTGGACCCTTTCGGGCGTTGTTGGACTCCAACTCCCATTAGCACGGCCAGTGGCCAGGGACGATGGGAATTGTAGTCACAATGACACTGGGAGGCACCAGGATGCTGGCAGCTGCCCTTGAGCTGGCCCTGCAGCACATCTACAGGTGCTAACAGGCTGGGTGCCACACCTGAACTAACCCAGAGATTCTGAATGTGTGAATCTGTTTTTAGGGGACTGGAGAAAAGGGCAGGCACAGGTAGCGACACTGCCTCCTGCTGGTTGAAAACGGCACGTGGACAGAGACACACTGAGCCATAACGTCTTTGCTCACAAACACTCATTCATCGCTCTCGTTATCAGAAGTTCATGTTATAAACCAGTCACACCAGTTAGTTGTCTGTTCCTCTACCTACCCCCTTCTCCCTACTCCTCTGTGCAGTCAAGGAAATGGGAGTAAGGGAGGCAGCCCCTGCCGCCTTTGGGTCTGACCCCGCAGTGTTAGTGCCCATTTAACCTGTGCAAAGCAGATGGGTTAGTGCTAAGGCTAGAGAGAAAGGTTAGTGGGTTAATAGATGTGGCTGTGCCCAGTGGCTGAATGTAGCTGCCTGTCCCCACCGTCAAATCCTCTTCTTTTCGTGTTCTTCAAATCAAGGTAGTGCGGTGCAGTGGTCAGAGTGATGGGCTGGGAGAATGGGGATTCTAGACCATACTTGCTGGGTGGCCTTAGGTCAGTCACTACCTCTCGGCCTCTCCTACCCTCACGGGGCTGTTGCAAGGATAAAATGGGGAGGAGGAAGAAGAATGGATACTACCCTTGAAAGAAAGGGTAATAAGTCATCAATGGCCTGTAGCATATGGTTTGGGGCAGGGAAGTCAATTCATAAGTCAGTAGGGCTGCCCCACCCTGTGGACAGCCCCTCCCACCAGATATCAAACAGATACAGAACTATATGACTTTTATAAGTTGTCTGAAGGCAGCCCTGTACAGGGAAGTTTTTAATGGTCAATGTTTTTATCGCACTCTTAGTATTTTGTTGGGAGACGCCCAGAGCGGCTGGGGCAACCCAGTCAGATGGGTGGCATAAAAATAATAAAATTATTATTATTATTAGGGTTAAAAAAGCTGGAGATTTTCTTAAACAGCTACTTTAAAAAGGCTTTTAATTTTGGACAGCTTGTTTTTTTAAAAAAGGGAATTGTATATTATGATATGTGGGCTTTAATATTATAAAAAAACAAACAAACCTTAAGGTTTGTTCTCCAGTTATACAGGTCAATGTGATCCCTGCATTGCAGGGGGTTGGACTAGATGACCTTTGGGGATCCTCTTCCAACTCTATGATTCTATAACTAGTATATGAATAGAGTGTATTTGAAGGTGTCGTTTATAAGGCTGCCGCTTTTCTTTCTTTCTGTTATTCTCGTATTGCTCAAAATTATTGCCGTTAGTCACCCTGAATTCTCGGGAAAGGGAATGAATCCTGCTGCAAGTGTTATCTTATCATTAAAAGAGCACATAAGAAGGCTTGGATTCCCTTCGGGTGGGGAGGGCCAGCTCATTCAACCTCTGATTCCTCTGAACCCTGGGCAGGAAACTTCCCATTCTCCTTCATAAAAACAAGCCCGCTGGCTGAGAGACAAGTGGAGGGGGAAGGCTGCTGTAGCAGCAGCTGCCGATTGACCTAAGGGTCCCGTGGAAATATTTTTATCAGACACATCAAGACTTGACATTGGTTCAAGGCAAGGCTCCACATCACCTGGGAGGAGCCCACTTCTTAAGCCATTGTGATGTTCAATGACTCCTCTGCGTTATGGCTTAATGTGGATCAGAGCAACAACAACAACAAAAAGGTTTCAAACCCCAGCTGCTCTTAAGATGCCACAGCTTGGGATCCAGGAAATGTGGAGCAAGTGTTCCTCTGACCATGTGCAGAGTGCCTTTCCTTCTGAACATCAAGGCCCCCTCCCCAGTGCCTTATATTAAAGGGCAGGGCCCTCAAGGTCTCGCAGGTGAACTTGTTTGAGCCACAGCACCTCTATTTCCTGAGAATGAGCCACACGACCACTTTTGGGTGCCTGTGTTTTCCTAGATAAAGGCCTCCTCTGCAGGCATCAGCAGATGGGCCTTGGGATCCCTTGTCCTCAAGCCAGCATTGCTCAAGAAGGAGAGTGAACAGGTGAGGGAGGTTTCCTTGCCCAGCTCTCCCCAGGTAGGATAGAGAGAAAAGAGGCAGGGAAGAGATTTCTTACTTCGGAGCCCACCCCATCAATACGCCAAGGGCTGCAGGAGATGCCCATACCGGGGTCAGCAGTGCCTAGGATCCAAAATGGTGGGGAGGGAGATTGCAGGTTAAAAACGGCAGACAAGACACACACACACAGAGGGAAATCCTCCTTATGGCGATGACGGAGGAGCAGAAGCAAAAGGATGATGGAAAGCTGGCGGAAGGGAGGACCACAGAGGATGCTTACCTGGGTGTCACCATGGTAACCTCGTTGCTAGGGTGCGAGAAGCAACAGGTGGTGATGGTGAAAGTAGGCGGGGTCTGGGGCAGATTGTTAACGGAGTGAAATACTGAAACGGACAGGAAAACGGAGGGTTAATGAGTGGGGCAGGGTGGTGTTGGTGGGGCGTGGAGACAGACAGAGACAAATGCCAGGTTATCTAAGGGGGAGGTATGGAGGAATACTTTTTCATAAATGCCGACAGGGATGAAGCCCTCTCCCTCTGCCTCCACCCCCAACCCCTTCATGTTGTTCAAGGTGATTTTCAGGAAATGCTTTTCCTGTGGGAAAGGACATCCCTCACCATCAACTTGTGGACTGTGTGGGCTGTATTCAACTTAAGTTTTACTCAGGACAGACCCCCCTTAAATAAATGGTCCCCATATCTCCATTTTAACGGAGTGGGCCGTAAGCTGAATACAAACCCAAAGGTCTAGGTGCTTTTGCAGAGGTCAGGTTTTAGCAATGGCTCCTTGCCCCATGTTTATGCTAGTTATTGTGAAGTATTAAAAAAAAATGAAAGGAAATTGCAAGTACACTGGGTTTTTTGACAATGTAAGCAGGGTATTTTCCCCATCCTTCCTGAATTTTCCTCTTCTCTCCCCCCACCACCTGTGCCCCCAAATACTATTTTGCTCCCACCTTCAAATTAGAAAGGGCAACTGCAAGAGTTATAAATTAATGGCTTGCGAGTGGTTGGTGGTTAAGGAGAAATCAAACCGTCAACTTTGAAGCCTCCGGAATCACCTTAAAACACACAAACCTGAGGTGGTGGAACTTATTCTTCATATGTGTTTTTAAAAACTGAGGGAGTCATGAAGAGTTAAACGAGATTGCCAAACCACCACCTAGGTATACCTCACAGAAAAAAAAATGGGTGTTTTGTTTGTAGTATCCCTGCTCCCAAGTTGACAGGGGAGATGGGACTGACTGGCAGAACTGGGGGTCACTAGAACAGCAGCCCCCCAGCCTGCGAGCCCCGAGCAGTTCAGGGCAAGACACAAACACACACAACAGCTGCCAATTTGCTACAGAGCACCTCAACAGTTGGTTCACAAAATGGCTGCCAGTGGACTTGAAGCAAAAGTAGTGTGACTCAGGGAGAGAGGCATCAACTTCTCAAGATGATTAAGGGGGCCCAATGCAACATCCTGACGTTGCGAGGAGCTGGGAGGTGGAGCCAAAGGCCCTCTGAACACTGAGGGGGGCTCAATACCCCCCTCAAAAAAAGGACCTTGTGGGGGCCAAAAGTCCCTCAGCCCCTAGGATCTGGTGCACATGCTCAGGGATGTGGTTATCACACCACAGGGATGCCATATGACAGAAACTTGTCCAGGACACTCCCCAAGCTTTCCTACTGGCACACAACGTTTAGAAATGAACCAACTGACTCACCACTAGGCCTCTCCTTGGCCTTGGCAGGTGTCGAGGTAGCAAGGGCCGGGAAGGAGCCTGCATCCACATCGTCTTCTTCCAGGTCATTCAGGTTGTAGACCTCCTCCAGGTCTGTGTCAAGCTGCCGGAAATCTTTGGTGAGCACACCTGGCCGAGGGTCCAGGATCCCTGCCAGGTGAGGCCGGGCTAGCTGCTGCCAGTGGTGGAGGGTCATGGAGCCTAAAGAGAGACCGGGAGGGAAAGGGACATAGGCAGGAATGCAAGCGATGCCAAGTAACTTGCGTTTAAAGTCAACTGGCCAAGGTTAGCAAAGCTGGACAGAAGCAAGATTATCGAACACCTTGCAACAGGACTGGTCCAGCTCTTTGGAGTTAAGTTTTGCACCCCACATCTTTAGAGCCAGAGAATAATCATCATCATTATCATCTTCATCATCATCATCATCATAATTTATTATTTATACCCCGCCCATCTGGCTGAGTTTCCCCAGCCACTCTGGGCGGCTTCCAATCAAGTGTTAAAAACAATACAGCATTAAATATTAAAAGCTTCCCTAAACAGGGCTGCCTTCAGATGTCTTTTAAAGAGAAGATAGCTGCTTATTTCCTTCACATCTGAAGGGAGGGCGTTCCACAGGGCGGGCACCACTACCGAGAAGGCCCTCTGTCTGGTTCCCTGTAATCTCACTTCTCGCAATGAGGGAACCGCCAGAAGGCCCTCAGTGCTGGATCTCAGAAACATAGCCAGAAACAAAGACTTGGCTAATTGCCAGTTGTACTTTTGATGCTGAAGGTACAAATCTCCCCCAAGCCCCAATCCATCCCATTAAAACTGGAAATACTCTTGCACTGAGAAGCTGCATAAACGGTCATTTTCCTCAAGCAAATCCCAGAGCAATGGACAGGCACTTCTTCCTTGCAATTCCCGTTTTCCCTTTCCCCCTTTTCCAGGGCAAGGGATTATGGGGATCAGAGGCGTCACCTTCTTAATAGGATTGAGGGGGCTCATGCGCAACACTGTGCAATGGCATGACATCATGCACACAACGTTGCACAATGTCGCGAGGAGCCAGGAGGCCGAGCCAAACACCCCCTGAATATTGAAGGGCTCAGTCCCTTAAAAAAAAATAATTGAGGGGGAAACTGCCTCGGCCCCTCGGCGCACCAGATGGGGATTCTTTAACTAGATTTCACTCCCCCCCTCCACGTTTCCCATCATCCTTGACCACTGGTCCTGTTAGCTAGGGATGATGGGAGTTGTAGTCCAAAAACAGCTGGAGGGCCAAGCTTGGCCACCGCTGATTTAAGATGTTTCAGCTTATGTTGAAAACTGCTTAGAGATTTGTTTAAACCCTAAGTGGTATGTAAAGTGTAAAAAATAAATGAATGAATACCGCCAAATGACTTTTTAAAAACCATCACATGCTTCCAGTCCCTATGCACTTGCAAGCTAATTCAACAGACGGACGCATCGGAATAAATTCAGCAAAATATAGCCCAAAGTGTGCCCATGGATCACCCACTCCCTCCAAGGGAGCACCCCCCACCCCAGTTCTTGACTGCCGTCTCCCACTGACCTTCCAGAGGCTTGATGATTTGAAGCTTATCGGGGAAACAAGAGAAGGAGCCCAGAGAAAACCCGGAACCGCCAGAGCTGCCCGAATAGTTGGTGCCGGTGGATGTGATGCTTTCGTTGGGCGTGAGGAACCCGCTGGAGTCCTCGGCGTCCCTCGCCAGCCGCCTCAGCTTGCGTTCCCTCTCCATCTCGAAGAACGAGCGCTCAGTGCTGTGGCTCTCCTGGCGGGCCGACAAGCACCGGACGGCAGCTTCCAAGTCGTGCCGGCCGGGCGTGCCCGGTGTGCCAGCCTCGCGCCGGCTAAATGAAACCAAAGAACAGGAGGTGGAATTAGCCACGCTGATCACCGCTGCCACCAAGGCCTGTGGCGTTGTACAGGAGACAGGTCTCCGCCCTGAGGAAACGACCATTTGAAAATAGGTTGTGGCAAGGTGCCTAGACCGTGTCTCGGCAGGACTCACCGTGCTTCGTCCGGCCCTTCAGAAGTATGGCCGTCGTGCCCCTCCAGGCCTCCGGCAATGGGGCTGTCTGAACCGTAGAAGCTGGTGCGCGGAGTGCCCAGGCGGCTGCAGCCCAGGGAGGAAAATTTGGGAGAGTACACTGGGAGGCTCAGGGGAGACTCTGCCCGCGATCTGGCTTTCGCCACCTGGTTCACAGCCTTCACTGTCTCAAAGACCCGACGGACACCCCTGAGATTAACATACAAGGCAGAGACGGGGTCAGTAGTGGGACACAAAGGGAGGTCATGGCAGGGCAGGACTCTGGTAATATGGTGCCCTGAGCAAGGACAAAATTAGCATGCCTCCCCCTCCCATATTTCTTAATTTGTCATAGTAATTCCTTTTGGTCCAGTTGCTTTTTTAAATGGATCTTCTCATGGTACTAATATAGGCCAGGATTTCCCAAACGTGGGTCTCTAGCTGTTTTTTGGACTACAACTCCCATCATCCCTGACCGCTGGTCTTGCTAGCTAGGGATGATGGGAGTTGTAGTCCAAAAGCAGCTGGAGACCCAAGCTTGGGAAATCCTGATGTTGTTATTTTGTGCCCCCTCAGCTCAGCGCCCTGTGTGGGGGAACCATCTGCAGCACCCTAAATTTTGCACTGGTTCCTCCTCCTCTGGTCCCCAAGAGTTAACTTTTCTAACCCTAGCTCTGCCCCCAACCCAAGTTTTTAAACCAGGGATAGGGAAACCTGCTGCTGTCCCCAGCCTCCATCTTTCCTGGCCACTGGTCCTGCTGACGGGGGCTGATGGGAAATGGAGCCCAAGGACAGCTGAAGAGCCACATAGGTTCTCCCCTGCCATCATTCCGTATATAATTTTTTTATTAAATTTTCTGTTTTACAATTTAAAGTACTCCTTTTTACATCCTTAAAATATCAGTGACTTCCCTTCTTCTCTTTCCATGGTTCATTTTACATATCATAAATCCCTGCATATTTTACAGAAACTATACCATTCAGTATTCCATTATTGCATCCATCATAACTTACTTACACTGTTGAATTTATTATCTTAATGCTGCCAATGTTTTCCGGTGTACACAATTTCCCCCCATATATTCAATCAACATTTTCCAATCTTCTCTATATGTATGCTCTTCTTGTTCTCTTATTCTATATGTTAAGTCTGCAAGCTGCGCATATTCTGTCAGCTTAAGTTGCCATTCTTCTTTAGTTGGGACCTTGCTCGTTTTCTAATTTTTGGGCTAACAAAACACGGGCCGCTCCCCCTGCCATCATTCTGAATTTCACCTCCTGATCCAAAGGCTCCTCCTTCTTCCCCCATTTGGCCTCAGGGGTTGTGCTGTATTCACGATGCCATCCTCTGAGAACTTCTTGCTTTCGCCACTCATTTTTATGGGTCTAGCTTGCACACATGAACACACACACACCAGGTATCTTGTGCCCTTCCCACTTACTTGCACTCCGAGGAACCAGAGGTGTCCACGCTCTTTCTCATCGTGCCCTTGATCTCTGCAGCCAGGGAATCCTGCAATTCAAAAAGTCACAGTGGGCAGGTGGTCTTCCACTAGTAAAAGATGCCCAGGGAATTCCCAGAATCAATTTCTTTTTCTTCCATTCCATTTGTGCTTCCCCAGGAGGTGGGAATAGAGAGCAGGGCAGACTGGGCGGGGTAAAACCCTCACCCATAACCATGGGGGGGGGTGTGGCTTCTGTGCCTGTGTTCAAACCAGACAGGAATGTCAGACTGGGGAATGGGGGAGCGAGGAAAACATGCTGGAGCTGCTTAGTGGTCGGACTGTGCACGCTCAGAGACACTGTTAGCATGGTTCATGGAACAGAACCCATTGAAGAAAAAACCAAATCCCCATAATTCAGTCCTGACTCAAATGAAATCCCGAGGCGGGCAATTAAAATGTTAAAAGTTAAATAAACCTTGTGGAGGGAGAAGTGTTAAGGTATATAGAAGTGTACATATGGTTGATTTGAATATTTTATTATTGAATATTATTGAATATGTATATTACTGAATATGCATACCCAATGTATCAGCCGCCTGGGGGGTTTCACTGTTTGTGTTTTGGTGGTTAGTAAAAAATAGAATATTTTTTAAAAAATGAAATCCCGAGGCTTGCCCTTCTTTATCCCACTTTCCCCTCCTCCCTCGCTGAGGACTAGGAGCTTAAAATGCACCCGTTGGAATGTGAAGGAAGCAACCTGGCTGCTCTTCCCAATAAGGAGACATGCTGTTCGCCTCCTCCTCCTAAAATAACCACCTTCTGCCATCCCCACTGCTCTGCCTCCTATCAAGAGTACTCTCTTTTACAAACCAATTCTGTTTCCCCGGTATCTCCTCCTTTACGCAGCCCCCTACCCCAAGATGCGCTGTACTTACCAGGGGCAAAAAAGTAGGGGAGCTGTGACGGTGGATGGTGCTGTTGGGGAGGCTGCGATTCCGGAGGTTTTTCATCTCCTCCTGGGCTTCATGCAACATTGCCCCACACTCCACGTATTTCTCCTGCAGGTCTCGGAGCTGAAAGTGCAAGAGGAGAGGCATCTCATCTTAATCAGGCCAAGCCACAATGAGAAGAGAAACTAGGGGCAGTTGTTTTACTCTAGAATTGATTTGCAGTGCCTAACTCTGCTGCAACTCTGGGCCAGTATACCTGAAGGAGCGTCTCCACTCCCATCATTCTGCCCGGACTCTGAGGTCCAGCGCTGAGAGCCTTCTGGTGGTTCCCTCACTGCAAGAAGCAAGGCTACAGGGAACCAGGCAGAGGGCCTTCTCAGTAGTGGTGCCCGTCCTGTGGAACGCCCTCCCACCAGATGTCAAAGAAATAAACAACTATTTGACTTTTAGAAGACATCTGAAGGCAGCCCTGTGTGACATTTTTAATCTTTGTTGGAAGACGCCCAGAGTGGCTGGGGGAACCCAGCCAGATGGGCGAGGTACAAATAATATATTATTATTATTAACAAATACAAATAATATATTAATAATAATAATAATAATAATAATAATAATAATAACACACCAGTTACATGTTCAGGTTCAATTAAAACATGTGACTGAACTTGCTGTGATATCAGTCAACAGTGATGATCTCCTGACCTTTTTACCCCCCCTTTTTTTTCATTACAATAGGTATTTATTGGCATTAAAACTTGTTCAACAGTCATGCCCTTCCGTCGGAGAACCCCTGGGAAATGTATGTGAGTGGGGAGAGCCAAAGCAGGCTGGCACAAAACGGATACAGGGCCCTGTTCGACCAGGCCAAAGGCCCAGCTAGTCCAAAAACATCCCATTCTCACCATGGCTGGCCAGATACTTAGGGGAAGATGGCAAGCTGTGCATGAGTGCAAAGGCGGTCTGCCCCACCTGTGACTGCCTGCAACTGGTTTTCAGAAGCGCACTTCCTCCAACAGAAGCTGAGCAGTGGCTCAGCCGGTAGAGCATCAGACTCTTAATCTCAGGGTCATGGTTTCGAGCCCCACGTTGAGCAAAAAGATTCCTGCATTGCAGGGGGTTGGACTGGATGACCCTCGTGGTCTCTCCCAACTCTACAGTTCTCTCTCTGCCTTCCTCCCTGTACTGTACACCAAAGAAAATCCCCCGTGTTGCAAAACAGGACACTCAGAATAACAACAAGCAACACATCACCTTACTATACTTTTTAGCGATAGCTGATCCTTGGCCATTTGATGTATCTTTGGGGACTACAGTCATACCTCGGGTTACAGATGCTTCAGGTTGTGCGTTTTCGGGTTGCACACCGCGCCGAACCCAGAAGCACCAGAACGGGTTACTTCCAGGTTTCAGCACTTGTGCATGCACAGAAGCGCCCAATCGCGACCCACGCATGCGCAGACATGGCGCTGCGGGTTGCAAACGTGCATCCCACACGGATCACGTTCGCAACCCGAGTGTCCACTGTATTAATTTGCTGATGAAGATTTATCATTCAATCAGTTCGTTATCCTGGAAGAACTGTACTGTCTTCTGCAGTGCTTGGAGCACCCTATTGCAATGTTTGGAGCACCCACCATCTCATGTCTGTAGGATATTGACTGTGGGAAAGGCATTCTGCCTCCGTTTCAGTGATCTTTGACAGTGACTTAGCATCCTACCATTCCTGTTCATGGAACATTTGATTGCTGTTAGTTTGTGACTCCAGGCACATATTATATGTCTTCTGTTTATGAATCTTGAAACAGCATAGTGTTATAAAAATATTGCCAGTATATTATCAGCTGACGTGTTGCTTGCTGTTGTTCAGATTCCTCTCTGTACTGGACAGACGCAACCAGCCATCACCCACCACAACCACCCCTGCCGCCGCCCTGTCTCCAAGGATACAAACCTCTGTTCGTAACTGCTGCTGAACCTCCTTGGCAGCAGCAAGATGTTGCTGCAGCTCCTCCACTTCTGAACCATACTGGAGGAAGAAAGATAAGAGTTATTGCCACCAGGATCATCCACGGTGTCCTTGGGGGGTTTTTTTGTTTTTTTTTTAATTATTTGATTTTACAATTATAAGAATATGGCAATACACATCCATATTTAAAGATTCCTCTGAATCTCTGGACTTCCCACCTTCCTCTCCGTGGGTCCTATTGTCAACCCTTTCTACTGTATATTATTCAGCAGTCCATATTTTGTAACACTCCATTGTCTCCATAGTACAGTCGTACCTTGGATCCGACGGAATCCGTTCCAGAAGTCCGTTTGACTTCCAAAACGTTCGGAAACCAAGGCGCGGCTTCTGACCGGTTTCCGATTGCCCAGGCGTACCGGAAACAATAGCGGAAGCCCCATCGGATGTTCGGCTTCCAAAAAAATGTTCAAGAACCGGAACACTCACTTCCAGTTTTCGATCGTTTGTGAGCCGGAACGTTCAACACCCAAGGCATTCGGGAGCAGAGACACAATTGTATTTGCTACATTACAAGTGTTATTGCAGTCCTGCTAATACTTTCGTCTGCTTACAGTGGTCTCCAAGATAAATTATAATTCCCACCCCCACTCTTTGTTAAGGTTTTGGTATTCTTGCACTCTTTATAAAGACTTGAGGAATGAGATCACCCCTCTTTTATTGTCCATTCCGGGTCGCCCAGCCACTGCCACAGTGTCCTTTCTCTTGGCAGACCAAGATGAGCAGGTGACAGCAAAGGTTGCAAGGTTTTTAGCTGGGGCAATCCGAATAAGATCCACTATTTAACTATTGCTTCAAAACCCTAAAATGTATTTTATATAATTGACTTTTCATTTCTATTCTTTGTCTGGTTGTATTGTTGTTTTATTGCCATCGCCGATGGCTGGCGCAAATAAAGATTCATTCATTCCTTCATTTGGTCTTCTTGGTTCCTGAGCTTCCCGGTCACTTTTGCCATTTCGGCATAATCCAAGAGTTTAATTGGTTGGGTTTTTTTAATTAAAGGGAAGTGCTGAACACATTGACACATCCACTGCAACACAGGGCTGCTCATCTTGACTTCCTAGATATGCTAGGAATGTTCCCTTGTATCACACCCACATCCCTGAGGCACCCTTGACTTCACAGAGGAGCTGTGTGCACTCTGTGTGTTTCTGGGTGCACTCTGGGTGCCGATTCTGGCCCCAACCGGCCCTTTGCTTTATGCTTACCACGCGGCACTTCTGCTGCAGCTCCACAATCTGTGCCAGCAGCTGGCTGACCTCCTCCTGCTGCCGTGCCGTGTCCTCCGTCTTGCGGGCCAGCTCCTCAGAGAGCAGGACCACTTCTCGACTAGCATCCGCTGTAGTAGGAAGAGAGACACAGGATCATTACAACTCAAGAGACACCAGCAGCATGCAACGCACCAGGGCGCAGCTTCCAATATGCCCACAGCAGGATCCAGCAGACCAGAAAGTGGGGCAAAGCTTTCTGTCACCCCAGCCCACTCCACTCATCCTCTGCTACCCCCGTACATGTTTTCTGTCCCACAGAGGTCCAGCACCGAGGTCCTTCTGGCGGTTCCCTCACTGCGAGAAGTGAGGTTACACGGAACCAGGCAGAGGGACTTCTCGGTAGTGGTACCCTCCCTGTGGAATGCCCTCCCATCAGATGTCAAGGAGATAAACAACTATCTGACTTTTAGAAGACATCTGAAGGCAGCCCTGTTTAGGGAAGTTTTTAATGTTTGATGTTTTATTGTGTTTTTAATATTCTGTTGGGAGCTGCCCAGAGTGGCTGGGAAAACCCAGTCGGATGGGCAGGGTATTAATTATTATGCCCCACCTTCCTTAAGCATCCCTGAAAGTCAGGGACGTCTGTAATCAGAGGTCATTTTAAGCCGCCCTTTCCCACGTCAAAAGCCACCTTCTTTCATATATGCCTCAAGTATTTTTTAGTTATGATGGTACTAGAGGGGGAACATGTATGAATTGTCTCCTTCCACAGAAGGTGGTTGGGATCAGAATCTCACTTTTGGAGTTTGTACACATGCTTTGTGGTGTAGCAGTTAAGACTTGGACCTCGGAGACCAGGGTTCAAATCCCCACTCAGCCATGAATAAAAGCTTGCAGGGTGTGACCCCGAGACAGTCCCTGCCTGTCAGCCTAAACTACCTCACAGGGTTGTCGTGGGGATTCAGTGAAGAGGGGGAGAGTCGTGTGTGTCACCTTGTGCTCCTTTGAGAAACGGTGGGAGATAAATGCATGAATGTGTTTTAATGGAAACTCTTGCTGTGTGCTCCTATGTGTATCTACTCAGAAGCAGGACCACTGAGCTCAAGGGGACTTACTCCCAGGTAAGTGTGTATAGCAGGGATGGGGAACCTTTTTTTGTTTGCTTACACCAAGAGCCATACTCCCCTCTTTGCCAACCCTCCGAGGGCTACATGCCAGAAGAAGACAGGGCAAGACACATGTGTAAATATGTGGGAGGCCCCTCGCACACACAAACACCTCTCTCTCACACACAGACAAATAATAGAGGACTGTTTTAAAACTTAATTCCAGAGCGGAGGCAGGTCAGAGCAGATACAGAGGACTGGGTTATTCTTTGCCTCCCCACCCCACCAGGAAAACCCCACCACCACCAAATACCAACCATCCCTCTCCAGTCCTGGAATTATGCCTGAAAGTAGCCTTCTATTGTTATTAATGGGGCTTAAATTTCAAGCTCCCTGCCCAAAACTAAGAACCTACAAAATTGCTCCACGCAGTCGATCATCAGCTTCTGCTCCTGTTCCTCATATTCAGAGGTTTCCGTGGCAATGCTTGTGACCTGGGTTCAAAGAGACAGACATATGTAACATTAAGGGGTTATCTTTATGTTACACCAAGACGTTGTGAAAACGTAGCAGCGCTCTGGGAGATAATGCACCTAAAACCTTCTAAGACAGTGGTTCCTGAGCTTTTTTATGCCCCCCATCGATCACTTCAAAATGGCCGGCGGTCTTCGCAGACCACTTGATGATTTTCCTGCCTATTGTCGCAATCACAAGACACCCAGTGCTGGACGCTGCATGATTCTTGCGTTCCAGTTTGGATTCTAGGATTTCAGCTCGGTAATACGACTGAGCGAAAGCATCTGAGCATGTGCCGAGTATCTTTCCTTGATTCCCAGACAATTAGATAGAGAAGACAAATCACATACACCTGCAGCCCAGCCCAGCTCAGAATCTCACCTCTGTCCGCAGTTTCTGGTTCTCCTCCTCCAGCCCTTTGAGCTTCTGCTGTAGGGTGTCATACTGAAAACACTGCTGCAGAGAGAGGGCAGATTCATTCCTCCGCAACCTGTGAGGAGGTGGAGGGGAGAGATGTAGTCATGAGAAGAGCAGAGGGGAGGGGAGACAGCAGTGGCCTGAGACGGCTCCGGGAATTAATGTTTCATTTCTAGAAGCAGAGGTACTGCAGGGCTCAATCTCACCCAGGAGCCAGGCCTTCTGACCTGGAGAGTCTTCCATTGGCCTACTCCTAGCTTGGATCTGGCCTGGATACAATCATGGAGTGGTGAAAGAGGCGTTTTGCAGATGGTTGGAGTACCTGGAGCCATCATTACATGCCTTTAGGCACCAGGCAAAAACATTCCTCTTTACCCAGGAATTTAGCCATTAAATAATCTATGGCCTGACTTCCGGTTGAGCCACGGACCCGTCGCAAGTGGGACTTTTTCTCGGTAGAGAAAGTCCGGGTTCTCGAGGGTAAAAGGGGGTGCTACAGGGCGCGATAGCCCCCCAGAACCCCTCTGGAGGGAAACCAGAGGGTCAGGATCCCAGCGGAGCCATTTGCAGATCGCCCGGCCACCAGGTAACTCCGTAATAGGAGCGAAGAGAGCGGCGGGCGGAGAAAGCAGGCACCGGGAAGCCATTGTCTCACCCTCGAGAACACAGCCCCAGGCTTGCAGGGCGAGTGACCGATTCTCAAAAGCAATCAATCGGAGCCAAACTTGGATTATAATTGGAGTATGAAAGAAAGGCTTTGGGAAAAAAAGAAGGAGATAAAAAAGAGGTCAGTTTTGACTGCAATCAGAGAGGAATGCAAGACTATGAGTGGAGCATGAAGTGGAGGTTGGTAAAACGGCAAGCGGTTTGAACTTCTCCCTCTCAGAGAACTTGTTAAAAGGAGATAAATTGTTGCAAAAGTAACAAAAAGTTACAGAAAAAGAGGATAACTAAAAGAGGGAGCAGAGGGTAACTATTTTGTGACTTTAAAAGGTCTTTGATACAACGAACGGTCTGAGCGAAGTAAGAAAGAAAGAAAGTTACTTCTTGGTACTTTCGGTTTTGGAAAAAAAACTGCGCAACGAAATAGAACTTTTGTTTCTCCATTTTAAGTTGAAGGGAGTCATCCAGCGACAAACAAAAATATAATAAAGGGATGGAAGGACAATATTGAACAGTAAAAAATTTTTTTCTTCTATGATTGGGTACCTCTGTATTTAATTAAATTTGAATGCTTAAATATAAAAGGAAAGAAAAAGGGACTATGTTGGAATGAGGGCTATCTACCCTGGTCCTTTCGTGTGAGTCCGCGGAATGAACTGAGAAAGAACTGCCTAGCTGCCTGTCTTCAGTATGACATTTTTATTTGGAGCCGAGGAAAATTGGAGCTGAATTAATCACTCCTCTATGTTTTATTTTTATTTTTCATTTTTCATTATTGGATTAGTCTGGACTGTCAAACTAAATATCACCCTTCTTTTTCTCTTCTCTCTCAGTCTTTACATTTGAACTTAAAAATATCACTGTCCTTACATCTGAACTTAAAAATATTACTTCAAAATAAGGAGACTGACAGTTTTTACAATTATTTGTGGACAGACTCCTGTAGATAATTTTTTTTTATTTCCTAGCTCTGGATGTATTTGGTGCCCCTTGGACATTTCCGGATATAATTGGAATCCCTATCAGCATTTTTATTAACTTTGGCCATATAATTGGAGTATAATTTTGGGAACACAATATACAGCTATTGGATTACAAAAATTTAGACAGTATAGCAGCATTATTTGGAGGGTATTTCTTCAATAAGAAGTCGGTAGGGATATAGCCTAAGTGGTGGCAAGAAGAAAGGAAGTTAACTTCTTTTTTGCAGTGGGAGATTGATCTCTCAAAAGTGTGAAGCTTAAAAATTGATTGGTGTTCCCCCCTATAAGTATATATTTGTGAAAATTACTTTGGTAAAAATTGATATATATAAATTGTTTAATATTTAGGTTTAAGTGCATGAGAATTGGGAAGGGTAAAAATTCTTATTTTTTTCGACGCCTTTTTTGAAAAAAGGGATTTAATGATTTTATACTTAGATTGAATATTGACTATTATCGATTGTATATATATTGACTGTTTTTGATTGTGTATCATATCAGGTTGTTATTATTATTCTGTTGTCTCTTATTGTGCTTTATATTATTGGTGCTGTGTAATGTGATTTTATTGTTGGACACTGCCCTGGGATCTTTTGATAAAGGGCAGTATAATAAATAAAATAATAATAATAATAGCAACAACACAGGAGTTGAGGTGAGTGGCAATGTAGCTAGAAGAGATATTGTTGGGAGAGGAACACCCAAGTTCAAGTTCAAACATGAGAACTGTAGTACAGTGGTACCTCGGGTTAAGTACTTAATTTGTTCCGGAGGTCTGTTCTTAAGCTGAAGCACCACTTTAGCTAATGGGGCCTCCTGCTGCCGCCGGAGCACGATTTCTGTGCTCATCCTGAAGCAAAGTTCTTAACCCGAGGTATTATTTCTGGGTTAGCGGAGTCTGTAACCTGAAGCGTATGTAACCTGAAGCGTATGTAACCCAAGGTACCACTGTACTGTATTTACTTGAGTCTAACGTGCCATCAAATTTCATGCGCACCTCCATTTTCAGAACCTTGAAACCAAAGAAAGTATTTGCTGGCGAATGTAAATGTGCCATCGGATCTAAAGCGCACCTTAGTTTTCGCAAAGTAATTTGGCCCAAAAAGGTGAGCCTCAGATTTGAGTAAATACGGTATTTCTTCCCGCCTCCCCTCTCGCCCGCAAGGCCATTGCATCTCTCACACCACCTGGTGGTTAAATGAGGAACAACAGCTCCGTGTTACAAACAGATGGCTCTTCCTGATTTAATTTTGCATTTAATGCAATTAGAGAAAAGCACAGGGGAGATGCTAGCCATTTTTCGGATCTGCTGGCATGAACAGTGTAAACTGCAGAATTTCTGAAGACTCTAGGTGGGGTTTCTTTCTCCTCGTTCTACATTGGATTCGTCTCGCTACATGGAGAGGATGAGCAGGAGGACGGCAGCAGAAATTAAACGGTTTGACTTGTGCAGAAGGTCTCCCCTTCCACCCCAGCTTGAGATACTCACGGAGTGGAGGTGGCAGAGGTCGGCTCGCTCTCCTCTGTGCTGTTGGTGTACAGGTGCAGAAGCTCGTCCCGCATGGATATCTCATGGCGAAGCTGAGCAATCTTGAAGTGGGGAGGGGGAGAGAGAAGAGGCACAATGGGTTCCATGGAAGCTAAACCTTCTAATCTGAAAGCCCTGCTACCCCTTAACTTCAGATCTTATAGTAGTTCAGAGGTGGGGGTTGCATTCCCTTGTGGACAACTTTCCAGAGACTGCACACCAGTGGTGTCAGAGGCAAAACTGAGCACAGCAAAGAATCAGAGGGGACTAAAAGGGTCATCTGTTCAAAACCTGTTTAATACAGGAATCTTCTGCCCAGCTTGGAACTTGACCTTGAGATTAAGAGGCCAATGCTCTACTGACTGAGCTATACATCCTAACTTCATTGAGGAGGCTACATTCCAGCCATGCAAAGTCAGAAGTTTTAATACACAGACACCCATCTCTCTATCCAGGCAAGAAAGAGGCCTTATTACAGTTGAAGGACACATTCCAGCCAAGCGAAAGCACTCAAGGAGGGTGCAAAGTAGAGTTGGTGAGGGGCGGGCCCTTAGGGAGAGTCCTAAGGGCTGGAGAGAGAGGCCTGGAGCTCACCTTTGGCCTCTACGCCTGAGGGTCCTTACCCCTGCTGTAAGTTACAGCATTGTTAACCAATGCTAGTTCTACTCAACAGCAGACCCACCGACACGGCCAACTTAGCTCCATTAATTTCAGTGGTCCTATTCTGAATAAACTTCAGCTGGATGCAGCTCACAGACCGGCTTTTCTCAAACTTGGGTCTCCAGCTGTTGTTGGACTACAACTCCCATCATCCTTAGCTGGCAGGACCAGTGGTCAGGGATGATGGGAGATGTAGTCCAACAACCGCTGGGGACCCAAGCTTGAGAAGCACCGTCCTATACCCTATGCACCCAACAGAAAAATATTCCCTTCACGCATCCTTCCTGTATTTACTGCTATACACACAACCAGCTCACTTTTTCTCCCAACCCCCAGCTTATCTCTCCACTTTCTATTTACCCCAAGTGGGGTGGAGGGGCAAGCAAACTCCCTGCGTTTCATGTACACATACGTAGTGTCAGCTTCCTCCCTGGTCAGCAACAGACACCGGAAGGGGCTTCCTCACCTCTTCCTTTGCCAATTCAAGCTGTTCTTCCAAGAGTTCATTGCGTTCCGACAGGCTCCGGTTCTGCTTCAGCAGCGATTGTCCAATGCGGGCGGCTAGCTCCAGGTCATGCTCCTTCTGTGGGGATGGGGGGAAAGCACAGGAGCAGTTATAACAGAGCAGGCTTCTCGCCTCCTCTTTCTCCCTTCCCTGCTCCATGCTGCCTGCTGAAATTTGATTCTGAAACATCCACTTTTCAAGAGCTCCTCAGTCCAGTATATCCGAAGGAGTGTCTCCAATCCCATCGTTCTACCCAGACACTGAGGTCCAGCACCGAGGGCCTTCTGGCGGTTCCCTCACTGCGAGAAGTCAAGTTACAGGGAACCAGGCAGAGGGCCTTCTCGGTAGTGGTGCCCGCCCTGTGGAACGCCCTCCCATCAGATGTCAAGGAGATAAAGAACTAACCCACTTTTAGAAGATATCTGAAGGCAACCATCTGACTTTTAGTAGACATCTGAAGGCAGTCCTGTTTCGGGAAGTTTTTAATGTTTGATGCTTTATTGTCTTTTTAATATTTTGTTGAGAGCCGCCCAGAGTGGCTGGGGATGCCCAGCCAGATGGGTGGGGTATAGATAATAAATTATTATTATTATTATTATTATTATTATTATTCCCTTCTTGCCCATGCCACTCCAAATCAAGATCCTTCTTGGGGGACTTTTCCTGACTGTTGAATAGCCAGCTGACTTTATCCATCTATTGGGGACTGCCATCACTTCTATTAGTGGGGAAGGAGAGCTGAACATAATGCAAATATATTTCACCTCCGGCAACCAATGTGCCCCTTGGGTTTCATGGGTAGGCTGAGCTGCAGAATCGTAGCATTGGAAGGGAGCAAGAGGGCCCTGTAGTCCAAGCCCCTGCAATGCAGGAATATTTTGCCCAATGTGGGGTTTGAACCCATGACCCTGAGATTAAGAGTCTCATGCTCTACCAACTGAGCTATGTCAGAGCACTAAGCCGCCTAGATTAAAATATACATCAGAAGGCTTAGTTTGGTCAGAATTGAGTATACACCTCCAGAGTAAACGCTGAATACATTACTTCTGGTAAATGACCCACCATAGCTGCTAGATGGGCATGTGAAAATTTTGTGTCCTGGGCTTTTTAGACTCGTCTACCCATGTGCTATTTGAAACTAAAGGGGCACATTGATTGCCAGATGTGATTTCTTTCTTTATATATATATTTTATTGGTTTTCCATTTTTAACATTAATATAAAATCTTATTTCCTTTTATAAATTTTTAGCTCTACTGAGCCACTCAACTTCCCTCCATCCCATCGTCTGGTTTTTGTATACCTACATCATATTTCCACACATTTCTACCATCTCAATTCTAGCTTTTCCCCTTAATATTATTTTAGTCTTTAAGCACATGTAGAAGCTTCCTTCTATTAAACATTGTGAGGTTTATCTCAATCCTGCTAGTGTCTTTATATGTTTACAATGATTGTCTATATACTGAATAAATTTACTCCACTCTCTCTGGAACACTTGGTCACTCTGGTTTCGGATTTTCCCCGTTCGCTTTGCCAATTCTGCATAGTCCATCATCCTTGTCTGCCATTCTTCAACCGTCGGTAATTCTTGCTGTTTTCACTTTTGGGCTAATAAAGTTCTAGCTGCCATAGTGGCATACATGAACAATTTCTGGTCGACTTTTGGTATTTCCTCTCCTATCATACCCAACAGAAATGCTTCAGGGTTTTTTGGAAGATATACCTAAACATTTTTTTTAACTCATTATAAATATTTTCCCAAAATAGTTTAACTTTATCGCATGTCCACCACATATGGTAAAAATCCCCTTCTTTAGCATTACATTTCCAACAATTCTTATTTCTCATTCTATACATTTTAGCTAATTTAGGTAAAGGTAAAAGGACCCCTGACCTTTCGGTCCAGTCATGGCCGACTCTGGGATTCGGTGCTCATCTCGCTTTATTGGCCAAGGGAGCCGGCGTACAGCTTCCAGGTCATGTGGCCAGCATAACTAAGCCACTTCTGGCAAACCAGAGCAGCGCACGGAAACACCGTTTACCTTCCCGCCAGAGTGGTACCTATTTATCTACTTGCACTTTGACGTGCTTTCGAACTGCTAGGTTGGCAGGAGCAGGGACCGAGCAGCGGGAGCTCACCCCGTCGTGGGGATTCGAACCGCCAACCTTCTGATCAGCAAGTTCTAGGCTCTGTGGTTTAACCCACAGCGCCACCCGCGTCCCCTTAGCTAATTTAGTTGGAGTTAAATACCATCTATACATCATTTTTCTATACATGTATACACTTTTTTCTTTCACCTCTCCTACCCCACTATACGACTTGAACAGGACTTGGCGCAGTGTTTGAGCTTCAAATAGTCAGTAGCAAAGGAAGGTTACCTCTTCTAGGAGGCTGGTGACGGCATCTATGTCATGGTAGGTCTTAGTGATCCTGCTAACCCGCTCAGAACAGAGCACTGTGGGGAAAGAGAGAGAGGGGGAAAGAGTTAGTTGCCATCTGTACATCAGTAATCCTGTTAAGGCAGGAAGAACTTAGGGCAGTGTACCTCGTGCTACAAAGCATCAAGATCAAAGAGCAAAATCCTAAACAAAGTAAATCTGAATTCTATGATTCGTATGAATTATGAACATTAAACATATTTTGCATGCATCTTCTTAAGTTTGCAAAAGTTAGGGCCCCTCAAGATGGCCTGATTGTTCAACATGCATCCTGATTTTTTGTGCATAGCTTACAACGAGGTCAGACCATATCCAGCCTTTACTGAGCATCCGTACGGGGCAGTTACACGATAACGAACATTCATCCTGCATTCGTCCCAATTTGCTTTTGGGGTGTTTGTCTGTCTTTCAGTCAATCGTTCATTCACACACACACCCCATCAGCATTTCCATGCAGCAAATAGTCCGGTCATTTTTTTAAAGTGGGTTTGTTGCACTAGGGCAGGGGTCTGCAACCTTTAAGACAAAAAGAGCCACTTGGACCCGTTTCCAAAGAAAAACAACAACTGGGAGCCGCAAAACCATTGCGACATTTAAAGTATGTGCGCCGCTGCCCTCCGATCTGACAGCGGGTGGGAAGGTGACGTTGGGACGGTGCGTGACTAACGCACGCACCGCCCCCATGCGATGTCACAGCCAGTACAGCGCCCGCCACAGTGGGGAGTGTCAGGGCGCACAATGCGCCTCCTCCCCTCGCTAGTATCCGCCCCGGAGCCGCGGCAAAGGTGTAAAAGAGCTACATGCGGCTCCGGAGCCGCGGGTTGCAGACCCCTGCACTAGGGCAATAGAGTCCTTCATTATTCCACTTCAAAGGTACAAACCTGAAGTTTGGAAATGCAGTTATATCCCTCCTGCAAAAAAAGTGAGTCTTGAGGCACCTTTAATTCATTCTCTAATTAATTATTATTATTATTATTATTATTATTATTATTTATACCCCGCCCCCCCCCAGCCAAGGCTGGGCTCAGGGCGGCTAACAAGCAATAATAAAAACAAGTTGAATGAATACAACTTAAAAACAAGATTAAAATACAACATTAAAATATTGAAACATTAAAATATTAAAATGCAGCCTCATCACAGGAGGAGAAAGGAAAAAGAAAAAAGAGAGAGAGGGAGGGAATCAAATTGGCTGCAAGCCAAAGGCCAGGTGGAACAACTCTGTCTTACAGGCCCCGTGGAAAGAAATCAGATCCTGCAGGGCCCTGGTCTCATGAGGCAGAGCGTTCCACCAGGCCGGAGCCAGAGTTGAAAAGGCCCTGGGCTCTGGTTGAAGCTAATCTAACTTCCTTAGGGCCCGGGACCACTAGGGTGTTGCTATTTATGGACCTTGAGGCTCTCCGTGGGGCATACCGGGTGAGGCGGTCCCGTAGGTACGAGGGTCCTAGCCTGAATCTGCCTTATACCGAATCAGACCATTGTTCCAGTGAGCTCTGCACTGTGGACACTGGCCGGCAGCACCTCTCCAGGATATTAGGCAAGAGGTTGGTCTCTCCTAGCCCTACCTGGAGATACCAGGGATTAAACCTGAGACTTCTGCATGCAAAGCAGTGGCTCAGCTGCTGTGCTATCTATCCCCTTCACCAGAAGAAAGTCTACTGAAAACACACTCACAAATACAAACGATCTTTTAAAAAAACAACCTTTGCTTACAGAGCTGTTGTGCATACTGCATACCAGAGTGCCAGTGAGACCCCCAAGACATGTGCCATCTTTACTTGCCCAGGCTTGTTTGATATGTACCCAAGCTGTTGTGGCCAACAGATTTCAGGCCAGGCTGAGGGCCCAATCCACATCCAATGCACTGGGCTCAGAAAAGCCTGTTATCGCTCATCAGAGCAAGCCCTGATACAAGGGTGCCAACTTGAATAAAATATTGGGGGGGCAGGTAAGCCCTGCCACATATAATTGTGGCACACACACACACACACACCCCATTTGAATGGCAATGCCCATCATCTTTAGGGTGGTTCGGCCCCCTCAAATGTTTTATTAAGGTAAAGGTAAAGGGACCCCTGACCATTAGGTCCAGTCGTGGCCGACTCTGGGGTTGCGGCGCTCATCTCGCTTTATTGGCCGAGGGAGCCGGCGTACAGCTTCCAGGTCATGTGGCCAGCATGACTAAGCCGCTTCTGGCAAACCAGAGCAGCGCACGGAAACGCCGTTTACCTTCCCGCCAGAGCGGTACCTATTTATCTACTTGCACTTTGACGTGCTTTCGAACTGCTAGGTTGGCAGGAGCAGGGACTGAGCAACGGGAGCCCCCCCCCCCCCGTTGTGGGGATTCGAACCGCCGACCTTCTGATTGGCAAGTCCTAGGCTCTGTGGTTTAACCCACAGGTGGGGACAAAGACCCCTTACCCCCTAGGAGTTGGCTCCTATGCCCTGACAACAACAGCCAGAGTTTGAGGTTCCCTCCACCCCACAAATCTGAAATTCAGCCCAAATCTGCATTCACACTTACAAAGAAGCAGATGCAAATATAATGCAAATTTGTGCAATGACACAAGTTTTTTAAGAAACTTGCACCATCATCACCCCTGTTCAGCGGGCACCTCCCATACTATTCAAAGCATATGTTTTCAGCCATTATGGACAGAGACTTACAACTAAATCATGAAAGTGGAGATTTGCAGAATGCTGAATTCTGTTGTTAATAATAGTCATCATCATCAGTCGTTTTTCGGTGCTGGCATAGAACACACCCAGCCATGAGATAACTTTTATTCCAGGAGGAGGGAACACTCCCCAAAGCTTAGCGCACAAATTTATTGTGAAAACAACAGAGTCAAGCATTCTGCTAGCATTATGCCAGTATTGTGCCAGCTGCATTGGCTGCCTCATTTGTTTCAACTTAGAAGGTTGATTTTGTCCTTTGAATTATTTTTTAACAACAATAACAGCATACACACACTCACCCCAAACCACATTTCCACCTCTTTAGCCAAGATCATGCATCTCAAAAAAAGGGTTTGTGTCTGTAAAACTTGCACTACAGGAAACCTGTTTTCTGCAAGGAGTAACATTCACAGACACTCCCACTTTCTCTGTTTGCTTAAAACCACTCAGTGAACCCTCTAGACTACTGGAATTTGAACCCTGGTTTGCCAGATCCTAAGCTTTTTTCCAGGTAACAATTACCTTTTTCATTCCCCCACATCTGTAACACAACAATGTCAGCTACGTAAGCCAGAAGACTCGCTCCATTTTTAAACTACTCTCTTCCCACTTTCCAACCCAGAGTTAACAATATTCACATACAACACAAGAAGTGCTTCAAAGGTGTTTTTATAATGTAGTGTGTAAAAATACTCCACTCTAGCCTAAGGGCCAAGTAGATGGTATAAATTGCATTTACTAAATTTGGTTCCTGGCAGGGACAAGTAACGTCCCGTTCCGAAGCAGAAGCGTGTTGGTGTTAAGTGAAATGCATGTTGTTTTGAGCTGGAAAAGAGAAGAAAAGAAAAAACACAGCCAGGCCAAGATGGGATTGAAGGAGACATTTCCGGTGCTCAAACAAGCTACTCTACAGAGTCAATCTTGCCCTATTTAGCCTCTCTCTAAGGGCAGTGTCAGTTCCAATCAGATTTGCATCACTTCCCCACACACACCTTTTGCCCAAGGCTCCTTAGCTAAGGTTGGCTTCATGGTCTTTCTTTGCAAGGGAAAATCTGACATCTCCAAATACAAGAGACTGAAGGAAGTGACCTCTCTCCCCTCTTAAAGCCAGTACATGCGCAGCAGAGCCACTGAAAGGGACCGACAGCAGGATGTCAATTACAAAATGGTTATCTAGAAGTGTGGCGTCTTATGGAAGTACAGGGTGGGTTTGATTGAAATCAAATCAATTTAAATCACTAGTCAGTAAGACTTGACTTAAATCACTACTCAGCAAGACTTGATTAAATCAATTTTTTTTACAGAAAGACTCATTCTTGCTGGTATTATCTTAATATTTACAACCAGATAAAGGTTTCGTTTTTGGAATAATAAATTTTCAGAGTAGTTTTCACAGTTATATTAAAAATTGCTGGTTCGGTTATAGTTTAGAAATACATTGACAGATAATTATGAAATTATTGTGAGGTTTAATAAGTTAACTGTTTATATTTGGACAACTTTTCTGCTGTACTTTACTGGAAGGAGAAAAATAATCATTTCCTTAAAAACAATTTAAACAGTTTATTTAATTTAAACAGAAACATTATAGCATATGTATAATGTTTGTTGAGTTTTAGCACACATGAAAAACTTAAAACAAATCCTTATTTCCTGATGAATAGCCTTTGGACTATAATGAACTTAAATAGAAAACTATCTTTAGAAAGATTTTTCCTCCAAAAGCATTTTATTTTAAAAATCCAATTTAAATTAAAAAAAGTCCAATGCAAATCAAAAAAATTCAATGTAAATCAAAAATATCCTTTCTTCTTATTATTTTTTAAATCATTGATTTTTATCCACTCTGTGGATGTATGTTAATGAGGGACAGGAAGAATTCAACATATGTTTGTCAGAAGAAAACAAAAAGAATATGTTTCCACAATGGCCTCTGTTGGGCTGAAGTGCCTTTATGATGAATGCTTCATCCAGTGTGATTCAACCTGCTCTCCAAAATTTTCAGCACAATAGTAAGCTGTTTTGTTTCTAAAAGGCACTCAAGGTCATGCGTGAAGTAGTAGTTAGGGAACTCTGAGAGAAACCTTCTCCACAATGGCGGAGAACTTCCATTATTCTTGGATGTCGGCCATGTTGGGTGAAGCTGATGGGGGAACCGCAGCTCGAGGGCCTAGATCTAGGCTGTATTAGGAAGCTGCCTTAAGCATAGTTAAACCACTGATCCATCCACCTCAATATTGTCTATATCAAGGATAGTTGTTGTCCTGCCGACGTTGGTCTTTTGACTCCCAGCATGACCAACAGCTAGGGGTTATGGCAGCTGGAGTCCAACCACATCTGGAGGAAAACACATTGGCCACCTATGGTCTATGCAGACTGACAGGAGTGATTCGCTGCCCTGCCTGGAAACACCAGGGTTCAACCTGGGACCTTATTCAGGCAAACCATGTGATCCACCTCAGAGATACGACCCGTCCCACTAGGAAATCAGTTGTAAACAGTTGCCTCTAAATTTCCATTTTGTTCAAGCACAATCTTCTGTAGGTGGGGGAAATGAATATTTCACATTCCACCGGATCAAATCGAGATCTAAGATCCAGGAACCACGTTGCCCTGCTTGGGGGCTTTTGCCCCTGCAACCGTTCCAACAGGAGTTATGCACTGTGCTAATACAGTGGTACCTTGGGTTAAGTACTTAATTCGTTCCGGAGGTCCGCTCTTAACCTGAAACTGTTCTTAACCTGAAGCACCACTTTAGCTAATGGGGCCTCCCGCTGCCGCCGTGCTGCCAGAGCACGATTTCTGTTCTCATCCTGAAGCAAAGTTCTTAACCCGAGGTAATATTTCTGGGTTAGCAGAGTCTGTAACCTGAAGTGTATGTAACCCGAGGTACCACTGTAGTCTGAAATAAAGGGAGCAGAGAAATGTCCAAGCAAGGGGATGCCAGAGATCCAGAACGCTCCGAAGGTTTCCCTCAGAGCCATGGTCCCAAATAAGTCCTCCTGCTCACCTCGGCTTCTCACCCTTACGCTGCTGGGTTCAAGCAAGTGCAGATCATTGCCCTGCAGAGCTAAGCCTATCTGTTCCCAGCCACAGCCGTCTGACGCAAGGAAAGTAGGTTAGCTGGAACTATCGGAGACGACATCGAATCCCATTATGCACTTCTCAGATGAGGCTGTTATGCAATGGAGTCGGGCCACAGTCAAAGCAGTTATGATCCCTGTCCACTCCCCCACCCAGCCAGGCGGGACGTCCAGTCCTTCCCCGCCCGGCTGCCATTAAATCAAGCCAGCCAGCTAACCCCACCTCCTTTCTTGCGTGCGTGCCTAGTGGCATGTCTGCACAGCGGAGAGACGCCATGATGGTCCTGCAGTTGGCATGCCGCCCTGCCTGCCCAGCCCCCTTTGTGCCATACGGGGACCCCCTCCCTTTGGCACCTCATCATCCATGTGAGCCATAATTGAAAATAATTGGAGCATGAATTCCAGCAGAGCAGGGATAAACAAGACAGCTGCGTAGACGCCCAAGGCCCTTGTTCACCTAGCTATTCCCGTGCATAGCCAGCAAGGACTTGCAGTTCTACCATCTCCTTTACTTCTGTACAACAAACACAGGAAACAAGTCAGTGTCCAAGATTTTAAGGATTCGGACATTCCAGTCTTCCGGGTCTAGCATGACAAAATATGCTCCCTTTGAAAACACATCAGGCAGCCTCCTGTTATAAGCCGTAACATTCAAGTAAGCAGTATTGACCTACTTTGCAGGGGTGTGGTGAGGATCACTAAGTGCAAGGCATGTGAAGCGCCATTGCTAGTGGGATTTCCAAAACTGAAGTCTTTAGGGGCATGTTGCTAATATGCTTCACTTTTATCCGCTTCCGTTTTTTGCCGTCCATCGGAAAGGCTGGTCTACACATTATAGCTAGCGCATCGAGAGCACTCTGTTGTCAAAGGGTGGGTCATTACACATATCAGGCAGCTTCCGTTATTTACTCTAAACATTGGTACACCCCCAACTTTCAGACATGTCTGCTCCCGACAATTTTGCTATTACAAGTCGCTCCCTTTCTGGTGTGATTGGTGCACAGGGGAGATAAGAGTGACCTGATGAGCAAGAATCAGAATGCTGGCAATACTCATGATCCATAGATCACAACTCAGTCTGCAGGAGGATGTGGGAATGTTCAACCCCTGGCATCACCAAGTAGCAGTGCTAGAAACTCAGATATGTAAGCTAGGCACCATCGCCCCTATGGAACGTCCAGGTGTCATTTCCCTTCCCCGCTGGATGAATATTGATAATATTGCTAATTTCTATACCTCTTTATATTTTAAGGAACAAATCTCAAAGTGGTTTACAACACATTAAAACATTAAACAAAACAATCCAGAATAAAACTAGTTCAAGCTTCAAGGAAAAAATTTCAGGTTCTCTAGGTAAGTTTTGCTTTCCCCAGTTGGCAACCTGGCATCGAGAGATTTTCATGTGGTCACATTTGGACCCATGGCAATTGCAAAATGCACCTGGTGAATTTCGAAAACTGTCCAAGCCTGAAAGAAGGGCATGTTTAAGTGATTAATGAATAACATTGTTTTTTAAGCACTTCATCAAGGCTTTTAAACAGGTGAAATCCTTGCAGCCACGGTGGAATATGGCTTCCAGTGGGTCCACAGAGCTCAGATCAACAAGTTCAAGTCTTGCCTCCGGGCTAAATCCTACACACACACATCGCATACATCACACCAAATAATCTATATAGTACACAGCACAAGATAACGTAACACCATACAGTTCAAGCAAGCCAGGAAACTTTCAATAGGCTTAAGAACGGCAAGCTGAAAGAAAAATCTGCAGCCCCAAACCCAGAGTCAGTGTGCTGGAAGGAAAATGACTCCCTCACCCCACATAAAGCAGAATTAGAATTCTTAAGCATCAAGCAAAACACAGCCACTAGGTCTCCCCAAAAGGAAATCAATTTCTGTTTCAGCATTATTTTAGTTTATTTACAAAACTTCCTTTCATCCCTTCACTGTCAAAATGATCTCAGGGCAGGACACAGCAATAAAACTGACATTTTCTATATATATAAAAAATAAATCAATAAGCACTAAAACAGAAATATTGTCCTCCTGCCCCTCATTGTAACGGTCCTGAAATACCTTGGAGAGAAAATACCCCCTCAATACTTCAGAAGGAAGATAAATGATCAGTATTCATTTTATCTTTATTGAGCTTTCGGATTAAGGCCTTTATTTAGGCCTTAATCCAGGAGCTTAATAGTGATAAAGGAAACAATGGGCAGCTATCGTGAGGTAAACTTCAAAATGGGATGCGGGCAGAAGGCATCCTTGATCCCTTTCGCAGCCAGACGGTCAACCCAAATCTCGGCCCACGAAGCAGGTCGACTCAAGACACAAAAGCCGCAAGGAAAAGGAGGAAACAGGTAGCTGGGAACAGAATTGTTTGGATGTTGGTTTAAGTATTGGTGGATATTCCAGATCCTACATAGGTATGAGCGTATTGGCTGATCTCATGAACACTGTCCCCAATGATGTTTTAGAAAATAATAACAGTACAGTGTAGTCTGAGATATAGATAGATAGATAGATAGATAGATAGATAGATAGATATAGATATAGTTATATAGATGATATAGATAGAATGCCAAGGCAGTTTACACATACACAAAAAGAGCAACCAATCTTACACACGCATGCCATCAAATTAGCAGAGAAGGATGGTGCATCAGAGTGAATGAGAGCCTGCCCCACCCACCTGAGTTTGTTCTCAGGCTCAGCCAGCCCCTACCTGACTGCCTTCTTTCTTGCAACCAATCAGGGAGTGGTGGCATTAGCTCTGGCGCCCCCTACTGTTGGTCTCCCTGCCTCCCACCCTACCAGTCCCCATTTGCACCAGCTCCACCTTCTCCCTGTCTTTTGCTCTACCTGTCCCCAAAGGACACCAGCCAGCACCAATTGAAAGAAAGAAGCCAGCTATTAAAACCTAACAGTGATGCTAAACTACTGGAGGTGCAAGGGGCCTTGGTCACACCAAGGCTGATATACTACAATACCTACAAACAATGCAGCACATTCAGACAAATTACCCAAGACTTCGACTAGTGAGTTTCATGGTCTTATTTGCAAGGCTGGTCTACCTTATCCTGCCCAGGGACCACCACACGATTGGTAGGACACCTGCTTTTTGCGGAGCATTCCTATGAATCATCGAGTGGACATTTCTACCCCCAAGTTCATTAAAAACCCATGGAAAAAATAATATGAAGCCAAGTTCACACAAGCAAGTTCAACGGCTTGATCATAACCCAACCATGGCATTGCATGTGGGAAAGAGCCATTGCATTTCAAACTTCAAAGGAGGTACTCCCCCATCACCTGGAATCCTTTCAACCACAAGGTAATTTATGTTCCGACAAGGCAGCCATAAGTGCAGGTGCAGGAAATCTAATGGTGAGTCATCAAGAGAGACGTATGTTAATTCAGCTCTATTGAACTCCCAGCGTCCCATTGCACACATGGCAATTTTGTATATGAACACAGAAAAAAATGTATATATTCAACAACGAAAGGAACCTGCAGTCTGTCCCCAGTTCTCTTGGCAAGTGATTCTGCATAATACATTTTTCTCCCAAAGCCAGGTCTTATTCCTATACAAATATGTATGAAAGAACATATGAGGCCCAGCGATTGTGCAGATACTCAGACGCCTCATTTATTTTTTAACAGAAAATGGAGCGCCTCCCTTTTCAAAGTCTGTTGTCCTTGATTGCCCTGCATTTAGAGGGCCAACATTCTTCTAAAGGAAATGTTGATTAAAACTCTTATTTACAAAACTCTCTCTATAGATCAGGGAACCCTCTGCTCACCTCAAACATTTCATTGTTTTTCACACAAGGGAGACCACCCAGCCCCTCAAAATCACCATGCTTAATTACATTTAAACAAGGGTCTAATAGGAACACTTCTTTGTCATTTTAATAGAGAGGCAACTCTGAGGGGAAGAAAACAGCTATTCTCCTCCTCCCTCACTCCAAAAAAACACTTCCAGAGCTCTTTAAACTATCAGGCCTTGCCCCATTCCTCCCTATGAGATGCCAGTAAACAGTTATGAATTGCCACACACCCATATAATTTTTGTTTAACTGTCTGCATGGGATCTTAAACTCCAAATATCATGAAGTTTCACTTCCAGCTTCACTTTGGTGAGTGGAGAAGAGAAAGAAGTGGGAATTAAGATGGGAAAATCTGCAAAGGTCATTTGATCTAATTCACCTGTTGAAAGGCAGGACAGACCATCTACCTACAATGGTGATCCCAGACTCTAGATTTCCCTCTACTCCCAACTGAGGAAGGTGTCAGTGTAGCGGTTACAGTGTCCAACCAGTACCTGGGGTACCAGAGTTCGCATCCTGACTCAGCCACTTGGATGACCTTGGGCCAGGCCTTGTTTCTCCACACAACCTCCCTCACAGGATGGTTGCGAGGCTGAAAACAGGGAGGGGGGGAAGAGCCATGTGCACCACCTTGCGCTCCTTGCAGGAGAAGTGGGATAGAAGTGCAATGCTAAATAAAGCAAGCAAGAACTCAGAGGAGTAAAGTGAGAGTCAGTCGGGACTTCTGGGTTCTTTTCTCAGCCTGAAGAGGCAAGCTCCAACAAAGTGGATTAAACCATCGAGCTAGGAGCCAGCTTTGTCCCTTAAAACTGGCTGAGCTCCTGGGGCCTTCAAGAGCATCCCTGAAAAGCAGGAACAAAACCAGGGAGGCTATTTCAGCTGTGACAACCAAGTGGTGGAGAAAGCACACACCTGCAAGTGTGTGTCAGGTGGATGCTGAAGCCACAGGGGCAGAGCCTGGGTGGGGTTGGGAATGCCAGCCCTACAGAAAGCAGAAAAGAACAGTCACACTTCCTTGATAACCTTCTGGAAGAAAAGCGGGTTACAGGCAGTAACTGACAGCTTCTCCCAGACACACACTTGCCCAGCATCTATTGCAGTCAGGTAGAGCAGGGTCCAGACACTGCAGCCTCTCTCTCTCGGTGGCTCGGATTTGTTGGCCTGCTTTTTAAATGTCTATCACTGTTTTTAGTTTTCCTTTTGTTTTGGTTTCATCTCGCTTTTAATTTTTGCATTGCATTATATTGTAAGTCGCTTTACATTTTGTAAAGGGAGAAAAAAAAGTGATGCGTAAGTCCATTAAGTAAAATAATAACAGGCAAGCCTTTCAACAACTCTGCTCCATCTCAGCACACAGGTGGATAAAGGATTTTATATATATATCCACCAGAAACCCATCGTCTATCCCTACCATATAGCATCTGGGCAATGCTTATAGCAGATTGGACAATGCTTTCCAATCTCCCCACCACCACCAGGTCAGGTCGTCTGCTCACATACATCTTCAGGAGCTCAAAGGAGACTGAAGGTCAGAGACCGCAACATCAATCTGCGAGCCCAAGCCTCGCACCCGCGCTGCCCTCTCTTCCCAACCCTACCTCCCATTTATCCCCCTGCCTTCTTACCCTCCTCCAGCTCCTGGGATATCAAGTCCGTGTTATCAGCCAGCTCCGTGTTCCCGTTGACTTCGTCGTAAGAGGCAGGGCTGGTCCAGAATTCCATCCCCTGCGAGACCAGCAATTCCCCGACCTCCGTGGGCAACATGAATCTAACAGGAGGACACGCGCCTCTTCCCTTCCTCCCAGCAAGAGGCCAAACAGTTGTGCAAAGCAAGCAGAGGGGCTGCAAACGCGTGTATAAGCGCAACAGACGCAACCCACGCTCCCCTCCTGCGCTGTTTTGCAATGCAGCCTCTACTTGCCCCTACCCACCCCTATTTATAGAGTCTGCTGTCCACCTGCTTGGGAAGAGTCCACTGTGGCTTCAACAAATAGGGGGGGTCTACAGGAGGGAGGGAGGGGCGGAAATAGACTATTAGCATAGCTCAGAGCATCTCGTCAAAAGAGCGGCGCAAAGCACAGAGGGCGCAGCTTGCTAGCTGAGAACCGAAGGCTTGGGTAGTAGAGTTGCAAATGGAAAATGGGGAGTGGGCGGGGGACGGGGGGGAGAAGCAGCCAGCCTCCCCCTGTTGTTATGCAGCAGAATGGTCTATCCCACTCCCAGCTCCATCTTTATGCAGTATTTTTTTCTGAATGGGAGGGTGTGGGTTGGTGTGGTTTCAGCTATTTCACCACAGACACGCTTTCTCTCTCTCTCTCTGGATCAATTCATCCCAAATAACCACCACATGCTAATTTTGTACTCAGTAGCGTATATCAGTCGGAATCTTTGCCCCATGCATAACAGTGCATTGGGGAGGGGAAGGATAGATAGATAGATAGATAGATAGCCATATTTAATCGTCTTAGTGTTACATGCGTCTGAGCAAAGGAGGCTGGAAAGTGTGTAAGGACTTATGTAAGCATGTTTACACACATAAGGTATTGGCAGTCTGCCTTTACTAGAAATTGTCAAGGACTAGAGATCTGGTAGTAGTTTCCAGTCTCTGAGCCCTTCCTGGGCTTGTATGTGGAGGAATCCTTTAATGGAATACTGATCAGCATTATCACCTGCTACTGCGTGCAGTTTGGGCTGTTGTTAAAGGCAAAGGAGCTGGAGAAAACAAAACAAAAAAAAGCTGGTGACCCTAACTTTGGTGTGAATGCATGGTGGGGTCTCTAGGAAGAGCCTGTTCATGTCAAGCTGGTGTTCTTGTTGCTGCAACTTCGCTGCAGCCCATTGTGCAAACCCTAGGCAGACTCTCACCAATGATCTGCCTTTGGAGTTAGCTAGGAATTATTTAAGCACCCCCACCTTTTTGTATAAAAGTAATCCATCATGATCAGTTTTTCCCCACCCTTGGGGAACTGCTAGTACTGCTGCTATCACTTTATATGGTTCTGTTGGCTCAATACCAGTCCCCTATGTCCAGGTCACCTACATATTGCATAGCGAAGGGTTTTGGCAGCTACAGAGCTTCCATCAGACGTGGCATTTCAGGCAGCGTGAAAAGGTTTCGAGGGAGTCCTGAATAATTTATGTAGGGGCTTTAATAATGGAAGACATTTTTGCTGGAAGGAGGAGGAAGGGAGCTCTTGCCAAGGATTGTGGAAAATGACAGGGCAGCAGGAAAGACAGCAACATCACCAAGGTTTGCATTTTAGAGAAGAGGCAGCTCACCTGTGGCTCTCCATGTGTCTGGTGGACAAAACTCCCATAATCCCTGACCATTGGGCTCTGCTAGTTAAGGCAGATGTGAGCTGGAGTCCCATAATATGTGGATCAAGGGCCATGGGTTAGCCACCCTCTATTTTAGAAGGAAGTTTGGATTTCGAGGGGATCAAAAATGAAGGTGCCAGATAAACTTCCCCGGGGATTGAACCTGTGACGTTCTGCATGCCAAGCATATGCTCTCCTGCTGAGCTACAACCCTTCCCCAGCACTGCACAGAAGGGAAGCAGAAGGCCCTGTGTGGCTGAGACAGCTATAGATAGAAGCAAATATGGACAGAGGTAAGTTGCGCACAGGAGGCAGGTAATCCCCCTCCATAATTAGCTGCACTGTTTCGGTTACCGTGCAATCTGCTTAGCTACCCAGGGGATCTTTGCAGAGGAAGATTAGTTGGAGAGCTCAGTTTGGGGAGGGGGGTTGTCACAATGCAAGCCATGCTTTCGAGCACACGATCCTACACATGCACAGCCTCAAATGCGCCCACCCTCTCAGAGAGAAAGAACACACAGCATACTAAAGATAACGCAAAGAGAGGGACAAGGTAATTTTGGCCTAGGGCAGCAATACATCTTCGGCTGAAGAGCAGAACATGAACCCTCCCGGCACGGAGGCAGCCGGTGGCAATTCTGGTGACTGCGGCAACTGGAGAAAGGAGCAGATCTTTATTATGGTGCTGGACCATACCTGTAAGTGGAGGGCTGTTCACACAACATGTTTTCTCTGCACGCCACAAGTTTACGCCCAAGGAACAAGTCCCCCAAACTGCTCATGCGGATGCGGAAAGTGCTGCGTGAACAGCCCCCCAAATGGTAAGAAGGCAACAATGGATCCTACATGCGAAGCTAATGCCAATTCAAGCCGTTCCTCCTCTTCCTCAACCTCCCCCTCCTTCTTTATTAAATTTGAACACCGCCCTGTACCCACAGGTCTCAGGGAAGTTCACAATATAAAACGCAACAGCTAGCAGTCTGTGTCTGAGCTGTACTACTTCAGACTGCCGGTAGGAGGTCATGTCACAGCGAAAGCAAAAAAAGTATCCTCCAAACAAACCCTCTAGTACAAAAAAAGTCCTCGCACACAGTAATGTAGCAGAGTGTTCCAGCCTTTTCCCTGACAGGGATGGGGAGGGGTGTGTGGCTGAATCTAGACACATGAGGCGAAAAAACCCACTGTGAAAATGCTTTTAAAAATAAAAAATAAAAATTTATATTGAATTTGCCATTAGCTCACCATCAACCATCTGGTGTCACATTTGTATAATGCACTTTAAACACACTTAAAACGTTCTATTTGCAGCTGTATAGCTGAGTCCCATGTGTATCCATGCCTGGGTTGTGCCACTTCAGTCTGCTCACATGATTGAATGAGATTCCTGCATTGCAGGGGGGGGTTGGGCTAGATGACCCTTGAGGTCCCTTCCAGCTCTACAATTCTATGGTTCTATGATTCATGTGAGCACACAGTGGCAGAGTCCAGGCACACATTGCTAAAGCCCACCTACCGTTATATGCTTATCTGGGATTCCATTTATAGGAAGGCAGGCCACCTTTGTTGAATGGGGAGAGTGCTTTAGACAGCTGGGAAGGGGGGACCGCTTGTTCACTGTCCTTCAGAGCGCGCCCTCCCCCCTTTAATGTAATTTCCTAGTCCCTTGTGGAATCAGGAAGGGCAGAGCAGCAGGAGGGTGGTGGGGTGTGTGTATTTAATAGCTGATAGTAAGAAGATGCCGCAGCTCAGACTCAGAAATAGCAGGGATGTTCTAGGAGTCCGGAAATCTCCCCGGCCAACCTTGTTAAGACACGATTAGCTCTTGGTGACCTTGTCCAGAGGGTAAGTAGGGTGGATACTGATTTAGGGCCACCAGCAGAGCTGTCCAGCTGGCTTTCATTTGAGCTGGAGGGGGCGCTTCCACCTCAGAACGAGTTTCCTAGGCAAGGACATAAGAACAGCTCCTTCTGGACCACCATTTTAGCCCAGAGTTCTCTTCTCAGAATCTCCAACCAGAGGCTAGCCAAAGGAATTAACCAGGCATATGTTAGTGAATATCCATTCATTTGTTGGGCTTCCTTGTTTTCACCTTTCCTCCCGTGGAAACTCAGAGCCGCCCACAAAGTTATCCCACCCACCCCTAAGCAGCCATCACAAGAAAACTATAAAGCATTAGTTAAAAACCTATAGCAGAATCCACTGCATATAAACATAAGCACAATATCTAGCAGTCAGACCTGGGTAGACTCGCATTCCTCAAACTACGTGCCAGAGGCTTGAATAAACTACAATGCTTTTTAATTGACACTGAAAAGCCATCAGGGAGAGGGAAGAAGCAGACTTCCCCAGGGAGGGAGTTCCACATATAGGGGCCACCACAGAAAAGGCCCTGGCTTGTGCCACCACCCTATGGATCACTCCCACTGGTGGAACCACAAGCAGTGCCTCTTCTGCAGATCTCAAAGCAGGGGCTGGCAAGTAGAAGGAGAAACCTCTCAGTTGTTCATAGCTGGGATGGTACCTGCTGTACAAAGCTAAGAGCCACAGCTGTTGCTGTGCTCCTTTTTTTCATCTGGCCATGCCCAGTCTTGTCTCTGGTCCCACCCACCTTTAGCATGTGGCCTCTAAAAGATTGTTCATGAGGGTATGTGGCCCTCAGGCTGAGAAGGGGTTCCCCACCAACCTGTTCAGGGAGTACCCCCCCCCAAGCTGCACACCTGTTCTTCAGGAGAAGTGCAGCTCTATCCACAGAAGGCTGCCTACCCAACTCCTGAATCCACTGGGATTCAGTCTCAAAGCCCCCATTACTGCCTTGAGACACTGGTCCTGCATCTGAATGTCCTTTCCTAACTCAGGTGGAGAAGAGAGAAGACTCCCTGGAAAAGACCCTGATGTTGGGAAAGATGGAGGGCACAAGGAGAAGGGGACGACAGAGGACGAGATGGTTGGACAGTGTTCTCAAAGCTACAAACATGAGTCTGACCAAACTGCGGGAGGCAGTGGAAGACAGGAGTGCCTGGCCTGCTCTGGTCCATGGGGTCACGAAGAGTCGGACACGACTAAACGACTAAACAACAACAACAACTCAGGTGGAATTGAGAGATAGGGTTGGGTATCATCTTCGTACTGCCAACACTCCATACACCTGGATGGCAGCTGCACACACAGAGATGTTGAAAAGCCCTGGAAACAAGCTGGAAGCCTGTGGAAAATATGTGGAAGCCAGCAGATCGGATCCAGGATGAAGCCATGGGTCAATGGCACCCTAAGCCACAGAGGGATCAAAGAGAATCAACAAGGTCACACCCAGTAAAGGTAATCAACCAGAGCAGCAAGGCCATTTCAGTGCCAAACCCAGACTGAAAAGTGTCTAGGGCTTAGGGAGAAATTTGATTCAGTTCACATTTAAAGGCCAACCAACCAAATTCGCATTTTACCAGAAGAATATGCAAACCAAAATGCAGCCATCTTTTGAAATGCACATTTCTCCAAATTTTGAGCCAAGTGGGGATTTGAAGTCTGGCCTATCCAGATCCTAGTACAGGGGTCAGAAACTTTTTCAGCAGGGGGCCGGTCCACTGTCCCTCAGACCTTGTGGGGGGCCGGACTATATTTTGGGGGGGGGGAATGAAAGAATTCCTATGCTCCACAAATAACCCAGAGATGCATTTTAAATGCAGTGGGAGCCAGTGTGGTGTAGTGGTTAAGAGCGGTAGTCTCGTAATCTGGGGAACCGGGTTCGTGTCTCCGCTCCTCCACATGCAGCTGCTGGGTGACCTTGGGCTAGTCACACTTCTTTGAAGTCTCTCAGCCCCACTCACCTCACAGAGTGTTTGTTGTGGGGGAAAAAGGGAAAGGAGAATGTTAGCCGCTTTGAGACTCCTGAAGGGGAGTGAAAGGCGGGATATCAAATCCAAACTCCAAAACTCTAAATAAAAGCACACATTCTACTCATGTAAAAGCATGCTGATTCCCGGACCGTCTGCGGGCCGGATTTAGAAGGCGATTGGGCTGGATCTGGCCCACAGGCCTTGGTTTGCCTACCCATGTCCTAGTCCAACCCTCTGACCACTGCACCACACAGGCTCTCAAGAGTTGTCTGTACACACGGGGAGGTGTGTTTTCAGTAGTGTGCAACCGTGTTCTCTATTCCTATCCCCTCAATGCACGTATACACAGACCTTCATATCTATACCATGTCTGTATTTTGCAGAGGTGGCCAAGTTACTGTCCTGCTTCCTCTTTTGCCTATTGGATTCCTAGACGAGTTAAACATGGCGAGGGGGAGTGGCACATCCCCGCAGCGCCAGTAGGTCTGCCCTACCAGGAAGTGGCTTGAGAAAGCACTCTGCATACACATGGAGGCAGTGAGGGCATTCTCAGCACCAGACAAATTATAGCCATTCCAGCAGAATGAGCCTTAGATTGACAAATAACCGGGACAGGGTTGACACGGAGAGGGTGAGATCATGCGTACAGTACCCTGAAAAGTTGCCTGCATCCGGTACTGTGTTCACATTATCCCACGGTGTGCGTACGCCCCCTAGGGTCCCGGTTTTCCTGAAGGTCACTTACAGAAATACTCCAGGGTCTCCTCAGTCTGCTGCGGCGTGAGGCTGCTGGCAGCGTCGAGAGCGACGAGCGGCGTGTGAATCCAATCGCCGTGATCGTACCCAAACACAGTGTCTGCCCGGAGTTGGTACAGGGGTAGCTGCTCTCCCAGCAAGCTGATGATTTCAACCTCGGGGACATTGGTGCTACTGCAGAGCTCTGTAGGGAAGAGTAAAGAAATATTATGGCTTCAGCCAAAAAGGGTTGGGAAGGGCAGAAAAGGGGTCTTGAGCCCAGGGTTGCCTCAGATCAGCCTCTGCCAACCTGATGCAGTTCAGGTGTTTCTGACTCCCATCAGCTCCAGTCTGATAGATCAGCCCTGGAGAACCTTTGGCTCTCTGAGATGCTGCTGGACTCCCCAATCCCAACAGTCACAGGCCTGATGGTAGTCAAGAAAGAAGCTAGAGCCACAGGTTCACCACTGCCAAAGATAGAACCACCATATGTGGCCCCAGTGCCAGCTTTAAGCGTTTACACACCCAAAGTGAGGTTTCCCACATGCACCCCTGTTTTGGACTAGCTCACCAGTTTTGGACTAGCTCACTTCCCAAAGTGATTGCTCCCATATCTCCATTAAAATATCAGCCCTGGGATTAGGGTAGCCAGGGATGGAGGGGAGAGGATAAGGGGACTTGCTAACCCCCCCTTTCTACACAACAAATAAAAGGGTGTGCAGGAACCCTGCCCTTCCCCACCCAACCCTGTCACCTGGCTATTCTACCTGGGAAACACCATCCAACTGGGGGAGTCCATACTGCAGGTATGTGGCTGCACCAGTGGCTCTGCGGAACATACAGAATCATCTAGCCCAGTGTAGCGGCGTGGTTAGCGTGTCAGATTAGGGTGACCAGGGTTCAAATCCCCGCTCAGCTGTGAAACTCCCTGGGTGGCCTTGGGCCAGTCACAGGTGCTTATCTTAACCTACCTCACAGGGTTGTTGTGTGAGGATAAAATGGGAAAGGAGAGAGACACTACCTTGAGCTCCTTGAAAGAAAGCTGAGATATAAATGTAATGCATGCATACATTCCATAAAACTATGGAGGTCTTTTTTTAAAATAAAAAAAAAGAACTTTTGGGGGTTTGTGAGTGGGGGAACTGGCTTCCTTTGCAGTTTGTGAGTTGACTCACTTGCTCGAGATCTGGAATAATTAGCATGGCATAGGAAATTTTCTGCAATGTAATGAATCCACAATACTAATTCTGACCCACTTGCTAAACCTGGAGCGTGAGGGTGTGCAGAAGGGCCACACACGTCCCCTTTTTCGAGAGTCTCTAGCCTAGCAATTGCAAAGAGAGCAGCTCTGCTTCTTCTTTGCCTCTTTGAACCAGCAATAAACCGCTGCTTTCTCTCCGACTGAAAGAGAACTGCTGCCTCCTTGTGGGCGGATGTGGGTAGATAACGCGGCGAGAAAGAAACTGGAGGTTTTCAGAGGGAGAGAACTGGAGTCAGGTAACAACTGTTCCAGAGGGACGGAAGTTGGTTTGAATGAGGAGTTGCTGCTCCTGCATGTGAACACTCATCCAGCCTTGTTTTCCGTCAAGCAGCTGCTGCAAGGTTTTGTAACTGTTCCGGAAAGCTGCAAAACTGGTTTAGCAAGAGGCAGCAGGAAGAGAGGGCTGCCTTGTGCAGCAGCCACCACAGATGCCAGCTGGTGCCTTCCATCTCATTGGCATCAACATGTACCTTCCCCTGCTACACAGAGACCTTAGAAATCCACACAGAAGGAAGGTCCACAGTTGTCCCGTATCCTGGGAGCCTCATTGTAACAGGCGGCAGCCGGTGGAGAATGATTCATTGGGGAAACCAGGGCAGCTTGAACTGAAAGACAGACTCAGCACAGCCCATTGTGCTTGCCAGCACTAGTCCCGATAGCAAACAGGCATCCTTTTTTTTTTCATATCGGCTCCACCCAGGCACGCTGGTTCGATTTCATTTTAATCAGAAGTTGCCAACTTAGGCGTGATTGGAGCCAAACCAGCTATCTTTGCAGGGAGTGGCACAGTCTGATCTCCTGGAGAACTGCAGGCCTGTACTTGTGAAGACTGTTCTCGGGATCTGGGTTCCCTTTCCTACAGGAAATTGTTCAGAGCTTCTTTAAGGTGGCAAAGATTGAGAGCGGCCACAGCTGCTGGAACCAGAGCAAAGTTTTCTGGCGAATCCCATGCCCACAGGCAGGACTGTCTCTCTCTGCCAACTTTTTTTTTCACCCTAGCAAGGTTCCTGTATCTCTAACAGTTGCACAATGGGTAGAAATTCAACAGGCTTCCCATCGCTGCAACTTTGTGCAGGGGAAATGTTGCACCCACTAAATTCTGCCTCCCTTAGAAACAGTCCTAAGCCATGTTCCTACCCAACTCTAAAGTCCCTTTTAAAGCTGGGCTGGCTCAATCAGCAGAGCACAAGACTCTTAATCTCAGGGTTGTGGGTTCGAGCCCCATGCTGGGCAAAAGATTGCTGCATCGCAGGACTAGATGACGCTCACGGTCCCTTCCAACTCTACAATTCTATGAAATAGGTGTGGCTTATAAGAGCTGGAGTTCTTGCTTCTACAGTTCTTGTTTTGCTATCCTAGAATCATAGAATCATAGAATCATAGAGTTGGAAGAGACCACAAGGGCCATCGAGTCCAACCCCCTGCCAAGCAGGAAACACCATCAGAGCACTCCTGACATATGGTTGTCAAGCCTCTGCTTAAAGACCTCCAAAGAAGGAGACTCCACCACACTCCTTGGCAGCAAATTCCACTGTCGAACAGCTCTTACTGTCAGGAAGTTCTTCCTAATGTTTAGGTGGAATCTTCTTTCTTGTAGTTTGGATCCATTGCTCCGTGTCCGCTTCTCTGGAGCAGCAGGAAACAACCTTTCTCCCTCCTCTATGTGACATCCTTTTATATATTTGAACATGGCTATCATATCACCCCTTAACCTCCTCTTCTCCAGGCTAAACATGCCCAGCTCCCTTAGCCGTTCCTCATAAGGCATCGTTTCCAGGCCTTTGACCATTTTGGTTGCCCTCCTCTGGACATGTTCCAGTTTGTCAGTGTCCTTCTTGAACTGTGGTGCCCAGAACTGGACACAGTACTCCAGGTGAGGTCTGACCAGAGCAGAATACAGTGGCACTATTACTTCCCTTGATCTAGATGCTATACTCCTATTGATGCAGCCCAGAATTGCATTGGCTTTTTAGCTGCCGCGTCACACTGTTGGCTCATGTCAAGTTTGTGGTCAACCAAGACTCCTAGATCCTTTTCACATGTACTGCTCTCAAGCCAGGTGTCACCCATCTTGTATTTGTGCCTCTCATTTTTTTTGCCCAAGTGCAATACTTTACATTTCTCCCTGTTAAAATTCATCTTGTTTGTTTTGGCCCAGTTCTCTAATCTGTCAAGGTCGTTTTGAAGTGTGATCCTGTCCTCTGGGGTGTTAGCCACCCCTCCCACTTTGGTGTCATCTGCAAATTTGATCAGGATGCCCTTGAGTCCATCATCCAAGTCGTTGATAAAGATGTTGAATAAGACCGGGCCCAAGACAGAACCCTGTGGCACCCCACTAGTCACTCTTCTCCAGGATGAAGAGGAACCATTGATGAGCACCCTTTGGGTTTGGTCAGTCAGCCAGTTACAAATCCACTGAGTGGTAGCATAGTCAAGACCGCATTTTACCAGCTTCTTTACAAGAATATCATGGGGCACCTTGTCAAATGCCTTGCTGAAATCAAGGTAGGCTACATCCACTGCGTTCCCTTCATCTACCAGGCTTGTAATTCTGTCAAAAACGAGATCAGGTTAGTCTGACATGACTTATTTTTCAGAAATCCATGCTGACTATTGGTGATCACAGCATTCCTTTCTAGGTGCTCACAGACTGTTTGCTTAATGATCTGCTCCAGAATCTTCCCTGGTATTGATGTCAGACCGACTGGGCGGTCTGGGTCCTCTCTTTTCCCCTTTTTGAAAACTGGGCGGACTGGGTCCTCTGGGTCCTCTCTTTCCCCCTTTTTGAAAATAGGGACAACATTTGCCCTCCTCCAGTCTGCCGGGACTTCGCCTGTTCTCCAGGAATTCTCAAAGATGACTGCCAGTGGTTCTGAGATCACATCTGCCAGTTCTTTTAATACTCTTGGATGCAGTTCATCTGGCCCTGGAGACTTGAATACATCTAAACTAGCCAAGTATTCTTGTACTATCTCCTTAGTTATTCTGGGCTGTGTTTCCTTTGCTGAATCATTTGCTTCAAATTCTTCAGGTCGGGCATTGTTTTCTTTATCGGAGAAGACTGAGGCAAAGAAGGCATTGAGGAGTTCAGCCCTTTCTGTGTCCTCTGTTTGCATTTCACCATCTTCTCCTCTGAGTGACCCCACTGTTTCTTTGTTCTTCCTTTTTCTACTGAACATACCCATAAAAGCCTTTTTGTTGCTTTTAACCTCTCTAGCAAGCCTGAGTTCATTCTGTGCTTTAGCTTTTCTGACTTTGTGTCTACACGTGCTGGCTATTTGTTTGAATTCCTCTTTGGTGGTTTCCCCCCTTTTCCATTTTTTGTACACATCCTTTTTAATCTTAACTCAGTTAAAAGTTCTTTAGATAGCCACCCTGGCTTCTTTAGGCACCTTCCATGTTTCCGTCTCATTGGTATTGCCTGACGTTGTGCTTTTAGTATCTCCCTCTTAACAAACTCCCAGCCATCATGAACCCCCTTTCCTTTTAGTATTACTGTCCATGGGATCTCACCCAGCACTTCCCTAAGTTTTATGAAGTCTATGATTCCTGATAGAATCTATGATTCCTGATAGAATCCTGGTGCATTACATCTACAGCTGCAAACTTTTTTTTTTTACAGCTGCTTTTAAGCCAGCCACTTCTCCTGTGTAGTGATCTGCAAACTGCAGAAGGCGATGACGCAATCTCCATGCTGTAAAACAGGGTTGAGGAGGTTGCAAGTTCAACCTACAGGTTTTGTTGAACTCCAATCAACCCTAATTGGCACGAACGCCGGTCAGCATTGGACAAAAGTCCAGCAGGATCCAGAGTGCCTTCGGTTCTCCATCCTTGCTGTCAATAAAGCTACTGTACAAGGCAAAGCAGCAGCCTAGGGTGGTCTTTTTTCTAAGTTAGTTGCCATTGTATTTACAAGTGGACAGAAATTGGCATGGGGGGAAGGGTCTCTCCAGTGGGCATCAAGTTAGATTCCAGGTTTTCTGGGTTGGTGCATGGGCCAAATAGGATAAGGACCCCAACTTTGGCACTGTCCCTGCTGTCGGCAGAAAGGTCATATTTCCATAAAGCATCATTTCATTTCCTTAATTGAAGACAGTGCAATGCCCTTCCATTCCCAAAGAGTGCTTGTGTAATAGTGGAGAGTTTAAGTGGGCAAGCTGTGAACCAGGAAGTCCCTAGCTCATATTGCACCCCGAGCATAAACTTTAGGCGAGTTGCTGTTATCTCAGCCTTAGTCCTGAACTTGCAATGCAAAGATAATAATACGGACCTTCCTCTTTATGCGTGAGATAATGTGTGAGATAATATTTCTGGCTGCGGTGGTACCATCGGATCGATGTCCTGAGCCCCACTGAGAAGAATGAGCAGGATGCCCCCCCCCCAATGCAACAGGAGTGGCTTAACACATTTCACGTGAATGCCCCTAAGGAGACTTACTTCTGAGTAGACATGCATAAGATTGCGCTGAATAAGAACACATGCAAAATAAACTATTCCAGTTCAATTAAAATAGGAAAATAGGAGTTATTCTGAGTACTTTTTTAAAGGGCATATACGATTTTACAGTGGTACCTTGATTCTTGAATGTAATCCGTTCCGGGAGTCTGTTTGACTCCTGAAACTGTTCAAAAACCAAGGCGCGGCTTCTGATTGAGTGCAGGAGCTTCCTGCACTCAATCAGAAGCCGCATTGGATGTTCGGCTTCCGAAAAACATTTGAAAACCGAAACACTTCCGGGTTTTCACCATTCGGGAGCTGATTTGTTTGTCAACTAAGCCATTTGAGAAGGTTCCACTGTATATTGAATTTATACTCATATAACAGCTAAGGCTTCTTCCAACACACACACACACACACACCGAGAATTGCAGGAGGCTTCTAAGAATCCTTTATTGTACATCTCTAGCTGTGCCCTCCTTCTAGAACTACATTTCCCTGAATTCCCTGAGGAAAGAAAAGCACTCTCTGATAGCACTTTAAACAGTCATGGCTTCCCTCAAAGAATGCTGGGAACTGTAGTTTGTTAAGGGGGCTAAGCGTTGTGAGGATACCCCTGTTCCCCTCACAGAGCTGCAATTCCCAGAGTTCCCTGTGAAGAGAGGTTGGTTGTCAAAATACAGGCGTGCTCCCCTGAACCTGTTCCCCTGGCAGTACCCACCAGTGAGGGTGGTTGCATCATGTTGCTTCCGTCGCCCATCCGGGGTTGAGGCAGAAGCTGCCGGTGCTTCGCTGAGGAGGAAAACGGGCTGGTTACTATCAGGAAGGCTCCGGCCTGGCTGTGCCTGCTCCAAAGCTGATGTGTCCAGTTTGGCTGGTGTCACGGGGGGTAGGGGTGGGGCAGGATGTAGCTGTCACGTGCGCCACACAGTACCAGGCGTGCGTAAGGGAGAATGGTGCAGGACTCTACCTCTGCTCCACACCTGGGGAAAGGAAAAGAAGCAGAGTTAGCATATCCTCCGAGCGTCCTGTTTTTGCAGGAACAGTCCCAGAATTATGAAAGCTATCATCCCAGCTTCTGATTTGAACCCGGAATGTCCCTATTTCCATTGCCGCTGAGCTCTGAGAGAAGGATGAGCCGGCACTCGTTCCAAGCGGCGATGTAGCGAAGTGACTTCAGAGCAAGCCATTGCAATCTATTGCAGCCTAACAGGATGGCCCCTCAGGAATTTGTCACACATACACATGCATGCACGCACGCACGCATGCACGCACACATGAATCTGCAAATCTGTCTGTGCTTGGCTATCCAGAGCTTAAATGAATGACCTTTCACACACGCTTTCAAAGACATGCATTTAGAGAAGATCCCCAACTTGCCTCGGGGGGGGGGGGGGGGGAGACCTGAAATACAGGACAAAACTGCATCAATACAGAATGTAGCATTTTACATTGAAATACGGGACAATCCTGTATTATGCAGTACAGGTGGCAACCCTACATTTAAAACACATTTCTCCCTCCCCCAACCAAAGAATTCTGGAAACTGTAGTTCATAGATTTTTTAGAGATTAAAGAATTGTAGAGTTAGAAGGGACCCTGAGGATCATCTAGTCCAACCCCCTGCGATGCAGGAATCTGCAGCTGTCCCTTAAGGGGATCGAACCTGCAACCTTGGTGTTATCAGCACCATGCTCTAGCACCAACTGCCTGGTTGTTTTATTAGTATTATTATTTATTAAATGTATTAGTCACTTTACCTTGCCCAGAACAACCCAAAGTGACTTACAACCAACCAAGCAAGCTAACAAACAAACAAAAAAATTCACATAGATACTTTAAAACCAGTGGAGGGGGGATAAATACATTAAAAACATCCCACTCACTTCCAAAAGGCCACAGGTAGTTAAAGGCCTAGTTGTAGAGGAAAGTTTTTGCCTGGCCCTTGTCGTTTGCCCCTCACAGAGCTACAATTCCCAGCACACTGAACAAACTACAGTTCCCAGGAATCTTGAGGGGGGGGGAGAGAAAATGTGCACTGTATATATGGCGTGACTGTGCTCAGCCTCTGATTGATGTGGTTAGCAAAGACAAAATAAAGTGACCTCTCCAATGCTCAGAGAGATTCCTCCAAAGCGGGGAACTGAACCCTGGGGAATCCCTTGAGTGAATGAATGCCTTAAATGGAAGACAGGTGAACAGACAGACAGACAGACAGACAAAAATAATAAACCAGGAGCATGACATCGACTTGGTTCCCTGTCACTTCGTCAAGATAAACTTTCAAGGCACCAAAGGCAGGGCATCCTGTTCTTCCTCTTCCAAGGTGCTCCTGGTATCTCTCTCTCTCTCTCTCTCTCTCTATATATATATAAATAAGGTAAATGACCCCTGGACGGTTAAGTCTAGTCAAAGGCAACTATGGGGTTGCGGCGCTCATCTCACTTTCAGGCCGAGGGAGCGGGCATTTGTTCACAGACAGCTTTCCGGGTCATGTGGCCAGCAAGACTGAGCCGCTTCTGGCACAACAGAACACCGTGACAGAAACCAGAGCGCACAGAAATGCCGTTTACCTTCCCGCTGCAGTGGTACCTATTTATCTACTTGCACTGGCATGCTTTTGAACTGCTAGGTTGGCAGTTCTTTATATAGGAACAAAACGAAATGAGCTGTTTGAGGTTGCTTTCCTGGCTAGGACGTGCTCACTTGGACACTGGCACAACATTGGAGATTTATTGCTGGTCTTGTGCTGGATTTATAGCACAAACAGCTGTGGGTGTGACGTGGGAGTGAGGGTTGTTGCAGATGCGTAAAACATCACGTACCAGGTGGCAAGGTTGAAGGAAGGTGGACTTTCCTCCCTAGGTCACGAGGCTCCAGAGAGCTAGGCATCACAATACAGATCAAAATAAGGAACTAGAGGGGAGTGTCAGCTACTGAGTTAAATCATACCTTAGCATTTCCTCCCCACAATTCCGTTCATTCTCTCCTTGCTGGGGTCTTGAGCAAGCAGATTTGAGGACTAAACTACTTGCGAGGTTAAACAAAAACACAGCTATGCAGATAAAAGGCCACAATGCCACCCTTCAAATTAAAGGCCCAGAATCCCAGGTAAAGGTGCCTAAAAATAAATATGCCATCAGACACGCCTCCCTGGAGAGAGCACTCCACAAGCAAGGGGCCACCACTGAAAAGGCTGTTGCGTTGCCCATCTATCCAAACCTCCCATAAAGGGGGAAACACACAAAGAAGGGCCTCGGATGACGCAGACCCATCTTTTTTTTCCATCTATCTTTTTAATTTTTTTAATAAATTTATTTATTTGGTTTTTCAGATTAGAATTTTACAATCACATATCCAACATACAACATAAAAACAGATTCCACAGAATCTGCTGGACTTCTCTCCTCCCCTTTTGTGGGTCCTATTATTAATCATTTCCTCCTTCCTCTTTTATAATAATCCAAATCTTTTACATCTCCATTATATCCAAAATTCACCATTAAACTACAAGTGTTATTCCAATTCTACCAATGATTTTAACTGTTTACAATGGTTTTTATGGTGAATTATCAATTTTCCCCATTCCTTATTAAAATTTTGGTCTTCCTGATTCCTGATTCTTCTGGTCATTTTTGCCATTTCGGCATAATCCATCAACTTAATCTGGTCGGGGCTTTGCCTTCTTTCCCTTTGTTTCCACCTGTTTCGAAGCAGCTGCACTGGCTGCCAATTTGCCTCTGGGCCCAATTTCAAAGCTTGAAGCCCCTGGCAAAGAGATTCACTAGCCAACCAAAAGGGGAACCCAAGCTTTTCTCCTCAGAGCTCAACTGAACTCACGTGTTCTGCTTATATTTGGAGAAGCGCAATAAAGGAGCCTTTTACGACAAGGGCAACTCCCTGACAGAAACTCTCTCCTAGGGCACAAAGGCCTCAACCCATCATGTTTGTTTATTATCCAAGCCAACAGCCGCTCCTCTTCCTCGTCTGCCTTGTGACTGCCGTTTGGAGCCACAAGGCATCATCAGCAGGGTAGGTTATTATCAGATGCTCTCAGACAGCTGTCTCCCGCTTAGAACTTCGGCTGAATTTCAATTCCTTCTTCTTCCTTTATCCCTCGCAGTTGCAGAGGTGGCCTTCCCATCAGCTAAGCCGAGGTTCTTAAACAACAGATTCCGAACACTGTTAAGTCCGCAGTCCTGGTGTGCTCCCAGGGTCCCAGAGCAAACTGAATAATTGCTCTTCTGTCATCAGCACCAAGTGGGTTTGCAATGGACTTTCTTCCACACTTGGGTGGGATATTGTGCTTTTACTGGGAGTATATCCCACTGTGTCGAGTCCACAATAGCAGGCACGGCACAGCCGTCCTTTAGGTATCACTTTCCTAACCCACCTTTCTTCACAGGAGCTGCACCTTCCCACTGCATCTTCAACAACAATCCTGTGAGGTAGGTTAGGCCAAGAGATGACAACTGGCCCAAGGTCACCCAGGGAGCTTCATGGCCGAGTGGTGGTCTCCCAGGTCTCAGTCCGAGGAGTGAGGAATTGGATCTGGCTGGCAGACTCAATCAGGGCCGGCCCACCCATGAGTCAAGGTGAGGTGGTTGCCTTGGGCGGCAGGAGCCACAGGGACAGCAGATCTGGCTTCCAAGGAATGAACTGCCCACTGCTGCAGTAGCAGCAACAGCTGTGGCAAATTCCTTGGAGCCTGGATCTTCCTTTTCCTTGGAAGCCCCCACAATGCTGACCCTACAGCGAACTCTTGGGAAAGAGAAGGTGCTGGTGGTTTCCTCCCACCCCTAGGGAGCAAATGGCAGGAACTGCCCTCTAGGTACTCCTGGGGTCTGCACCCACCTGGTGTGAATCAGAGCAGCGCAGGCCCTTTTTCTTCCCACAATGGCCTTGGATTCCCACTTCAAACTTCAGGGAAGGGTGATTTACTTCCCACTTTGTTCCCAATGTAGATCTTCACTTATGCCTTCTTCCCAGTCCAGGAAAGGGAGTCACTATTTTGTGGTTTGCCTCAGGTGGCCAAATGTCTTGGGCCAGCCCTGGACCAGATCCTGATCTCCACACACCTCCGCAGGGCCCTCTTTGGCATCTGGGTGGGGCCACCCAGCTGCCAATCACCTGATGTCACAATGGCATCAGTTGGCCTGTTTCGTCCCCATGTGCTCTGAAATAAAATTGGGCAGGCACTACTTCCTAGCACCAAATTTCTACAGGTTATCAGCCCTGGGAGAAGTATTGCGTGCAGCGCTATCCAGGCATTGAGAATGAGCTGCCGGTGGACTCCTGGGAAGTCCTGTGGGCAATGCTTGGGAAAATGCTGCACAAAGTGCTTTGCAGGCACCTCCCACCCGCTGATCGTCAGTGCCTGCAAAGCGTCTTTCATCCAAAACCCCGCCTTTACCTGTCCCACCTTTGATGTCATATATTCACCCTAAGGGACACAGGTGGCGCTGTGGGTTAAACCACAGAGTCTAGGACTTGCCGATCAGAAGGTCGGCGGTTCGAATCCCCGCAATGGGGTGAGCTCCCGTTGTTTGGTCCTTGCTCCTGCCAACCTAGCAGTTCGAAAGCACATCAAGTGCAAGTAGATAAATAGGTACCGCTCCGACGGGGGGGTAAACGGCGTTTCCGTGCGCTGCTCTGGTTCGCCAGAAGCGGCTTAGTCATGCTGGCCACATGACCCGGAAGCTGTACACTGGCTCCCTCGGCCAAAAAAGTGAGATGAGTGCCGCAACCCCAGAGTCATCCACAACTGGACCTAATGGTCAGGTATCCCTTTACCTTTACCTATTCACCCTAATGACCTCATTGGCCAACAGGGGAGTCCTAACGGGCTTAATTTGACTCACAGGCAAAAGATTCTCTCCTGCTCTGTCCTAATGGAACACTCTAACCACTACCCTGTATGTGGGGAAAGATACCATTTGCCCCCTTTTAAAATAAAACATTTCCCCCCCTCCAATTCTTTTTCTTTAAGAATCAATTATTTCACCCCACCCTGCCCCAACCCACCTCATACTGCGGCCTAGAAAGCTACACAGCGACTTCGCTTACAAGGGCAAAATGACAGCTACGTGATCTGGGCACGCTGCAGCAAAGCCCGTCCAACGGTGCGAAGCAGCAAGCAGGCAGCAGTCTTCCTGAGCTTCCTGTCTGCAAACGGGCTGCACGGGCAGAGAAAACTGTGCAGCCTCAGGAATGGGAATCTTGGCAGCCAACCAGCCTCTTGGTGCGGGACGTTTGCTGTCAGGTGGGATAACAGGACAAGCCAGGACTCCACACCTCAGGGGTATGCGCAGCCTGCAGCCCTTCAGATGTCGTCGGACTCTAAAACCCGTTAGCTCCTGCCAGTATGGCCAACGGTCTGGGAGTTGTAGTCCAGCAATGTCTAGAGTGCCGAAGGTTCCCCACCGATTGGCCGCCATACTGGATGTTCCAAATTATAGCCAGCAACCCAGCTGCACGGCCCCCTGAGCTGTGGTTGTCTCTGTAACTTTGCAGAGTTGTTTTTGCTGCTAGGAAAGGCTATTAGAGAGGAGGAGAGCTTTCCCCCCCCCCTCTCCCCGGTCTCCTTCCTTCGCTTCTGTCCATCCTACCCGTCCATTCCTCCCTCCCAGCCTCCCTTTCCCCCATCTTAACTGCTCAAGGAGAAGGAAGGGCACAGACCGAGCTGCTCCTTGTGCCTTTGCAGGCTCCGGTGTCTGTCTCCCCCTGGGAATGAGGTGGTGTCTTCTGTGAGTCAGCTCTCAGATTCCTTGGCTGCCAGCGTTGTGTGGCTTTGCAGCTTTGCTTGGCCTGGTTCCTGTTGGCATGTTCGCTCAGCCTGCAGGGAGAGCCCAAGACATTTTGCTGCCTGAGGCAGAGGACAAGATGGTACCCCCCCCCCTTCCAAACCATGTGCAGAGGCTGACTGGCCTGGTCTTTCAGGGCTGGCACCAGACTTCTGGGAAGCCTTCAGCCAGGGCTGCCCATGGGCCCCATTTATTCTGCCACAGCAGAAGCAGCAACACCAACTTTTGCATATCTGTGGGCCAAAGGACTACATCTGGGGTAAATTAAAATGACGGGCAGCCATGGTGGAAGGGAGCCGAAACTTGCTTTGCTGCCCACCCACTGCTAAGACATCTATCTGGGGTACCAGAGAGGAGGGTGGTAAATGGTGGCACAGTCTGGTCAGGGTATTAGCTCTTCTGAGCTGGTGACTGATCTGGCCAAATGCTGACCAGTGGCCATTGCTAAGGATGAATATGTTGGTTTTGGTTTCTTTCATTTTTCCAAACTTAAATTCAGTTCTCCACATTTCCACAGTAATTTGTTGTTGTTGGGGTTTTTTTGTTTTGTTTTTTAAAAAGCCCTTATCAAAACTTGGCAACATTTTGGGGATGAATTTCTCTTACTACTTTTTCCTTCTTCTTTTTTTCTTCTTTTTTTTGGTATGCTGTTTTGACCAGCATATACATTTTTGTAAGCGATTGCCCCTAATACGATGCAATTATGTATATTATTGCTTTTTCCTGTGGGCTTCCTACATCTGCCTTCTGCAGTCGGTTGTCAGAATATTCACAATTCTGAGCAGTATATAGCTCCCAAGGCTCATCCACAATTTGAAAGAGTCAATTAATGATTTTTAAACATATATATATATATAAGGAAGAAGGAATGGCAGCTGCAAATTGATGGAAATACAGGCCTAAGTAGCAGGTTAAGAGAACAAGAAGAACGGGTGTATAAAGAGGAATGGGAATTATTTGTGGAGTATTTAGAAAACAATTGTAAGCAAGTGAATACGCTAGCGGCATTATTGTAAATTCAACAACATAATGTAGATTAAGATATAATGGAAAGAAATAGATGGAGGAAACAGAATATGCAGTTACTTTTGGAAGTACAGGAACCATGGGAGGATAAGAAGGGAAGTCGTTGGGTGTACTGTTGTGGAATGGTGGAAAATGTATATCTGAAAATTTAATAAATATATATCTTTTTTTAAAATCAAAATAAAACTAAGGTTGTGACAAGATTTGAAGCCACAGAGAGTCCTGATGCTAGTATTGGGGGGATTGTCAGAGCTTGGTGCTGATAAGATCCAGCTACCCACTAACCGTCATCTCTCTGCCCAAACTACTAGACCTGGAAGGCAGGTTGAGGAACCTGTGACTTTCTGGATGTTCTTAGACTACAACTCCCATCATCCCTGACCATTGTCTATGCAGGCCGGAGCTGATAGGAGTTGTGGTCAAACAACATCTAGAGGGCTACAGATTCCTCATCCCTAAACTACAACTCCCATCATTCCTGGCCATTGGCCATGCTGACTAGGGTTGGTGAGAGTTGTGGTCCAACAATGCCTAGAGGGTCACAGATTCTGCATCCCTGCTGCAAGGAGGCCAGTCAGGCCTGTAAGAAAGCATCTGAAGAACAGGAGGCCAGAGTTACTCTAGAATAACTTCCACGTCAGGCTCACTGAGGAGTAAGGAGACTCCACTGCTGAGGTTTAACTGGGCCAGTGAACACTGAACTGTCCTGGCATCAGGGGCAAAACCAGGCTTTATTTCACCCAGGTTAAAGACCCAGTTAGGCACACACCCACCCCAAACATTTGCACGTACACACACAGGCTGGGAACCTCAGTGGTGCTCCTCTGGAGGCTTCACCTGGGGCAAAAAAATCCCGAATAGCCCCCATGTAGCCTGGCAGAGACATCACCTTGCTGACAAAGGTCCGTATAGTTAAAGCCATGGTTTTCCCAGTAGTGATGTATGGAAGTGAGAGCTGGACCATAAAGAAGGCTGATCGCTGAAGAATTGATGCTTTTGAATTATGGTGCTGGAGGAGACTCTTGAGAGTCCCATGGACTGCAAGAAGATCAAACCCATCCATTCTTAAGGAAATCAGCCCTGAGTGCTCACTGGAAGGACAGATCGTGAAGCTGAGGCTCCAATACTTTGGCCACCTCATGAGAAGAGAAGACTCCCTGGAAAAGACCCTGATGTTGGGAAAGATGGAGGGCACAAGGAGAAGAGGATGACAGAGGACGAGATGGTTGGATAGTATTCTCGAAGCTACCAGCATGAGTTTGACCCAACTGCGGGAGGCAGTGGAAGACAGGAGTGCCTGGCGTGTTCTGGTCCATGGGGTCACGAAGAGTCGGACACGACTAAACGACTAAACAATAACAAAGCCTGGCATTTCTTTGTTTTCTGTCCTAATGTGTATGTGTATTTTTGCCCAATGAAAACAATGGAAAGATCAGCTTTCTCTACAGCCTTTCCATTCTGTCTGCTGAAGAATTCTGTGCGGCGGCAAAGCTTGCATAGTTCTTTAGCAGCATTCAAAGCGATAGACATCTTTGACGCTCTTGGTGTCAACATAGCAGTTTGCGCTCAGCCCGTGGAGCCATCCCCAGGTGCCAGCCTTCTTGACCTTAAGCCAATGTACTTGTTGCTAAATAGCAGTCTCCCTGCCAGCCAGAAAAAAGATCAACTGCTTAATAGCTCCAAGCTGATTGCACCCAGAATAAAATGCCTGGCCATTGTCTAAACAGGGGGTTGGTGAAAGGAGAAAAGGAAAAGACCTCCTGCTACACACAAAAAAAACCCAGTTTGATTTAGGAGCCATTACCAGAAATGGGGAACAGAGTCAATGAGTTGTACAGAATGCTGAAGTCCTACAACTGACACCTGGAATTTCTGCATGGCCCCATTCTTATTTTGCAGACTGCACAGTGCCCTGCCTACATACTTCTGTGTCGGTCCCCGTAATCCTAAGGACTAGCAACTTGATATACACGGTTTTAAATGAAAGCAGAGATTCTTATCATGCCGAGTGTTTCAACAAATAAGTCATTCTATCCACGCACAGAGCAGCGACGGGACTGCAGAATCCAAGCATAAACGGACGGCAGTCTGATAAAGGACTTGAGGCATCTTTTTAGCTATGCGCTGCTGCAATCTCAGCCGTGCACCGAAAAGTTCCCAGGTTCAGTTATCTCCAGGTGGGGAGACCCTGAAAGAGAGCTGCTGCCAGCCAGTGTAGGAAACACTGAGCCAGATGGACCAATGCTCTGACTCGATATTAAGGCAATTTCCGAACATTCCTAATGATCCAAAAGGATCGATTCTGCCACACAGTTCTGGGCTGCCTGGGACACAGCAGCCACTTCTGCTGGCTAAGGCTGAGCGCCCACCAAAGTCATCCAATGTGAACCCCCACCTCCCCTCCCGCCATTGGAGAAACATCCTCTGGCACGCAAGCCTAGTCATATTTCACCCGGGGCCTTATTATGAATGCTACTAATGAACCGTGAAAAGCTATTAACTACGTCCCGGCTAATCAAACTTTTTAGCCAAGAGGGAAAGGGAAGCAAACTTGTTCTTTCTTGCTTTCTCTCTCTCTCCCTTTCAAAAAGTTAAGTCAGATTAATGAAAATTAGGAGAAGCATTTCTAATTCGCAGGAAGGAGATAGCCAAGGGGAACAGGACATTTTCCACTATCTTCTTTTCTATTGCTGCTTTGCATAAATGGAAAGAAAAGGCAAAAACCTCTTTGTGTGCATTTGGGGTGGAGGGGTGGCTGCGAGGATCTGGGAATGTTATAGCGCTGACATCTGAACAACCCAAATATTGCTGATCTCTTACAGCTCACAGATCCTCACTTTCCCCGAGTTTCTCTCCTATGTATTCCATACAAGTTTGCACAACTTTTATCGAGTGATGAGATCCTAAGGTGTGGAGGGGGGAGGCTGTGAAAAGGTTGAGGGTTTATCCTCTTTTATTTCTATGCGAGAAGATTACCCGTGCTTTTCATAGCCAACATGAAAGACAGCTCCTCGACCGCTGTCCCCTGTCATGGCGATGGGGAGTTATGGGGAAGCTGCACCTGTTGAATTCCTGTCCGTCCTGCTGCGGCTCAAGGCAGAGGGTCCCACTTGAACACACACACACACCTCCAGCCTAAAACTTAGGCGAGGCCCTTGGGATGCTTGCAAATTCAGTGTGCAGCAATGTAC